CTCTAGGATTCGCTACTTCCTACTTCCCAGAATACGCAAAAGCCACGTTTGCCGGAGGAATCATCTTTGGAATGCTGAAACAAAAATCAGAAATTGATAGCTTGACATTGAGTGGAGAAAAGAAGAAATTGTCAGGAAAGGTGATCTTCAAAAATGTTCGATTCGCGTATCCAGAACGTCCACAAATCGAGATTCTAAAGGGATTGAGTTTCTCCGTGGATCCAGGACAGACATTGGCTTTGGTTGGTCCATCTGGATGTGGTAAATCTACAGTAGTCGCTCTTCTCGAGAGATTTTATGATACTTTGGCTGGAGAGGTCTTCATCGATGGATCAGAAATCAAGACATTAAATCCTGAGAATACGAGATCCCAAATTGCGATTGTGTCACAGGAGCCAACACTTTTTGATTGCTCGATTGCAGAGAATATTGTTTATGGATTGGATCGTGCGTTTTTATTATATTTAACATTGTTTTTTTTGGAGTATTCGGTTGAATTTACCAAATTTAAGTATGCGAAAGAGTGATTGTAAACTATCGTAAACACTCTAAGGCCACCCAAACCGCCAACTTTGAGCCAAATTATCTCGGTTCCTGTGAAAGATATAAAGAAGTGCTCAACTAACAAAATATTTATCATAATATCACAAGTATTTTGTCAGCTGACAACTTCGTGATATCTCTTACAGGAACAGAGATATATAAATTCAAAGTTTACAGTTTGAATGGCCTTCTATTAGGGTGTTTACGGTATCTTTGTTTTCAAAATTTCGAACTACACACACACACATTTCCTCAATAGCCCTACTACATCTGTATCTCATTCAGCAACTACTGTAACAATGTCACGTGTCGAGGAAGCTGCCAAACTGGCAAACATTCACAACTTCATCTCAGAACTTCCCGAAGGATACGAGACCCGTGTCGGTGATCGTGGTACTCAATTATCTGGAGGACAGAAACAACGTATTGCCATTGCTCGTGCTCTTGTAAGAAATCCAAAGATTCTTCTTCTGGATGAAGCCACGTCAGCACTGGATACAGAATCCGAGAAAATTGTACAAGAGGCTCTGGATCGGGCGAGAGAAGGAAGAACGTGCATTGTGATTGCTCATCGTCTGAACACAATTATGAATGCGGATTGTATTGCTGTAGTGAACAATGGAACGATTATTGAACAAGGTAATTTACTTTCCATGTTTCCTCTAATTAACTATTTCTATTTCAGGAACCCATTCTGTATTGATGTCTCAACAGGGTGCTTATTACAAGCTGACACAAAAGCAGATGAGCGAAAAGAAATGATATTACTCTTGTCCGAAATCAATGCACGTTGCGGCCGAGAAAACAATGCTGGGCGGAGCTTAGCTCCCACAGAGAGAACCTTACTGTTTTTTTTAAATTATTGCCCGCGCCTCTACTACAGTACCTCACCATTTATACAATTTTCTCCGAGTTCTCGCATTTTTTCGCTTGTTGCTGGCTAATTTTGTGCAATTCTTATGAATCTTTAATTAATTTTTTTTATAAAATAGAAAAAAAACAGCCAAATAGGGCCCAAAATAAAAAACGTTCGAGGTACGGTATTTAAAGGCGCATGCATCAATTTGTTTTTTCGCTGTGCGACCGACGATGCGATTTTGAGTAAATTTTCGGCCGCAACGTGCATTGATTTCGGACGAGAGTAATAATTGCCTTGTTCAGTCTAAGACACTTTCTCGATCTTGCCGAATTGCATATTATTTTTGTAATATTTTGAGAGTTTGTTATTATTATGAATTTGTTGTTTTCACTAGAGAAAAAGAACCGATTTATTTGACAGCTTCTTCGTTGATTCGGATTGAAGAACAATGTTTTTGGGGCGAGCAGATGTGGTATGACCAATTACAAGTACTAGAGAGAGAGAGAGAGAGAGAAAACCATCTTAATGATAGAGAATATCAGTGATAAGAATAACGAAAAAAAAAACTTTTCCTAGAAGTCGACTGATGATTTCACTGGGATCTACAGACTTTGTTAAAGACTGAACGCGATGGGTAAAGAGATACACCGAAGAAGGAGAAGGGGGAGTTAGGCCGCAATAATAAGAATAAAATAAAAATAAAATAAGGGAAAACTAAGAAACTATTCACAGAGACGAATCAGTGACATCCATTTACAGCGTCGGTGTAGCTCAGACGATCTTCACAGACTGTAGACTTATTCTGGTGGGATTTGTGTTTGGGAGACGTGACGATGTTCATCGTGTTGGAAGATGCTTTGCGATCGACGAGACTCTGTTGGAGTACGTTGATGTAGGTTGTGTAGCGGCGTTTCTAAAAAGGATCATGGAAATTATTTTACATTTAGATGGGGAGTAACAAACCTCAAAGCCTAAAAGAACTAATCTATCTGTGATTTGGGGTTGCGGCCGCTCGGGGTAGAGGGATTGTAGTACAACTTCAATCATCTCACTTAACTCGGCCACTCTCGCTTGATGTGTTCTGACTTGTTTGGTGATTGGAGCCAAACATGGAAGCCGTGAAAGACGTGGCATTGGGGCGGTTTCGGGCTTAGCAGTTATTGGTAGCGGAAGAGTTGGGGATGAGAAGGCGGCGGCGACAAAGTTTATTTTTGCACACCACTCATTCAAATCTCGCTCGTTGCTGGTTTGAAACAGAATCTCTCCTCCATGAGCTATACGAACTCTGAAGGCATACGATTTCTTCTTATAATCGGTGGCGGGTTCGGCAAGAGCGTGGTGTAGGGACACAGCGTTTTCAAGTGAAGCGTATCGACTTGTCGCTTTCGGATGTTCATCTGCATCGAAATAGAGGACGAGACCGCGCAAACGAGCGAATACCATTTTCCAGCTGCGACGACCGAATGGCGCTGCAAGTTGTTGTATTAGGGACACATTATGAAACTAATGAACTCACTTCTAGCTCCATCCGCTTCTCTGACATACTTTCTCATCAAAAACGAACTGTGATATTCTACAATTGATTCTGGGTCCACTTCATAGACACGTTGTTGCTTGACATTTGAAGCAGCAGATCCGTTTGCTGTCGAGCTCTTTGCGGAGTGTTGGAGAGAAATCGCATTGTCCTTTATGCTTTGATACAATGTCTTTAACATCTCCCGTTTGTAGGTACACCCGGTATGTCCTATATTCGTGATGAAGTCACGAGAAGTCATCTTCTTTCCAGTGTTTGGGCCATGAAGATCCGAGTTGAGAAGCAAAAGGGCGCATGTCAACGTGTGCACTTCGTCAAGGCTTTCAAAAATCGATGGATTACATTCAAGGTATCTCGCTGAGAATACACGAAGAAGACGTTCTCTAGCTGAAGACTCGCCACGAAGTTCCACACGGCTGAGGAATTCACGGAGAGCTGCATCGATTCGTGTAGTAGAGAATTGGAACAACTCGAGATATTTCACTAGGATCAAGAATGCAAAATCGTTTCTGAAAATTGAATTCGTAAACACCAAATCAAATGATTATTCATACTGTTCATTCAAGCGATCCGCTACATCACTCGATGTGCACGTCTTCAGCTCATATAGTTTTCTGGCAATTTGCGAAGCCTCTCGCTCTCCTCCTACCGAACTCATAGATGTACTCGCTACCTGATTCACAACAAACGCCGAGCTGCTATCTGATTGAATTGACGAAGCAGGGCCACGCTCTGTACCGGAAACAGAAAACAATCATTATTACCAAATTTTGAAGAAATTAACCTACTTTCAGATGCGGCATGAAGAGAGGGGCTAGCTGATGCTGAACTGCTTGTTGGCTGTGCATACTGTGGAACTTTCCCAAATACTTGCTTTCTGAGTGAAGGGGAGGCTATTGAGCTGTGTTTCGGAGTGGCCTCAATAGCACTATAGTAAGCATGCGTCATTTCGTCAAAGGAAGAATGAGGAGCATCGATAGTGACAACAGATCGCTTCGATGGTGTATCGTAATCGTTTTTTGATACTTTTGAAAAGTCTCTAATATCCGATCCATCTAACTCATCAACGTCGTCGTATACTGGAGATCCTGGAGGACCATCTGGAAAGAAAAATTCATTTGGATATGTATTCCTTTACTAACTATTAGGTTGACAGGAAAGTAACTGTCCATTTTTTCATTAGTAAATAACACGAACACAAGAATAATCCAGAATTAGCAATATGCACCGTCGTGATCCACAACATGTTGGCAATGTTCAGGTAACTCGTGGGTACCATCCCTTCAAAAGCCAGCTAGTGGCAAGTCAAAGTATCCCTCCAGTCCATTTTTTCAGGCATCAAGTGTGATAAAGTCCTTAAGCTCCAGATGACGTCGTATACTTTTGAATAATCAATGATCTGATAGAGCTGAATCAAGTCTTTCACTGGGGTAAAGGAGAACCGTCCAGCCAAAGCGGCTCAGGTACGGCGTGACTTTTCGTGAACATGAGGTTTTTCATTTTTACCTGCAGTCAAGTCAGACCTGAGCAGCTTCAGCGCGACCGTTCTCCCTCACCTACTTATAGTCCCGACTGAGCTCTATCAGATTATTGGATATTCGGAGAGATACAACCTCGTCTAGAGAATACGAAAACTTGCACCATTTATGTGAAAAACAGGAAAAATGAATACTTTGATTCGTGGCTAGCTGGCTTTTGAAGATATTGTATCCAAAAGTTATCTGAACATTGCCAACATATCGTGGACCACGACGGTGCATACTGCTAATCTTTGATTAATCCTGCTTTTGTATTATTCACAAATAAAACAAGGGACAGTTACTTTCCTGCCAACCTAATACTAATACCTCCATTGGCACCTATGATATGGTCTGGCTCGGCCGAAATTTGCGGAGAAGAATTGTAAGAGTGATGGTGGATATTGTTGTTACTTCCACTGGGAGGCATCGTGAACATGGCGCTCCGAAGGCTCTTGTTTACGATCTCCTCGTTCGGAGATTTCATTTCCTCGGTGGTGACAACTGCAAGAAATAAAATGGACGCATCAGTGTGGTGATTAGCTGGAGATAATTGTTATGACAGTTTTTGGATAATAGAAGTGTTTAGGAAGAAGAGGAAAAGGCAGCTACATTTACGAGTGCAGTCAAGTGAAAACAGAGGTGGTGATGTAGGAAACGAGGAGAGAAAAGGGTGGCTAACACAAACATGTACATTGAAATGAAATTCTGTCACCTATTATAACTGTGTAGGTTTTGAAAGGGGGAGGTAAACATTCTTTTAAATTGTGTGACACTATAATAATACTATGTACTGCTCGTGTTGTTTTTTAGGATTGCTACTAGGAAGTTTGACATTTCTAGGATCGAATAATTTTTCTCGCCGATTTTGATTTGATAAAGATGCGCAAAAATAGATGAAACTACTGGATTTTGAAACCGATTTTATGAAGAAAGTGTAGGAAACTAAGCGTATTGCACAATTAAATCCAGATGTGTTTTCTCTTTTTTCATTTTCACACCAAAAAACCTACCGATAAATTGCTCATCCCGATCTATGGATCTTTCACTCTCGTTCTCCTTCTCCTCTGTGGTCATCGTCACCATCACTTCTTCAGAACTCTCCTCTTCGACATCTGTACTCTCCATCCTCTCAATCGGAGCAGTTTTGTGCATTCTGATTGCTGTCGGTGAATCTTCTGACGATTTACGAGCCAAATTCCCACGTCGATCAATATGGCTTGTGGAGACTGGAAGACGTGATATTTTTGATCCACCGCTTCCAGTACTCCCAGTTCGCTGCATGGACGGGAACGCGACGCCCACTGATGCGGACGCTCGCGTCAGCTGTTGTGGAGGTGCACTCGACGCGATGGCGGTTCCTGGTGGCAGTTGGTCGCCGAGCAACTGAAAGAAGATATAAGTTTATTGTTGAGATGCTTCAGGGGCTCAACTGACCTTCGCGTAAGTGCTTGACACATTTCTGTTGAGGGAAATGAGCACGTCTCCTGACATGACGAAGGCTTCGGCTTTCCGTACATTCTGAAATCTCTGATGGAATTTTTGACATGCTCCGTTTTTCACAGGCTTTGTGACTATAAATTAAGATCTTAAAAATTTCAAAAGCAATTCCAGTTTTGATAGAACTGTTTGAATCATTTAGCTCATGAAACTCTTAAGATCATTTTCCAAAAATTACCTTTTTGGGAGGTGCATCTACATTTGCTAATGCTTCTTCTGCTCCCGAGGACGCTACCTTGGCCATTTATTCCTTGTAAAAATAATAAGATGATTAGGAGACGAGCGAGATTCTCAACGTTAATAAACATAAAAAATTCAAGAACAATTTTTTAACGAGGTAAGAAATCCTAAAAAGTTAAAATTATTGAGAGGGGGGGGCTTTTCCATGGAAGTACAATCATGGAAAATTCGTAGTCACACCTCATTCTTCATGTGCCTTCCTCTTCTTCTAGGGTTTGCCCTGTTTGCCCATCAGATTGTTGTCTTGTATAATAAAATTCGAGCGAAACCAAGAAAGAGAGAAGGATGGGAGACAACTGGTCGACGACGCGCATCTGAGGGTGCGTTGAGCAAATCACAAAGAGCTGACAGTTGAGCGGAGGTTCCCCCACATTAACAAATAGAAAGGAAAGGTGATTAGGTGTTAGGTGTTCAGAATTAGGCGTGAAATGTACTTAACCGTAACGTACAGTCATTAAGCGCCGGGAGCAGCTTGAAGAAGCTTCATTCAAATAAGCATCAAATGAATAGAGGGACACTTCTGGACTGTTACTGGAAAAGAGCGTTTTTTTTAAACTCTTGCTGATCGGTCTCTGTGCAGAGACGAAAACTGTTGCTTCGGTAATTGAAGTTCGGCGAAAATCTTGACCCTATTATAAAAAGGATAATCTTATCTGACACTAAACTAAACTTTTTTTGAAAAAGAGATATTTCATGCCCATAACACAAAACTTCTAGGTTTCAGCTTCCTGCGGAACACTTATCGTTCTTTCTTTCATTTTTTTTTCTTGAACTCATAAAATCCGACTTCCGAGAGAGACAAACAGCAACACTGGTGCGTATTGAGTGGCGTGTAGCGCTGGGGGTAATGATTCAAAGGTCCGATAGCGGGGCAAGGGATAGCCAGCAAGCCCATAGAAGGAGAGTGTCAAGGCCGAGTGAGGCGGTCATCAAGAGAAAACACACGAAGAATTCGAAGAGAGATAGAAAAGAGGAGAGAATTGGGTGAAGCCGTCAGCTCACTTTTAAATCTACAGAGTTCTGGATAAAACAAGTGGGGTTTAGTGACAAAAAATTGAAAGTTTTGTTTCTTCAACAGAAATCATTCGGAAGCAAAGATTCACGGTTCAAGTTACAATCCGAGTGTCAGAGTTCTCAGTTTCCTCTCAAATTACCTAGCTAAATAACACAAAAATCTACCAAAGAAAACCAAAAATGCCACATAATAGGAAATTATACGACCATACAAAATAGGTGATTATAAATTCAACAGAATAGTGTTACTAGAAAAGTAGAAGCGCGAGGGGACGATGAAAACAATAGAGGAATCAAGAGACGCAGGGTGTGCAAGAAAAGTGTATGTGTATCATCAAAACCTCTCTAGTGCTGCTCGCTCTCTTTTTCTCATTCACCGTTTACACATAGTTCAGAGAGCTCTGTAGAGCATCTGTTAAATTTTGCAGAGGTATTTATCTGCTCAGTTCGAAATTTAGAATTCTATAGAAATTCTAACGTTAAAAAACGGTTTTGAAGAAAATATAATCATCATCTCTTTTTATCGTTTGTATCGTCCAAAAAGGGTAGTAGTCGTTAGATGAAGATGAAAATAGTTTACCTTGAGAATGTCACACAAACGCTTTAATGAAAACGAAAACGCGAACGAACACGACAAATGAGAGATTTTCGCTGATGACATGAAAATTGCCCGTTTTCGCACTTTTTTAGGGGACAGAAGATGCAATGCTTTAGATACAAGAGTAATAACGGACGGATCCACCGGCGGAGAGAAGCGACATTTACATTTAATGAATTCGAGAAAAAAATAAGGCTTTCAGAAAAGTTCGGAAAAGCGGAAGGATAAATAATTGGTGATCGGCAATTAAAATGTTCAATCTGTGAATGCTCGGCGGTTTAGGTATGAACTGTGTGAACACCGAGATGCCACGTGTCAACAGACGGCTGGGCAAATTAGTTTTTTTAAAAACAATTTAGATCATCGACAGATCGGTAGGAATGGAAATCAGCTATTTAAATATAAAAAATTGGGAAATAAGATAGAAATTGGAATAGATGAACGAAAACCTAGATATTGATATTTCCTTAACTTCGCCAGAGAAAAGACTTGGGAGCAATAATGATAAGGAGGGGTGATAGAGAGAGAGAAAGATAGACGTTAGAGAAAACAAGAATAAAAAAATAGAATTGAAAATTAGGCATGCATGTCTGATAGTGAGTCAATAAGATAACGATGCTCCCAACGATCTTGTTTTCTCCACTCATGTACTAAAATAGGACTGTTTCGCATTTCTTTAGTAATGTGATGTACACCACACGCACTGGAGCATCTGCTTCAGCAACAAGAAGCCAGATTGGAACAATTTGAAAACGAACAAATCGGAGAAAAATGGGAAGAGGGAGAGATATGAAGTGAAACATCCTCGTAGTAAAACAGGTCGTTTTGTCAGAAAAAAAAAGACGAATTTCGTTTCTCGAGAAGAAAGATTTTGATGGATAAAGAAGAAAAGAGTCTAAGAAATTGAGGAAATTCAAAATTCCCAAATAATAGAAGGAAATCCTCCTAAAATATATTGTCGTGATGATACATTCTTGCTCTGTTGGCTTCAGATGAAATGCACCGCGCATCTTCTTATTCTTCTTCGTCTTCAACGCCCCCTTGCGATGCACTTCACAACAAGTAATTGTGAAGAGAATATAAGATGGAGAGACGGAGACGCTCCCGCAGTTGTGTTGGGTTTTGTCGACGTTCCAATGATGAATTAGACTGGGAAATGAGATGCGAGGAGCTCTGGAGACAACTAGAAGGTGCAAGTCCCCAGGGACCAAAACATCACTTGTCGGAGTGATTAGTCTAAATATCTGTGAGATCCGAAAAACCAAAACCAATGATAATTTCAAATTTCTTATTGATGACTAGAAAATCTAAACAGTTGCGTCGACATAAAAACTTTGAGCAATAGGATTGTAGAATTATGCGAATAGAACAACACTGGATACATGAAAAATATTCAAAATACACGAAGAACAATATTAAACAAAAGAAAAATGGACAAGAAATGGTGGGAGAATATGAAAACCGGTATATGTAGAAATTGAGCGGGGAAGATTGAGTTTATTTGCAAAAAATAATAAGAAAATCTAGTTAACAATCTCTTTTTTCGAGTCATCGGCGAAGCTGAAAATTGTTCTGGATTCAGTTAGAAACAAACTTGAAGGAGCTTTATCTTACCTGACTTTTGGTTTTGGAGGAACAGGGGGCGCAACACGGGCTCCAGCTCCGAACCCATTCAAATTATCGTATGCCAAGTTCCGTTCGTCAATAACTAACGGAAACTTTTTGGGCGGCCTGCAAGGCGGTGGTTTTTGATCTGAGGATGAGTTTGTTCCGTTTGGAGCGGGCGCTGGTGGTTTTCGGAAGGTATTTGACATTGGGGTGGTGAAGGCGGGAACGTGCCGATCCTGAACAAAACATGGTTTTTAAAAGAGTTTTCATTAATGCTGAATACCTGGATAGGACTCATCCCTCTCGCTGGTCCATCTATCAACTTGGTTTCAATAATATGCACTCGCTTCGGCGAGTTCTCCTCCACTGTTACTTGCTCCATACTCTCTTCTGATACCTTTCTCATCGATATCGTCTCGCTTCTCACGGCCATTGGAGGCGTAACGGGTCTAGGGGGTGCTGGGGATACACTAGAACGATCGGTGGTGGTGGAGGTGGGACGATCCAGAGTTGTGAATCTTGATGACGCAGGAGACATTGGTGGAGGCGACACTGAAGCCTGTTTCAGGTTGGTTCCACACTCGACTAGCAGCTTATAAGCTTCCTGTGCCGCTGATGACCATCCTTCCTGTTGTCGCTTTTGACCAGAGTAGAGGGATTCGATTGGAGCTTCATCTGGAGGTGAAACAACTTCAACTTTTTTCTCCCTTTGCCTTTTTTCTTTCAACAGATCTTCAGTTTTTCTATGCTCTCTTAGCGACTTCTCGTTCATTTTTCGAGCCTCATCTTCTGTCATGAAGCGGAGACGAGAGCTTGGTGTATGACTTGTAGAGTTTGAGCACGATTTATTGAAGGAATCTAAAAGAGGGCGATCTTCAGGATAATCGCAAATGGTGCCAATGGAGTAGTTGGTGAGGTCTCGATTTAGATGTTCGATTTCCTCACAGATTGCTACATCGGACCGGCTGGCAGATGTAGGGATATCTTTTCTGGAAAAAGTCTTTTATGAGCAATCATTCTCTTATTTTGAACTTACCCTCTCGCATAAACTGCCGCTACTGGTCCTCTTGGCGCTGGAATAGGATCCTTCCTGAATGAGAGTGTGGTCATTGTAGTAGACGCAGACACACCACCAGGAGATCTAACCCATTCTTCATCATCCATATAGCTCATTTGATTGTTAGGAATCGACAATGATATTCCGTTCATTGGTTCCTTTAGTGAGCTGGCTGCTGAAGAAGTGAGTGGTGGAGCAGTAGGCGTGACAGATCCTCGTGTTCGATCTAGAGATGAAAATTGATCTCCGTTAGGTAAAGAATGGTGATGATTGTTGACAGAAGAGACACTTCGTGGTGGTGGGCGTGGTTGTGAGTAGGATGGTGGTTGGGATGGAGCACGAGTGATCGGTGGAGATACGGTCTCTCGAAGGCTTATAGCGTCCCTACTGAGTGGACCGACGTCTCGAAGTGACATGGTTTCTTTGAGAGATACACCATGGCGTGCAACGTTCTCCCGAAGTTGAACGGAGGAGGAAGTGGAGGAGGATGTCTGAAAATGTTTCTCTCAGAAATCTATGTTTCTCTCAGAAAACTCACATGTGATGGTGCTGGAGACGCTTGCGATGTAGTCGTGGAACCTCTAGAAGTAGAAGGTGAAGACGACGTTGGGCACATTGCCTTCTTATCCAACTGCAGAAGTCCGAAAGCAGTTCCATCTATTCCCACGTGGCAAGTGTGACGAACGTCTCCAACTGGTTCACTAATCAGCAGCTTCTTCCGTTCTCGTTCTTCTCCTTTATCTACTTTTTTATTTTTTTTCCCCTTCTCTGTGCTCTTTTCTCCGTTGAATCCATTCTCGACATTTGAGCAAGGAGGTTCGGATCCTAAATGAGCTACGGTGTCCGTGGGACGGAAAAGGCCGAGTTTGCCGTTTCGTAAGGAACCGAACCAATAGTAGCCATCGGGATATTGAGCAGGTCTGGAAATACTCAAAATTAGGTCAAAAATTATAAATACAACTCACGATCTACTGATAACAACAATCAGATCATCCTTCTTAAAATGCAGGTGATCCGCTGCGGAATCTCTACAATCTACTACTGCTCTAACCGATTGGGCTCTTCTCTCCGGGAACTGCGAAACGATATCAGAGAAGTTGGGCCTATTCGTTACTTGATGTGTCCACGCCTCCTTCAACATATCATAAATGTCTTCTGGACAAGCTTCGGGCCGTGCGAGCAACTCCTTCTTTCTGTCCACCAATTCCAAGATCTGACCACCAGATTTTCCTTTCCACGGCATCGCTCCATAAGAAAACATCTCCCATATCGTTACTCCGTATGCCCATACATCAGACTTTGAGGTGAATTTTAAGAAGTTTATGCATTCTGGAGCACACCAGGCAATTGGAAGTTTAAGGTTAGGAGTGAACTCGCTTCGGTAGTAGTCTTCACCAACTCCCAGACTTCTGGACAGCCCAAAATCTGATATTTTCACTAGTTTGGGACTGAAAACTAGAACATTCCTGGCGGCAAGATCACGATGAATAAGACGCTGTGATTCCAAATAGGACATTCCTATTGCAATTTGTTCTGCATAATCACAGAGAACATGTACCGGGAAGCTATCTCTGAGTGCTGGTTTGTGAAGACATTCCAGAAGAGATCCACACGTGGCAAGTTCTGACACCAGCATGATTTTCTTTGTATCCAGCACAACGCCATACAGCCTGACAACATGTTCATGTCTCATTCGTGTCATAATTGCAGCTTCTTGCAGGAAGGACGATGACGTGGCAAGCAGCTTATCAGATCCAACACACTTCACAGCGACTTGAGTAACATCGTTACCGTTCTTCCACGCAGCTTGCCATACCGATCCGAACTCTCCTTGACCTAATTCTTTGCAAAGTGTGATTTTTTCAATGGGGATGACGTGATGATCATCGTCTTCTCGGCTACCGATGGAGTTGGAATTTTTTCGATCCAGGCTCTCACTCCGTTTGAATGCTTTTTTGACCTTTCCAATAATTCCAGAAGGGAACATCCGTGTGTATTCTTTGCGAAGTCGTTTCTGCTCTGGGCGGCTCATTCCTGGAAATTTTTCATTTTTCGGGGGAACAAATGTATAAGTCATGTAAAAATTAGCACAAATCGAGATGTCTATTAGGCAAAACTTTCGACACACTATTTGAAAAAGTTTCAAGAACAATGGCCATGTTATTTTAAAACATCGATTTCTAAGCAAACATTGGTAAATACTTTGTTTGTATTTTTTCTATGTTTATTTTAGGTATTTTTTTGTTTTTGACAAGTATATTTTAAAAATAGTATTTGTAAAATATTACCAATTGATAACAAATCGACTTCTTCAACATACTGCAAATCCGCCGCATTTCGAAGTTTCAGCTTTCTACGCAGATCTGACTCATACCTGCAAAATTCTGAGTTTTGATCATTGTTGCAGAAAAAAGATTGCGGAGCGGTGGCTTCAACAAAGTAATAAACTGGAAGTTTTGCAAGTTTTACCATAACTTTTACAGTTTCGCTCATAAATTTTTCTCCGGGGTTGGGGGTATAAGAAGAAAGCTTTTCGCCACATAGAACATCAGATCTTCTCTGAACATTTTCTATTCAACTATGAACGTTTACTCTGTCTTCGTCTTCGCCATTTTGGCTGTCTCTTCCGTTTCCGGAATCATCAACATCGGAGGAGGAAAGAAGTGTGGAGGCAGCAATGGAGGATATGGATCCGGAATCATCATCGGAGCCCCAAAGCCAGGAGGAAAGTAATTTGATGTTTTTTTCGAAGTGAATAAAGTATTTGAGCATTCCAAAAATGTGTTTTTAAAGGTTACTTCGATTAAGGAAGAGTTCTGAGGGATTGAGCTCGTGGGTAAAATATTGGAGTACCAATTTCACTAGTCAGAAGATTTTTAAAAAGTTTTGAGAAAACCTTACCCTGTCAAATCAGTAGCCTGCAACAGTTTGTTGAGCGTGGCGTCGGCGTTCGTCGTAGCTGGTTCATCTCGCATCGCTTGCTGAGGTGGAGCCTTATCTGAAAATTTAAACAATTTAAGAAAAGAAAAAAGAACAATAGAGCACAGACGTCAGTTTTGCGGAGGAGGTTAGCTTCAATTGAAGGAAAGGCGAAACGAAGAAAAAATAAAAGAAAAAATAACTTTGAAAGGGGCACCGGGACGAAGATACGAATTCAAGGCGCCCAGCGAGAGAGTATGAGACGAGGAGAGACGCAGAGTGTTGAAAAGTTTTCATGTTTATCGAACCGGCAAAAATTCATTTATTTTTTGCCACTTACTCTATTTTCATTTATTTCGAAAGCCAAAAAAGGCATTTTTTAAAGTAGAGTGGACGCGGGACCAAAAAGAAGGCTACCATCAATCAAATTGAAAATAGCGCCGGAGAGAAAAAAAAAACCCGAAAAGGGAGAACAAAGAAAAGGGCGAATATCTTGTAGTAGTACACTTCTTGGTAGAAAACGAGAAAATAGTGTTGGAGACATAAAAACAGAGAAAGCTGAATAAGTCACATTAGCCTAATGGAGAAAACGTTGAGAAACAAAGAAACGTAGATTTAATATGGGATGAGAATAGGTCTGAGGTTGGAAACATTAAAAAAATAGAAGTTTGGTTATTGTCCTTGATAACTGTTCATAAGAACTTATTAAAAGCGAATATTCAAAAACAATTTAAATGAGGTTGTTTGATATATTGATAATGACAAAGCATTTTTTTATTCTCTAAACATTAAGACCTTACAATGCTCTCTAGTCAACATAAGGTTGCAATTAAAATCACAGAGAGCCCTGGATCACGAAGAAGCGCAGACAGTTCTATTAGAACATAAAACTATCGTGAAAAAGAAGAATAAGAAGAAGATACCGACACACTACCAATACATACAAATAGAAAAATGGCCCCGAGAGATGAAGAAGATGGTGGCAAAGAAGAATAAGAAGAAGGAGAAGAATCTTTGGGTAAACATGAATCATCTTTTCTCATCGTTCTCTTTCGCCATACACTAGCGCCCTTCTATCGTCTGCATCTCCACTATCTGTGAGGTATTTTGGAGCGTCTACAGTTTTATTCCACTTATCATATACATATATTCGAGGAGATAGGTTGGGATAAAGGATCTTATGTATATTCTTCTTCACGGGTTATATTGTATCAATTGCAGGATAATTGAAACAGAGAAAGTGATAAGTTAAACTTTTCGGTTGAGGAACCTGTTTGATGCAAGAACTAGAAATAGGAACAACATAAAGGTAATGTAAAAAATAACCTCTCAGTAAATTTTGGGCAAGCAAACGGCAAGTTGCTGGATGAATTAGTAAGTTGCTACTGCTTGCTGACCTTGTTCGAGGAGGGTGGTACATCAGCAAGTTGTAGCATGCACGAAACAGTTTTAGCAAGTTGCTATTTGCTTGCTGTGAAAAGAGCAAGTTGCCGATCTCTTGCTGCGTTCAGATGGCATTCAAATGTTTTCGAATTATTGATTTTCCTTTTGTCCTATTTTGTCCTATTTTATCCTATTTTTTGCTTGATTTTATTGTATTTCAAACTAACTTCACAACGAAATGGAAGGAAAGCTTGAAGGTAATATTCCATGCATCGCAAATAAATATATTATATTATTAAAAATGTATATTGCTAGAAAAATTAATATCTTTTAAGATTTGGACAGCTCGGACTAAGATCACCGAGGAACAAAAAGTTGGGAAAAAGTCGAATTATAGGACAAAAAAAAAGATATATTTTGGATAGAACTCTATAGTGGAACCAAGTATGACTTGAAGCGTTTCATTGCAGAAAAATATGTCAAGAAAAAGATAATCTAAACCGGAAGAAAATATATCCAAAGCTCGTCAGAAAATGTTATAATTTTTTTACGATATAGTCATCGAAGTTCGAAAGTATCATTATGATACGATCCACAAAGAACGAGTGGTTTTAACAAGTTAAATATCGAAGAACAACTGGAAAAGCGAACGATTGAAGCATCGACACAGTGAGTTGCTTCCTTCAAAAACAATTTTCAGAGCTTTTTTTTCAGTTATCACACTATTTCTCACAACCTATGCGACAAGCCTGATATGAAGTTGGATCACATCTCGAAATTTTTTTACAAAGTAAGAAACATTTCTCAAGCAGTTCATCAAATCGTATTTTCAGAAGTTCTTGCATTCGCATACAGTCCACTCTGTGAGAACCCTCTGCTATAATCGTTCGTGATGCGAAACGTTGAATATAATTGAACGTCGAAATTTTTCTTGAATGTCGAAGTTGATGGACATTTAAGATACACATTTAGAAGAACTCAAAACGCGAAGGAATGCCTACGTATTTGCAAGAAACTTCCTCAAATTCATGGAAAAATTTTCGGATTTAATTTGAATATTGTTGCCCCAATTTCCCTTACTTTGTACCCCCCACCTATAGTTGACTTCCTTTTTTCCTACAATTGTTTTCTTACTCTGTTTCCTCAATAAATATGTCCTAAATAAATATGTCCACTTCGAAATTATAAGAAAAAAACGCTCTTAATTCGGCAAGTTGCCATCTAGATTTCATGAAGAACGGCAACTTGCTAATATTGGGCAGCAACTTGCCGAAAAATTCCCTGAGTATATGGCAAGTTCGGAGTCCCAGTTATAACTTGAGTTTTAAAATTAAAAACATTTTTGTACAAAGCCATTTAGGGGACAATATATGTCACGACACCTCACGTGACATATCTCTCCTGGACGGTCTTGTACAAAAATTTGTAAACTACAATGCTTGTCTCTATCCTTTTTACAGTAAAAGCTACAAATCAATTGTTCTCCTTTTTAGAGTTTGTGCGTTTTGTAATTATGAGTTGAAGATGACAAAAAGGAGCATATGATTTTTCGGAAAATATATCCAACCTGCCCTATTAATCTTAAAGTTTTGTGGTGTATCCTTTTTGAACGGTCTCCTAAAAGTTGGCTGCTGAAAAAAATAACGGAGAAAAACAAGTCTCAGAAAAGCTAGGTTCACCAGTTTTTACAGAAAGAGGCAATTCAAAAAAAGAAACAACACAAAATGACAAGAATGAAACATAATTTTAATACGACAGAAACGACAGTAAGAAGGGAAAGAAGAGGTTCTGTCGACCTTAATAGCCCTGTTTTTCCTCACAACGGTCGGCCTCTGAAGATGTTCGACCACTTCCCAAACGGTTTGGGATGACATTGATGTGTTAACTACCTGACTAGTAGGAATTTGCCTACTGAGATGCCCTGAGAGAGTAACAACTGGAGCGGAGAAAAAAAAAAAGAAATATAAGTATTTTGAAAGAAAAATGTTTGGGAGAGCTTTCCAGAAAAATAGCTCATTCCAATGAGTCATCCAGGAACAATGTCACTAATTATACGGAACAATGCTCAGTGGATTGTCTGGTTAAATATATGCAATACCCATTTTTCTTTTTCCGTAGACCTAAGAAGATGGCCGCCCCTTGCCGACGACCCACATCTGCTCGTCAAAAAGCTAAGTCCGTTTTATGGCTTCTATGAAGCCCATCCAGTGGCCGAAGAGCGGGTAGATATCGCATAGGTTGGGTGTGTGACACGTCGTAAATTCACAGATTCTTTCGACTAGCCGAGAGATGATGTGGTTCGAGTTGGTAGAACTTAGGGGACCAAATGGACGATAGGTATACCTGGTTGGAAAATCAGTCAAATGTCTAATATCTTTTCGCAGGACTCATTTTACATTTAAACCGAGAATAGAAAAATTTGAAAATGCTGCTAGTTTCGAAATTTAAATTCCAAGTGCCAAGCTCATTATCATGGGGCTACACAGAGCCAAAGAACAATAGAAACGGGAAGTGATAACTCGGAAAATAAACAAATGGAACGGAAGATACATTTCTTTTTCGCCACCCCGAAAGCAATAACTCGAAAAAAAAACAGAAACAATTTCCGGCCAAGTTGCCACCCCGAAGAGGCTCTTACACAATTAGCCAATTGGTCAATTTCATCGAAATGCTTCTTCTTCTTCACAGGGGTCGAGGAGATGATGAGATGGAAGAGAGGGGTGCGAACGTACCCGAACAACTGTCGTTTCATGCGTCATCTCTGATTCTCCTCGCTGGTAATTGTCCCTCGACTGAATGATGGATTGAGAATGAGTCAAAACGAAAAGACAGAGAGTTGAATTGGCTTTTCGAAAGGACCTCTATCTTCTATCTCTTATCTTGATAATTGGAAATTGAAGGACACGGAAAATTTTGAGGCGAAGTAGCCGGATGGAGAGATGAGTAGATAAATGATGAGACTAGGAATAAGGGAATTGTGACAGGTGACAAATGGAGGAAAGGGCATTTTGCAGCAGGTAGAGTTTTTAGAGGGGATATGACTTCTTGGAACGGAAACTATAATTATTATGGCAATACTAATGATTATTTGTTCAGGTATCTGAAAAGTATATGATATTCTTGGATCACCAGGATGCTCATTTTCCAGCTAATCGTAGGCTTTTCATTGTGAAATACCATTCAGAGGAATAATTCCATGTGGAAATTCTACAGTCGTAGCTCATGTTTATTGAATCATTCAAAATGGTCTGTAACCAGTTTTCTTTAACTTTTCGAAAAACCATCAATATGTATAAGATGCTTCATGCATATCAATGAGACGGAACAGAAATCAAAATCCTTCCACAGATTCTCAATTTCTGGTTGATCAATCTTGCCCGCTTTTACTGGCAGGAGAATAATTGCTGAAGGTTCTTTAAGGGAACATGATTTTTGCAAGTTCAGTCAGATATTTAGATGGTTAAATAAAAAGTTAGGCTGCGAGATGTGTCGAAGAGGAAAAGATCTATAAAATCTGTGTGTATATTTAATGTATAAAACGTGTAAAAGTTGAAAGTGAGGGAGAGAGAGTGATTAGGTGAAAGGAGACAACATGTTTCCACTCGATGTAATTCGAACCCTCTTTTCCTTCTCCTGAAGTCGCGGTTCCAATTTCAATTGAAAAAGAATGGAGGGGAAACGTTGAAAAAATAAGAAGTTTTATATAAAAAATTTTCTAGAGAAGAAAGATTCTCTCACCACAAAGTCTTCCAGAAGGAGTTTGGTGCTTCACAATGTCCGCATGTCAAACGAATTTCGAACCAAAAACGGATTATGTACAGAGTCCAAACGAACATTTGATATTAAGATTGTTCTACATATAGAGTTCAAATTTGTCTATTAAAATTTTTAAAGGTCAGCTTCAATGAGGTGGTCGAGAATTCAATGAGGTGGTCGTTTAATTCCAGATTGCGTAGTTTTCTGTACTTCACTGATGAAGATAAATCAGAGAACGTTCAACCTTTTTCTGCAACGAATACTGAAATTATTTTGTTTTGTTTTTGTCATATTTTTTAAAAACGACTTTTTTATAAATGTAAATCTAGTGAAGTTATCAAACATTTTTTGTTTCGTCTGAAGTTTGCTAACACAGTTTCAGGCTATGATTCTTGGACAATATTTTACCTTATGTAATCCTAATAAAATTTTTATGAGCTTAGTGTCTTCTAAACGGACTTGCACCTAATGAGACGTGTACAACTACTATAGCATCATCACATTCGTCGTTATGTTATCAGTCAACAAAACCATAACCCTCCTTCCAAATTTTGCGTTATCAGTTTACGTTAGTTAGTGGTATTTCTTTCTTTCTCTTTTTCATTCTATCACTCCATCCAAACCTCATTAAATTTGTTCTGAAACCGGAGATGTTCTCTCGAATATCGCTTTTTTTAGCGTTATTCCTGGCAGGTGAGTTCTTAAGTTGCATCATGTTTTAGTACCAAAGTTTTAGTGAGCCACGCTGTGCCAGATCTTGATGAGATCAAAAGAAATCTGAAAAAGAATCCGAATCACTATAGGGATGCTCCAACATTGGATGAAAATACAGTAAGGTTACTGAAAGTGGATTATTGGTTTAGAACTGAGTCGATGCTCTATGATGACTTGGATCATAAGGAAAAGGATCCATCTACGGTGATTGCTGGAAATTATACTTTTGAAACACTACATCATGATGTGGAAGGAGGAATGCTGGGAAGGATTTCGGTAAAAATCTCTATAATAAGTTTTCATTTGAGTTAACTCATTAGAGTGTTCAGCTAACTCACTGTAAAACTGGCAACTGTGGAGAACCATCACCAATCTACATATCTTTCCGACAAGGTGGTAATAATGTAGAGAGCGTTTTCAAGGCTTCAGAGGATAGTGATGCCTCATGGAACTTCTTGTACGGAATCGCCAACACTATCTATACTCCACAAGAGTATGGAGAAGGAGACGAGCAGACTGTTGATACGATTTATGGAAAATGCCGAGTAAATTTTGGAAGACCAGAAGACAAAAGATTTAGAAGAATCATTGACAAGTGTGAATTGGGTTATGGACACAATTTCACAAAGTTTGAAGGAATAGAGAGTGTTACTTATGATCAGGATGTTTGGTATACGTGAGTTAATGGAGATAGACCATCGACTAAACGAGAGGGTTCAGACAAAACACAAAAGTGGATGCTGATATTATTATGATTGACGCTGTGGAGATGTTGGCATTCAGAAGTCCGCTTCACGAAAAACACGGCTTCCATGTAGAATCCAGGTTGGTCAAAACTTCCCAGATTTGTAATTGGGTCATTTGATTTCAAACTGAAGAATGCCAATTTCAGAACTCATGTCGAGATTCATAACCGCACTCGTGTCTTTGTAACCAGATACTGCGAAGATACTGTACCATCTGCCCAGTGTGCGGAGCAAGCATTCGGAGCCGTCCGAGTTGGAGGAAAGCTTTATGATAATGTGAAGATTGGACAAGAGAAACCAAACAAGCTCACCAAGTTAATTGGAACTTATAGAAGACATTTGAACGATATGGGAGACTCTCATATATGTGAACAGCATCCTTTGTTGTATGGGCATATCTTGCAGGAAGCTAGATTAGCAAAACGAGAAGATTGGGAAGCAGCTATTCGGTATCCGGAAAATGATCATGTTTTGTGAGTTCTTGGTTTCCGAAATGTCAGATCATATGGTTTGTTCTAGATCTGTTATCGCTAGCTCTCTTGGAAGCGTTGGTACTGCTGAATCTGTCACCACTGCTCGTGAAGTTCTCCTTACAAACTCCCCTGACCATCTCGATGATCTTCTATTTGGAATGTCCCAAAGTTCTTCAAACAATGAAAAGTGGCATAAACAACTTATGTATTGGCTAGGATCCCTAAATAAAGAATCCGAGGATTATTGGAAACTGGCTAACACAATTGCAACGATTCTTCGTAAAAGGTGTGAGGCAACATCAAGTAGTTTGAATTCTTGTAATAAGGGAAAGGAGACGGTAACTTTGATTTGAAGGAAAACAATAAAGTTTCCTCTCTTTCAGATTGTGAACAAGCTTATCAATGATTTGAGTGCTCCTGGAGTTAATGCTAAAGTTTTGGAAGTTCTAGAAAACATCCCAGTCTTTGGATCCTATAATATTGCCAAGAAATACATCTGTACAGAAGAATCGGCTGATATCCAGAAAGCTGCTCTTAACGTTATTCTTGCTGCGAACAAAAACCTATACGAAACCCAACTCACCCATAAACTAATCCGTGTTTTCCGAAACACTTGTCCCCAACAAACTCCAACCTCTCATTCTCAATTGGCAATCGATATCCTTCTGAAATGCGTACCCGATCATCAAAACGTGGCGACGTTGATTTTGAGAACCGAATCTTTGAATCCAGATGATCAAGAAAAATGGAACTACCTTTATAAAGCAATCGAGTCAAGTGGAAAACGAGACGAGTTGAAAGCCGAATTCTGGTCGAGGATGAGACAATTCAAAGTGTTTAGACCAAACTTTTTGCACAGAGCCCTTCAAGCTGATTCTCATGTACATTGGCAAAACATTGCAGATGTGTCAGGTTTTTATCTATTCTCAACCGCTACCGCAGAGTTCATCCATAAATCGTTCAAAAGATCCAACTTTGAACTGTCGCTCAAAAAAGGAAGAATGGATCATAGTTTGTTCTCGGTTAGTATTTTAAAGTGGTTTGACATTATATACTATTTCCAGCTCTCTATCGACACCGAACATCTCGATCAATTTGTTACTGGTTCCGCCTCTTCAACATCTGGTACTCCTGAAGGATCAGTCCGGATAGGAGTCGCTGGACACAAACTTCCAACCAACCACATCTTCAAAGGTAGCACTGACCTTCTCTCCACAGTATGGGATGCCGATGGCAGAACCCATAAGGTTTTTGAAGGACACATTCCAGTCAGAAACACCCGTGTTTCTGTACCATTGTTGTCTGGATTAACTGTGGATGTCGATAGTATCGGGGCGATTACTTTGAGAGTTTTGGCATCGGCTGAGGTTTCATTATGGAATCAAAGATCCAATGCAAAAGCAGAAGCATAGTAAGCCACGTACTAAAATATTTGGGTGAAACATGAGCATTGTCTTTTAGCACATCTGGCTCTCTCCATCTCACTGCATCACTGTATCAAGAATCCCAACAAGTTCGCAAAATTGAATCTACTATCTCAGCATTATCCACGTTCACCATTGACACCAGAGCAATTTTCGAGTCTCTCCCTTACGATTTCTGTCTGAAGACATCGAATAACAACGTGGATGTTAATCAGAAAACAGTTATTGAAGAGGTGTCGCATAAAAAGAAGACGTATAACAGGAAACGAGTTCATCCAGGAGTCACTTATAGATTGGATGATTCAACGATTCGACAGTGTACTAATTATTTAGAGCAGTTCAGATTATAGATTTTGTTCTCTTTGTTTGTTCTCGGAATAATAATAAAATTATTTATTTTAATTTGACTCAAATCAGTCTGGAATCTAGAATTTAAGAAAAAAAATCCGATTGGCAGATTTTAATCTACCGTAAAGAATGCGACTGTATCATTATCAAACCGTTCGAAAGATTTAACAATGACCAACTAATAAAATGTTTACCATAACAGAAGTATTTATCAGTTGACATATTTCGAAAATCTTTTACAAAAACCATAGTAAAATGCCGAAATTACGGTATTCAGTGTCGGCAGGGAATCTCTCACTTGTTTTTGCGATGTCTTAAGATTTTGAAGACCCTATCATAAATCCACATTTAAAGCTTCAACAAAAACTTGTCCTAGTCTCACTCTCTCTCTCTCTCGTTTTTGTTTCTCTTTACATCTTCTTCATCTTTCTACCTGACTTCCCGCCCGTGCAACATCTCTCATATCAACACCAAACGACTCGCACACAATACGCACCTGTCGGGTGAAATCAAACCAACAGGTGTGATAATGGATTCACCGTTGCGATGAGGGTCCTCTCCCCTGAATCCCCTCCCCTTTTTTCTTCCAATCAACCAATCACTCGTTTTTGTTATCCACTGATTGGTAGTGGTGATAGTGGGAATTGGAGGCCTATTAATTGGAGCAGTTTGGTGGTTTTCTTATTCTTTGTTTTTTTCTTCCAAGAATTCGTTCATACTAGAACTTATACAATCAATTTCAGTAAAAAAATGAGCACATCAACAAGAAAAAGTATTTTTGAAAACATTGAGGACCTCATTTCCCCGGACCCGATCCCATCATCATCATCCTCATCTGGTAGTTGCTCTTCTCAGGAAAACCAAAAACTAATGGTAAGTTCCTAATGCAGACAAATCAATCTAGTGAAATTTCAGTGTCAATTTTGTAAGAAAACCTACCTGACATATTTTGGTCTTCGACGACATTTACAGTTCCACAAAGAGGGGAAGCTTCAGCAAAGTTGTCCACATTGCAAGAAGGTTTATCGGTGAGTTAAATGTGATCCTAGGAATTTCAGTTTTAAAAAGAGATTTCAAAACCGTTCAGTGCAAAAGATAATGTTTTTAAAATTTTGTAATTAAATAATTAGTTACTCCTCTAATATTACGTCATCATGATAGATGCCTGAGGATATCTAACAAACATTTTGCATGATTCTAATTGAAAATAATTGGAAAATGTTTTTTTGCTTCCCTTCCAGCAAAAATCGAGTTTTTCAAATCTTTAATCACCATGGCGTTATAATACAATCTTGAACATTTCCTAGACGTTTCATAGTTTCCTAGACGATAAGGGTTAAGTGCTCACTTTTATCTGAATTCTAGAAGTTTCCAAAATAGGTTTGAAAAAATGTAAATGAACAATAAAGATTTGTTACAAATTATGATGAATGCTATCTTTTTTGTGTTAGCAATATTTATTGGAAGGGGAATACGGTATGCCGGATCTCTCCTAGCAGGTCCTTGAAACAGGAGGTTCAATAGAAACACTATATTATGGCAAATTCGTGATTATTCCAATTTTATTTTCACTTGTCTAATATAATGTAGTTTCGTGGATCAGGTGACGGTTCCGTTTTCTGGTGGAGGGGAATAGAAAGGTGTTGACGGCAAGCAGGTGTCACAATCAGATATGCGTAAATCGGAAGGAGTGGTATGAGAAGTGCCGCTTCACACATTAACTCATACTATCCATCTATCCGCTCGGGAGTCTGTGCATCTCGACCGCCGGAAGGAACGATGGATTGATTGGATTAGAAGGATTTGCCTTTTGATATGCCGGAAGAGATGAGACCGAGGTGCGCGAAGGCTTTGGTTCAATCATAAAGCGAGTGGTCCGGTTCAATAATCTACTGGGTAGAGATGGATGCATGAAGTGCAAGTGACGTATCATTCATTGAATTTTCAATCGATTCGATCCAAACGGCATCTGGTGGCTGTATCCTCTACTAGCTTCTTCGAGTTACCAGATTTTCTGCTCTTTTGTTTTTTTTCTCTCCCATCTCTCAAAAGCTTCAGATTTCAACAATTCATGTAAACCTGGTTGTATACACAAACGGAGAGCAGGCACCTCTTTCTTCTCTCAATTGAGATCATCTACCTGACTAATCAGGTGGAGGCAGCTGACCGGCAGGTAGATAAGAGAGAGAGAGAGAGAGTCGAATTACCCAATTTAACGAGGGAACTGCTCCCGGGAGCCATTGACGACATAAGCTTTATGTCAGTCTCGTACCTGTTGCTTGTTGATAGCTCATACGCAAACACACCTGTGCCATTTGGAAAGAGAGATGGAAAGATCGAGGGGCACTGATAAGCAGGGAGGTACAGAGATAACAGTTGACTTCAAAGCTTGTTGCTTCTAATTATTATAAAATCTTCCTGCATTTTAATTTTTTCAGATCCTCTGGTGCTCTTAAAATGCACTTGAAGACACATTCTCTCCCTTGTGTATGTAACGATTGTGGAAAATCCTTCTCAAGACCATGGCTGCTCAAAGGCCACCTACGAACCCATACAGGTATAACAGTACGACATTTACAAGAACTTAAACAAGACAGATTTTCCAGGAGAAAAACCGTTTGGATGCGATTCGTGTGGACGTTTTTTTGCGGATCGATCAAACCTACGAGCACATCTACAAACACATTCCGGAGAAAAGAAGCATCGATGTTCGAAATGTGAACAATGTTTTGCTAGAGTTCAAGTTAAGCAGAGGCATGAACAGTGTTGCAGAGTTGGAGTGAAGTCTAATGAAAAGGCTAATGATGAATAAATAATTTAATAGTAATCGATTTTTTTTCGTTGTGGTACTTGAACTATGACATCTGAACTTGTCATTGTTCGCTATCAACCAGTAATTAAAACATTCTCTTTGCAAGGAAGACATGGCTTCCTTTTTCGCAGTTATTAACAGAACGTGTATCGCGTCGTTGGTCAATTGGGCTGAAATTTGCTCATGACAGAAAAGATAAATCTATCTGAAATTATTTAAATAATTGTTCTTGGGTGAAATTTGATGGTGTTTTTTTGCTAATATCATCAAGAAAATTTTTCTTTAAAAAAACACAACCCCAAGAACTCAGGGCCAATTTTTCCAAATGTAGAAAATAAATAAATATAAGTTTATAGGAAATAAATAAATATAAAATTTTAGGTTTTTCATTTTGAGATTTGTTGTTTATTCTGTGCCTTCTTTGTTCGACGACTTATTCTAAATCATACCACTAAGTTTCAGCCCCGAATCTCTTATTTTTGATTTGGAATCCTGAAAGTCTGAATTCTGATTTTTCAAAATTGAATATTTCAAGAGGCGTTTGATGAATTAAACGTTTTAAACTTTTTCTTTGTCTTGTTCCTATTGTTTGAATCAACAAGTACAGTTGACACGGATGTCTTTAGTAGATGTACAAACATTTTGGATATGTGTTAATACGATATGCAAACATATTCTATGAATAATATGCATTTATATATCTGTTTCAGCAGTGAAATTTCGACTAATCAACAGAAAAAAAGATGAAGAACGGTTTATGCAAAATGAATAAGAAACGAACATGATTTTTGAACTCGTAGTTGGGAAGCATGTGAACTTCAAAGAAGTGAAAGACGAAGCGGACAGAATTAGGTTTCAGAGATCAGTGAATTCAGATATTTTTCGAGATTTTTAATTCCAAATAGATATCCCTCATCGCGTTGGCCGTTTGATTCGAAAGCGTGAGAGAAGTCTGAAATTTAAAGTTTCCATAACGAATAAGGTGCAAGAATTACCAATCATGACGATCCTCAAATTGATTGGAAGCGTTTTATCGGCTTCATAGACAAAAAGAAGAGAAGAAGCAAAGAATTTAAAGGATTCTTGAGATTCAAAAAATTCTTTGAATGGTTGCAGTCTGTCTAAAGCTTCTTGAAGGACCATTTTCAAATCAGCATGTCTGGCAGAGAAATATTCAGATAGGCCATTTTGAATGTTGGTCTCGTCGAATGACTTTCCCCAGTCCTTGTCACGTATCTCGACTTCCTTATTGCGTTGATGGATCTGAAAAAACAATAAGCTGAATAGTTGCTCTGAGACTTTACATAATTATGTTTTTTTCTCGAAAACATAAACCTATTTTAGAAAAAGTTTTACTGTACATTCTATTCGCTTCCCCAATCCCTCTACGCAATTTAAACTTTTCCACGAGAGATCTATCCAACAGGTGTGATCGTATCCTGTAATGTGACACCCTTTATGACCGCCTGTATTCTATCGGTCCCTTTTTTGATTAGGTAACCGGAGAACTTGTCGCGTGGCTGTAAATCGTACACTTGGGATAAGGCGGCACTTAGTAGGTGGATAAGAAGAAGGCACCACACCACTTGTTCACCAGATTAACACGAAAAACAAGCACTTGTCATTATTAGATAAACTTTTTTGAAAAGAGGTTTACTTGTAAACGACCGCAGAGGATTCGAAAAAGGACCGTGATATTGTTAATATTCACTTAACGGGGGATGAGTCTAATTGAATAAAGGAGACAAGAAAAGGGTAATTTTGTTATTACTTGAATTAACCAATCCCTTTTCTTTATTGCCAGCTATCTCATCTCATTTCTCATTCAAAAAAAAGAAGACACCATCCTTCAAAGAATCTGTCTCCAGATGTTTCCGTTGTCCATTCCAAAGTCATGAACCAACCATAATCCCGTTTCGTAACTTGTTCTTTCGAGAGTGTCGGTGTCACAATTGATCGTATAATTGCACCCATCTGTGAGCATTCTTCTGCCGCCTTTTTGCCGCGGCATCCAAATTGCAACACTTGCCGGATGGACGTGAAAGTGTAGTGAATTGAGAGACGGAGACAGAAACCGTCACAAAGAAAGGGATTTATACGGACGGGTGGATCTGGTAGATCGACATATGAGCGCGGGAGTCAAGAATAGACGATTAACCCTTTCCGTAAGCATTCCAGTGGATATGGATCAAGACAAAGAGATTTTGAATTTTTAATGGACGACCTAGATGGGACTCTTAGAGCTTACCCTGTAGCCAAGTATTCTGAGACCCATGGTAGCTTGTGGTGGGTATTTTATCGTCTCCTTCTCGATTTTGGCGGCACTGGCTAATGGGTCGTAGGTGACTTGACCCATTTTGAGATCCAAGATTGCTGGACGGGTATAGTCGGATGTCACATCTTCGAGGACAAGGAACTCACGATCTGAAATAAGATGAGCATTGAGGAATATGTAAATTTTCTTTCAATAAAGTTAAAAATGGTGTTTAGTTCACAACCGCTTCAGGTGCTACCTATTTCGGCTTACAACGTTTGTCGGAACTTTGAAGAATCTCAATTTTCAACGTTTTGAAGTCCTTCAGGTTTTGGTATTTTAATTCCCTTCTGGATTTCCTATTTTCTCGAATATTTCCAAATTCTAACCTATTCTTCCCTTTTTCACCTAAATCCACTCTATTCCCCATCCAATTTGGCACGTCATAAAAATGCAGATTCGCTTTTTAAACGAAGCTGTTTTCTTTTTACAATTTGAATTCAAATGAATCGCATTCAAATTGGTCATCCTCGTTCATTTTCTCTGATGATGATGATGATGGTCAAAAACGATGACACCCGACCGGAGGGCGTAGCACCGTCATTTTTATCAGGAATGAAAGCGAAATTGGACAGGCGTGACACTATTAAAAACATCTGCCATGCTTATGAAGATGGGCGCCAGAGAGGATGCAATTTAGAAGGGAATATCTCATGTTTTCAAAAACTGCAAAACAAGCCAGGAGGTGGAAAACACCATAACCATCTAAAAAACTCAAAAAGGAATGTTTCTTTCTGATTATTCTACAGAATATTGAACTAATGGATCAAGCTTAAAGCCGTTTCCCACATTTATTCCAAAAAAACATTAAGGCTCCCTCTTACCTTCTCCATCCACAAACAACGTCTCCATTCCATAAAACTTCGCTGTCAACCCCTTCATCCGATTCACATCCTTCATTCGTGTTCTGCAAAAAACTATAGCATCATATCTAATATCCGGCAATGGTAACGTCTACTTGTTTGACATCATCACGTCAATCAACTTACCCGTTACGCAATCCATCTGAAGACGTTGTCAAGAGGGATGAAGAAGTCGTGGCATCCACAGAAGAAGAAGATGATAGTAGTTTGTAGAGAGCTACCTGGAAAAGTAGTGTTGCGTCAGTGGTTTATTTTTTATCAGATTGCATATCAAGGACTAGTTAGTATTCGGATGACTTCGAAATGTTATGTAACATGTTGGAGGATTGACGTGTGTCATTAGTGAAGAAAGTAAAAATTAATGGGGGTATATCAAGGTTAAAGTTTGAATATCAGAAGTTGAGCCTTGATATGAAGCCCTTCTGTAAATTTAATCAAGAGGTCATGTACCCCAGATGAGGTTCCTGTAAGAGAAAACACTGTTGATTGATGAAATGTTCACCATATAACAAGTAGTGAATTTCAAAAGTTTTAATTTTCACATCAAAGTACTGAAATTTCAAAAATTTTTGTGAGCCACGTGAATCTTTTGAATCTCCCAAAAGATGGACCGTTAAGTTTTTGGGAGCAACGTGTTTTTTCAACAAATATAACAGAAATATTAACACTTTCTGATTATTTTTGCCAAAATCAAAACTTTTGAAAATCACTACTTGTTATATTGAGAATAAACGTTTTTTTAGCTGAAATTGTATGATAAATATTGAGTTCCTGATTGTTAGAAAATGTATTGCAATCTTACTATCTATACACATATCTTCATAGAACATTGACAAGTATTACGTAACATATCAATCATCATCCAAACAACATCGTGCTCACATTTCTCTGTTTCTTCTGCTTCAAGCTCACTTTCCAAATATCTATTACCCACTTAACTCACTTCTCTCGAGCTCACTGGGTACATAAACTCTGAGAGATACAGTAATTATTTGTGGGAGCATTCACTTGATAAGAAGTGGCTACTTATTAGGTAGTAAGCATCCTGAAACTACCTACACAAAAGACGAAATCTGAGAGCTGACCCAAAATAGGCATGTGATCTAGAATTAGTGCAAATTAGTATCGTTACGCCATAATACTACACATAAAATCTGAAACCCTGCGTAATGTTCCCAGAGGGTCTTGGAATTTATGTCCTCCCTTAATGATACCATATGTTTGGTATTGCGCTATGATGGGATTGGTCACAGGTGTATTTCTTGACTGGGACAACTTCCTCTAAACAGTAGGAACAGAAGGTTTTCAGCTTGCGTCATCCCCGTTTCCGTGTCAACGAATCAGATACGGATGGGTGGTGGATGTTATGACGCCACTACTATTGTCTCGAAACATTCATGACGGGTCGAGAGATATATGTGAGAGCAAAGTGAGAAGAACACTACTAGATCTAGTAGTTTTGGCTTACCTCTTTCTCTCCGCGGCTGGCATCTTGCTTTGGCTTAAGAATCTCGTGTGATCCTGGAATTTTTAGAAGACCTGAAATATAAATTTGAATTCGTGAAATTGGAAGGAACACATTTGAATGAATGATGAAAAGTTGATACATTTTTGGGTCAATGAAACTGTTTTAGATTTGGTTGCGTTTTGGTAAACAAAAGTAGAACTTAATTTCAGTAGTTGAGTTTTGAAATATTTAAGCCAAATAATATAATACATGATGATTTGGCATCCTCAACCTTTTAGGTCTTCCAGGTCAACCTAACCCATCTGTTCAAACTTTCTTCTTATTCAAACGTCTCCGTTTCCGTTTTCTAACAGATAATTTCTCTGTCTTTCTATTTGCCGATTTACATAATAATGTGCGATTAGCCTCTCCCTATCCCTATTCTCTTCAATGGAACGACTTGTTGTCTTTTGTTTTTACAGCAGCTTCATGTTTGCTCAGCTGTGGGTTATGAGCCACACCTCAATTCTATACGATCCGAAATTTTAAATTTTTCCTAACAAGCTCCAATTTATTAGAATTCTTGAACTTTTAGGCTTACAGAAACCTATTGGAGAAAATTCACATGTTTCTAATATATGCAAAAATAAACCTCACCAATCTCCCGCTTTCCATTTTTGATTACTGATGGATGGTGTCCAGCAATCTGATCCGGGAACCATTGATAGCTTTCCGGAAGTCCTTCGCTTGACACCGAACCCATTCTCTGAAAAATGTTCATCCATCATATTATAGATATTCGATTATGTCATCTGGTATGCACACCAGATCAGTCAGAAACATGTATGGAGAGGGTGTCTGCTGAGAAGGAGGAAATGAGATGAGCACGTGTGAAATCGACTCAAGCACACATGTTCACCCAATTTAGAAAAAAGAAGAATTTCAGGGGTATAATTAGTACTCTACTAGTACACACCAGAAGGTGTAGCGAATTTAAAATAGGTGTGTTGTTAAGGAAATTCGAATTTGGCATCCGACGCAAACCAGAGAAAATAGAAAACGTAAAAGCGAATTCGATAAGAAAACAAATAATACTTCATGAGGGTGGACATTTTTGTTCTGCTCTGAAAACATGTTATATTCCTATACATAGACTATATATAAGGAAGAGGAACATATGATATTTGTACAAAAAGAGGAAGGCAGAAAGTGAAAACTAAACAGATATGAAATCACTTTTCGCCCAAGGGAGAGATTTACGAAATGTTTAAGTGTGTCATCTTGTTGTGAGAAACGGAAGTAGATAATCGAATTGAAAGATGAAGAAAACCAAGAAAGCTGAAAAATGGTAAAAGGGATTTTCATGATGATAAAAGCAAGAATTTAAAATATTTAAACCAAAGTCCGGAGCATTTTATTCGTTGAAAATTTTTAAAATTATATTCTATAGACATTGATACGGTGCTGAACGTTTTTGGTGTACATATTTTCATATTTTTCTCATCTTCTTTATTATCTCTTTATTCCTTTTCCTTCTCATTTCTCCTCCACAAGACACCCTGACCGTCTAATCTGCTATAAACACCTTCCCAGTGTTCTTTTTCCTAATGCTTTTATGATGCTTCCATAAAGAAAATAGGCGATAACTAATTGCGCAATGATTACGAAAACCAATTAAAAGTGGTATGTGGCTTTGGTTTGTAATCCCTGCCTATTCTTGGAACCTTTTCATGGCTTATTCAAAAGAGAACAATCGAGAGAGGGAAGAGGAAGAACCACCTGCTCCGGAAAACGACGGCGAGTGGTAAACATTTGCGTGTTTCCTAACTAATTTGAACAAGGTGATCAAAATGTTCACCCAATTTAATTTTTGAAGTTTATTTCACAATCAGTCAACGTTTGCAATAAAAAAAACAATTTTAAAGTACAATTCCATGTGGTAGAAAAGATGAAAAAAGTTTGGAGAGGAAGGCGAACAAAAAATTTTGGGCGCAGAAAAAGAAGATCAGGCCAAACGATGGAGTGCTGCACTCCAATATGGAGTAGAAGAGACGCAGAGAGGCGAGCAAGGACAACAAGAAACAAGAGAAAGACACACGCTTTGGGGTGGAAGAAACATTAGAGAATAGAGGAATTGCTAACAGAAACAACTAACTATGAAGACAATGATGCACACTGGTAGAAGGCTTGGGACAGGGTATGGTTAACGGTCGGGTGGTTCATATTACTGTGGTTCTACAATCTTATCTTAAGGAATTAGGTTTTCAAAAGATAAGTTTTCAATGTTTTCTAAAGATTAGAAATTAAGACTCCTCGCATTTGTCCAGTCAGAATCTGTGGTTCTTCAGCAGTAGTGGTCCCTGTCAAATCTTCAAACTGGGTCGAATCATAGGTCTGTCTTCGATATTTGTTGATGTTAATGTAGGTGTGGTTGATCTCCGAATCACTCATGCTGGCGGCATCTTCATTGGAATCAGTATGTGGTGGAGACACGGAGTAGGCAGAATCAGATTCGTTCGGTGTGGAACTTCTGAGTGGAGATGCCATACGAGTACGTCTTCTAGTCGGACGGCTCTTTTGTACTTCCTCCTGTGGCATATCGACTGGATAGTACTTGAGACACTCCGAACTGGATGAGATGTGTTTTTGGGTCTCACGACGATAACGGCGTGACTTCCGGGACTCTTTTGGTTGTGGTGCCTTCCGTTGACATTCCTCATTGAGATCGTGATGATAAGTCGGGTACCTGAAGGAACAGGAGGGTCTTAATTAAGCGTTGAAGAAGTAGAAGGAAGAGTGACCACCATATGATTATAATTATAGGGACAAGACAGTGCCGACGGCTCTCGCGCAACTCCTTCACCAAATATGTCAAGATGGTCTACCGTATCGAGTTTCTTATTTTTCCTATTTTTATTAATGCAATTATATAAAACGCAATGTACAGAAATACTGAGGTGTTGTAAGAAATCTGAGCTAGGTGACGATTCCAACGGTATATCCGAAAATTCCGAAAATATAGTATTCCCATCATTATTCAAAAAAGACCGCCTAGGATCTAACACATTACCGCAAAGGAACACATCTGTCCTAACACCTTTTACAAAGAAATCGGGCGATCCTTCTAATCTAACCGAAACCCCCTTTTAAGACAATGACGGGAATGATCGTAGACAGCTTTCCCAGAAGCATAGTTCTCCTAGTTCTCATGGGGTTATATAAAACTTACTTGTTCTTGGCAGGCAACAGAACACCAGGAGGGGAGGTTGGCGCAGGGTAGGAAGACTTGGCAACGATGACTGGAGAAGCTGATGGCATGATTTGCTGAGAAGATTTGATTCCACGCGAGAACAAACGAGCAAAGATGCTTCTTCTGTTGTTGTTGTTGTTGTTGTTGTTGGACTTTTTCAAATTGTCATCTGAAGACGTCGACGACTCTTTTGCTACCATCATAGACATTCCGGTTTGGCACTCGACGGTGTTCTTCTGGGCTTTTGGTTTGGTTTCCAGACGAACTGGAGAGTTCGTGGGCACCGAAACAAAGTAATGGTCGGCCATTTTATAGACGAATCCGGTGGCTAGGAGAGAGGCGATCGTCTGGCGTACCTGGAGGAGGTTGTAAATTAGGAGAAGGAGTTCACTGAAGGTTGTAAAGTGAACGATTCGAAAGGAACAATGATTTGAGAAATAGACGTTATTCAGAAATTTTAACTTGTATGCCACTAGCTATTTAGATTGGATACCTCTAATGGCTTTCCTATCTTTCATGTCTATCTTGACACGTGGGACCTAATAATTATCCACTTTAACCTAATCCAGTTCCCATTTCCAGCAAAACTAACCATTTCAATTCCGGGTGGTGCTACATGCGGACAGTGGCGAGCCACGTGCTGTCGAATGGATTGCTCTGTCGCCGCCAAACCTCCTCTGTTCAATTGTGCGACCGCGTCACAGATTACGTCTCCCAGAGGAACAAAGTGCATCTGCTCAACTTGTTGAATTGCACCGAGATCGCCTGTAATTTAATATGTTCACCTGTCTTAACTAATGACTTATGACTTTCTGAGGTGAGATGTCCTATGGTATCTAAGGGTGTGACAGGTGCATCCTATTAGCGAAGAAATGAACGATGAGGTGGTGAAATGTCTCTTACAGTAATCTTACATGATGATTATACATTGGCTCCCGATTGATAGTAGAATAATAGAATAAAAGCCTCTAACACTTCCTATGGTTCTATACCCTTCCTCCCTATTCATAGGAAATGACTCACCCAACGATGTGATTGTATAGCCAATTGCCGGTTTCAAGATGCGTCGAGCCCATGCATCTTTAAGCACTGCCAATTGTGCGGGTGCTCCCGTGATGAAAAGGGTGCCAGGGCGCATAAAGCCCATGTAGGTTATACAGTTGCAAGCAGTGGTAAGATCCCTAAAATAAAAAAAAATTAATATAAAAAACAGCTTTTTTTTTAGACTAACCGATTCCAGAACATTTGGCGGTTCTGATCCAGGAAACTATCGAACACCTTGCGACCATTCTTAGCTTTTGGTCCGTTCAGCACAACGGCTAGATAGGTCATATTTGATTCGGAAATAAAGGGTATCTGTGTTCGAAAGTAGGTAGAATGAGTCCTTCTGTCAGTATGCGGGAGGCGGGGACACGACCCGGGTGGTGGTGGCGAAGTGGGCGGAGCTTAGGTTGGCGATGGGGGACGGGTGAAGAGGCTGCTGATGGAATGAGAAGACGAGACGATCGTGAGGCGGGATGAGAAAAAATTGCTAAGGAGTTGTTGTTTTTCTGAAATCTGAAAACAATAGGTGATAAGGGAAAGTGAGAGTTTCGTGGAAGGTGGAAAAGTGCGGTAATTAAAATAACTTAAGAAGACAAGGACTGGGAAAAAGAGTTATATGATTGTCTAAAAATAATGAAAAACCGAAGTTGCGGAAATTTGGAGAGTTGGTTTTTTTCGTTCTATCACTAGTTGACCTATTTTTGATATCTATTGTGGAAACAGAGATAATTGAGCTTCCATGCACTTACTTCCTTTCTTATCTTCCTATACAAGCAAGTATCACATTAGACCTGAAAAACTAATAAGCCAGAGTAGTGCTCCTACTGTTCCTGCTTCCCTTAGCCACGTCATTGTTTGTAACCTACACCGTATTTGTTACTTATACCTGAGCAACTGTACAATTACACCTTCTTTAGATCTTAGTATGAGTCAAAAGGCCAAAAAACTGTCCGGCTGTACCAAAGCAGCTGTCCGATCCATTTACGGTAAACCTCAACTGCTTATCAAATGTTTATCTTCAAAGGTGTGTGCGCATATGTGGTCACTCTCCGGAAGTGCCCACAAAAGATTTACAACTTTTGTCTAGTATGTTTGTACAAGTTATCAGTAAGAATCTATTTAATGCCGCCTGGATTTTAGACCATCTGCTTCAAATAGGAGATAAAAATGTGTGCAATGAAAAAGGAACAGGTGGCTCAGGAAATTTGAGGGGACCCTGATATGATGCATATATGTACATATACCATAGTTGCAAAAAGCCGGGCCGGGCCGGGCCGGGCCGGTAGACGAATTTTCTCGGCACGGCCCTTTTGCAACTATGATATATACAGAAGGGATTGTTAAGGAAAAAAGAAAACAAATTCAGGAAGATTAAGGTGTATCGATTCCGAAAAAAAAAACTGTTTGTCTAAACGGAACATGATTCAGCATGAAAATTGAAAATCTAATTACTTCTGAAACTTTAAAAATTTGCCTGAAATTTTCAGAGTGGCGTAAAATGTTTTTTTTTTAACGGATAAATTATAGAAATGAACATTTAAGTTTGGCTGATATACTTTGAAAATTATAGAAACCCCCAATAAGTTTATTTTTCAGCCGAAAGATTAGGTCAGTCTATTTTTTTGATAGCGGTGGTACTCAAGAAAAAAAAATTACGAAAATTACGAAAATTTACATTTTTTGTAAAAGTACACACAATTAGGAGTGTGATTGAATGAGTTTTTTCACCTCACGCACAGCGTTTTAACGACCTCCAAATTCTAGAAGAGAAACAAATGTGAACCCTCGCTCCTCAACGTCGAGACGTGATAAGCATCTAATGGTGGCGGAGGCGTCATGAAAATTCAATTCAGAAGAAATTACATACCACCATCGTTTCTCACCCACTTTCACAGATTTATGATTGTCTCGGTGCCAGTCTACGGAATAGAGAAATACGAAAAGTGGGTGAAGAGAGATATTGAAAAGGCAATTTTGTATATTTTGAAACCTATACACACCACCCCAGGACACTCTCTTTTTGACAAGTTAATTTACTTGCGTTGCGTGTGTGGCCCACTCTTAGACACCCCAACGGAACAAGAAGCAAAACGCGGCCATATTTTTGAATTATTACCTTTGCCACCCCCTCGGCTCAAGGAACATGTAACAGCTGCCTTTTTGATTTTCGAAAAAAGTTATGAATGTGTCTGGGAAAACTAAACTGTGTGTTCCAGGTCGTAATATTATTCTGAGATACATGAAACCTGCAGTGAAAGAGGCGCGTTTGTTCCAAGTTTGATGCACAGGTGCCTCATAGTTAGTTGGCATTGTTTTGATGAATGAGGTTCATGAACTCGTGCTAATACATCATCATGTCGAGGAGGGCAAATCTAACCATGTATGCATGGAAATTAGTGTTGATAATAAAGTTACCGTGATGGATGCATAGAATGAAGAGTTACGGTAGACCCAGATAGGCAATAATGTGTTGATATTGACAGATACCTAAATAATATACATTCGAATTATCGGCACCGATGAAGAAGACATAAATCATGGGATGTTCCTTATTAGAGAGAGTCAACAAATTCAAAGTTGTAGCTATATTTTTAACGATCTAATTAAAAATATTCACATATTTCTCGCCTAATTTTGAAATTTTTTAAGGGACCAAACACCCATGCCTTAAAAATTTTTATATATAATTCTACATTTTTCATTGATCTTCATTTCTGTCTAGTTCGAAATGCTTAAACTTTAAATTGCTATTGAGACGGGAATTTTGCGAGACAGTATTTTCAAATTCCTATACCTGACTGACAACCGGACATCGCAACGCCTTGGATTACCGTATCATTGCTCCAACACCATCTGCTCTTCTTCTTCATCCAATTTTACAGATGTTCGTTTTCTTAGAAGATAAAAGAACTACGCGGCAAATTGCGCCATACCGTGTCAACATGCAAGGCATACACACTTACCATCCGGCACTCACTCAATTAGAATGATATGGAGAATTGACGCAATTTTGAGCACAAACACTCATCATCTGCTTCTTTGAAAGAAGAACAGTAAAGATAAGACGTTTAGATATGAATCTAATTGCTGCCGGCTCTTTGGGAATGCAACGGAAGTCGTCGGTACGTGCGACTAATTGGCAGGTTGGGGACAAGATGAAAGGTGTTCTCGCGCATAGATTAGCGGATGTTCCGTTAGATGTTGACAGGAATTGTCATGGACGAGAAAGTTTCAGATTAGGTGGGATAGCATGGATTGAGTGGAACACGGCGTTCAAGAGGAGATCGTAAGTGAGTCACGATCATGGATTGAACTTAACCGATTTGAAGGGAACACTTCAAAATGTCTGCGTTTTCATCAACTTCGAAATGGCGCAAGGACCTCAATTACCGCAAAATCTGTGATAGAAGGGCCGCCACACTGACAAGTTTGAGCTCAACTATCTCGGCTGCCATAAGAGATATCAAAAATAAGTCAACTGAAAAAATGTGTGTAATTTTATGATAAACAATTTATCGGTTAACAACTTTTTCATATTTTTAACAGGAACCGAGATAGATTGCATCAAAGTTCCAAGTGAGGGGGGCCTTCTATCACAGGTTTTACGGTAAGCACCGTTTCTATGATTGGTTCTACGTAGATTGTTGAGAGATAACCCACTTGAGGATATACACGACTTCTACCTCCAGATTATACTCTTTTCCCACCTCATGCCTATTTTTTCCCTTTCACCATCAAAAGCACCGCGCATGTGCCAACCTTGATTAACCTCACAGCAGTTGACAGTCAATTTAGACATCCCACTGCTAACTTCTACTCCCATTCTTCTAAAAGATTGCGGTTCGCGATCAGAGGCGTGAATGAAGATGCAAGTTGGCAGCATCTTTCGCCCATTAAGTGAAAAAAGAAACGGGCGGCACATTAAAATGACCCTGGAACCGCCAATTAAGGCACTTTCCGATGCACGCAACTGGTAAACGTTTGGACACACTCTTTCAAGAAAAGAGGATGCGCCTATCAAAACAAGGTTTGAGTAATTCGAGGTGATGGCATAAGGTGGTCCGTTGGTGGGTTTATGAAAGTATAGGGTACGAAGATTCGGGATGGATAGAAGGGGGAGCGTCGGGAGTAAATAAAGAGCTGCTAACAAAATGATGGATGAAGAAATGGAAAGAAATGGAAGCTGCTTGACCCCAAGGGAAAATTTATGGACGGCGTGCTTCAAAACCGATGAGAAATGTGACTGGAGCGGTGATAGGGCAGAACAGAAGAACTAGGAAAAAAAGATGATGAAAGTTTAAAACACAGAGTAACAAGCTTTTTAAAGTTTGTCGATTAAAATAGAAAAACTATGCTTCCAATTTTCGAAAAATAACTGTAATATTTGCAAAAACCGGCCCACTGGCACCTACCTGTCTGTAAAGTTTAGTGATCTTCGGACTGAAGCTCATAGGGTTACTGTACAATATTTTAACCTACAAAAAGTACAACATATCTTCTTTGCTAAACGCAACAAATCTTAATCAAACAATTTGTATTCTTCCTTTTGAACATCCTGACGTAATAGAGTCGGAACACTTTCTACAATAATCTGGGAAGTGTGATAATCCACTCTCTGCTAAATTATGCAATAGGTCGTCCTTTTTAGACGAGAGCTAAAAAAATTACACTAAATGGGTCAGGAGACCTCTTGAACAACAATGTGTGCATCAGAATGTGGAAAAAAAGCGGAGAAGGACCCACTTGAATCACTTGTTTCCGGTTAATGAATGATGAATAAAGTGAGAGAGGGCGAAGAGAGCGAAGGCATGGCAATTTAAAATCAGATGCTAAATGAGACAAAATGGAAAGGGATATGGGCTGTCGAAAGAGAGTAGAATACGCCATGTTTTTGATGGTGTAGACACAAAAAGAAAGCGAAGATTAAAGGGTTTTTTTCAGAAAATTGTAGGTTTAACGAAATGGGAAAGTAAGGTCAGATGAAGCAGATCAGAGGAAATCCGTTTGAAATTATTGGTGTTGAAATTTTTTTTAGTGAAAAAATTAAGAACAGTGCTATGTTAGTATTTGCAGCAATCCGAGCTTGTTGAGCAAATTTGTATTATTTTTTGAGTCAAATTTTTATTGATGTGGTGCATAACTTTTCAGAAATGAGCTGTAATAAATTGACAATTTGCTGAAGAACTGTGTTTGAACAAGCTTTGGAATGGTGCAATGAAAACTGATAGGGATTTCAAGCCAGAATCCTTTGAAAGTCGAGATGCCTGATGCTTCTCTCTAATATCCATTGGCAACCTTGTATTCACCTTTCCTCTCCAGACACATCCTGTCAAACTTCCGAGAACATACATTGCACGTTCTTATGTTTACGTCTCCGCTGGTTGCATGGCCATATATTGCGTGATATCGCAACTGTTAATGGAAAGCTAAAAAAAGGCCTTGGAGGTTATTTATGTGAAGGAATACAGTACTCCCCAACCATCTTTCTCTTACCTACACTTCCGAATCTAGGAAAATTCAAAAAAAACTTTTCGAACAGTACATTTCACATTCTCATAAAAAGTAATGAATCAAATAAAAAGGGGAGATAGGAAAACATTAGATTGGTATCAATCTTCACACTAGAACAGTATATTCAGAAAACATCTAGGGGTGCTAACGGATGTTGGACAATCCTCTGTTAACCTTCGCACTATTTGTACATATGACATTTTTCTCATCTCAGAAACAGAAAGTTGAAGATGTTCGGGTTAAAAAATATTCCAAAGGATTGAAACTTTACAAAATTTAAAACGAATTCTTGCGTTTCCCTGAAGAATAATATCTCATTTCTAAACTTAACATCCCAAAGTGACACGACATGACCCCAATTAAGTTTCAGATACCTTCTACACCATTTCCTCTTCTTGTCCAGTTACCGTCAGTTCCATGTGGATTTCTTGACAGCGCAGGTGTATTCTATGATGGGTTAATGAGTAAAACGGAAGTTGGGGGACTGGTTGAGGTTCAACGATTAATTGGAAAGGGTTTTTTGAACCAATATAAAAAAATAGAAAAGGTTTTGCTTGATCGTGTAGTTTTGATCATTTTTTATGATCCTTTAAATAATTATCTCGAGTCTGGAAAGATCTATGAATGTGTTAACACTGATATTTCAAATCCAGTTTTGTCGATCCCATCATTAAAGGGGGACTCCGACCAAAAATTTTTATTGCCTTAAAATGTTTCAAAAATATGTATTTTCCTGATATTATTGCGAAAAAATGCAAAAAAATCCTAAATCCCGAAAAACGGCGTTGAAAAAAAAATAGGATTTGAATTCCCGCGCAGTGAGAAACCTAGGCCAGGGCATCATATGCCGTTCTTACATGGAAATTTTCCCGGATTTTTTCGGTTTTTATGTCCGGCAGGTAAAAAACTTTAAAAGCCACTATCGGCCACTTGAAAAAACGGCTATCAGGCTCCGTGGCCTAGGTTTCTCACTGCGCGGAAATTCAAATTCTCGTCCCTCCTATCAACTTTTTTTTTGAAAATTTTTCGCTTTTAACGGCATTTTTCGGGGATTTCGGATTTTTTTCGAATTTTTTCGCTATAATATTGGGAAAATAGACAAATTTTCGAACATTTTAATGCAATAAAAATTTTTGGTCGGAGTCCTCCTTTAAAGAATTTTGAAATCTTTTTATTGGAAACGATTTCTAAAAGTATTTTTCTGAATACTGCAAAAATACCGAACTGTGTTCTTCTTTTCATTCAAAGTTTTAAATTCAAACTTCCCATTTAATTTCTTTCTTCTTTTTTCTATTTGTTCTTCCTCCTCGGTGGCGGGTGGTACTATTGGATGAGTTAGCAATGATATCACCTTCTTTGATATCAAAAGAGTAGATAGTGTGTCATTAGTCAAAAGGGCACAGGAACCAAAAAAATTTGAATTCAAATGTTTGAGATGGGATGGGTCGGAAGAGCTTGTCGGAAGATACGGGGTCAAAACTCCGTTCAAATTGGATGAAACATTCCATCTCGATACGATCTATTTTCCGATTTCGTTCTTTTTGCTAATGAAGGCGAATATTTTTCTCAAGAACACATGACCTCGAACATCAGCGCCTCTTAAAGAATTCTCATTATTTTTCATTGTTTCTCTCGATTAATTTACACCTGAATTAGAGATTCATATCGGGAGAAAAGGAAGAGAATCGAAAAACCCCGATAACGGGGAACGCACAGAATTTGGGATGGTGTTATTTATGTGTGGTTGGTTGGTATTCTTGTGGTTTACCACGAGATACGGATGCTTTCTTGTGGGAATTCAGGTGCCAACTTGATATTCCGTGGTTGTTTGGGAATCTAGATCTGGAAGTGAGGATTTCGACACTTGTTGTAATCGGGAGTGCTAAAACACGAATGACCGGTTAATATAAGTTCATGTTCCGGGAGAAGGAATGGAAGTGTGGGAAACCACATTTGGGTTTTGTATGACTTATTCATAAACATGAGCTATCAAGGGAACATACAGTGAAACCTTTAATAGAACGGTCCCCACACTGTCAGAGTTTGAGCTCAATTATCTCCGTTGCAATAAATGATATGAAAAATGTGTCAACTGATAAAATGTTTGTGATATTATGATAAACAATTTATTGGTTGACACCTCTTTTATATTTTTCACAGGAACTGAGATAAATTGGCTCAAAGTTAAACGTCGAAAAAAATAACACCTGTTTTTTATTTCTTTTGTGTTGACCTGGCTTTGATTCAACAAAGCTTCGGATTATAGACAGCTTACACACATCCAATTGGTCTCTCTAAAGAACGCATTCAACTGATTATGTGCTCATCTTCAAATCGCCGGGCAGGAACAATCTCTGCATCTCTCGAGTGTCCTACACTATTTCGTGCAATTAGCTTCTTCATCTGGGTGACGCTTCCTGAACAGGTGCATAAACAATGATGGGAAATGAAAAGGAGAATGTGGGGATGATTGAATGAGGCAGAATTGGGTTCGAATTTGAAAATGATTTTTGTTATTTTTGGTTTTTTTTTGAGGTTCCAAATTTTATGTAGACATCATCTGGGAGAAAAGTGAGACCACAAATTAAATTTCACAACAAAGTTCTCGCTCTTTCTCAAACCTACAACATTCACTATTTCGAAATATTGCATGATCACAAAATCTCTCTTGTCAACACCCTTGGCATTTTTTCTTTACTCATAGTCATACATATTTTTGAGTGCGCTGCATCATTCTTAATGAAGAGAAGTGATAAGAAATCACTACAAAAAGACCTTCGCTCTAGTGATAATCAGCAGAGTCTGTTGATTTGACAAGCTGACAAATGCCTATTGTGAAAGTATTCTGTAAGTTTGTTTTGGTGTGAAAAATGAATTTGAACTTGAATGTGTTTCAGTTGGAATGTCGGTGAGAAGAGCTGAAGAGGAACAGCCACAGGCGGTGGCTGAGGTGGAAAGATCGGGACTGGGTATGGAAATTTTGAACAATTTATCAGGGTTTTGAAGATCTGAGTCCCCCTGACATAAGCCGTATAAAATACACGAGAGCGCATTTTCAGAAACCGAGAATTCGGAGGACGTCCATGTCGGAAAGCGGCGTACCACCAGAAGACAAGTTGCTGGTGGAAAAAGTCGACTTCGACGAAGATTCGGAGGTCGACAGGTCCGTTTGGAGGAACCCAAAGAATCCAAGGAATCCAAGGAATCCAAAGCTGAAAGAAAATTTCTGAAGAAGGAGTTGATGTTGGCAAAGAAGTTGAGTCGGCCGAAGCTCAAAAAGCGAAGAAAGACGCCAAGGAAATCCAGAACAAGGGAGAAGCTTCAGAAATCGTAGCTGGGAAACGTGAACGTTCGGCATCCAGAAGATCCTCTTCTGGTAGATCGAAGTCTGACGAGTCGAGAAAGGGAAAGAGGAGCGTCTCCTTCCGTCGTTCGAAGTCTGAAGGAAGAAAGTTTCTGAAACCGAAGATGACCAAAGAGGAGAAGCAGGCCAAGAAACTGGCTCGTCAGGAGGCCAAAGAAACTGCCAAAACCTTCAAAACAGCTCCAGAAACTTCCGAAGAACGCCCAGAGATTCTCGATTTCACTCTTGCTCCAATGACAAAGGCCCTGGCCATAAAACTTCGCAGAGACGAGCGTAAGCTCAAGCGTCAGGCCGTGAAGAAGGCTCTCAAGGATCCTAACCGCATCCGTCTTGGAACTTTCCAGTACGGAAAACTCGTCAATGTACCAGCAGCTTTCCGTGATATGAGAAAACGAGCAGGACGTCGTTGAAATTGGATGTTCGCTTGAACGTTGATTGAGAAGCTTTTGGAAGACTGAAGTTATCAAGTGCCACATATCGGATGATTAATTGGATTGCTATATTGTGTTGATTGTATGGTTGTGGCTTTAAACAAATATCTGGAAGTTTCCTTGTGTTAATAAAAAACTTTTTATTAAAGTTGTTGTATTCAGTAGTTTGAGAAGGATCAGTTATCAAAACCTAGTTTAAAATACAAAAACTGTTAATCCTTGGATGCAACTTCATACGTCTCACAGATTTGCCCATGAAGCTCATCTGCCATTCTTATGACTAATTTGATTTGTTCCTCGCACTCCACCAAACTTTGGACATTGCTCAGATTGTCAACTGCACTTCTCAAATTTCGAAGAGCAAAGAATCCAAGTTTCGCAGTATCTTTTCGCTCCTGTACTCGATTGTCCACTTTGAATGATGACTCACGGAAGAAGTCCAAGTAGTGACGAGAGAGTGTGTCCATTGCCAAACGAAACATCTAGAAAGAATAGGTGTATGGGTGGAAGCCACTTGATTTTTATTACCATAACAGCACTGGTGATCGGGATACCAGCTTTCCGATTGACAGTTATCTTCTCCCAAAATTCTGGAAGAACATTAGCAGCCACCTTAATAAGGTTAATCTGCTGATTGTACTTGGTTAGAACATGATCATCAGCTGGATCTGGAACGCGACGACCAGCGGGAACCTGGATTTTGAAATGTGACATTTCTTTAGGAATTTGAGATACCATAAATGCTTATTCCTGTGAAAGATATCAAAAGGATTCCTGTGAAAAATATCAAAAACTTGTTCACTGATAAAGTATTTATCTTTATATCACTTATGTTTTATCCGCTGACCACTTTTTGATTTCTTTAACAGATATCCAGATAATTGAGCTTAAAGTTAATGGTTTGGCTGGGCTTCTATTAGAGGAAATACGGTATTTATACAAATCAGTTTTCAATTAATGAAATACCGTTTGGAGACAGGATCACAAAAATATATTCAATCGTTTTCTAAACTCACATCAAGCAACTCCTGAACGTCTTCTGGGAATGTATGAGTCGACAGAACAGACATTTTTATAGAACCATGATTTATAGAATTTTCAATTATAGTTTCAGTTGGAGGCGTTGGTGTACATTCGCGGGTATTGGGGTCGAGACAGGAGCACAGAAAGACCATGTCGAGAAGCGAAAGTGGAAGAATTAGAAAAAAAACAACATTTGATAGAGAAGACCCCACTAATAATATGGCCCTAATTTTTTCTTCTGATTCTAGACATCGCCTACTACTGTTTTTTGTTTTGTTTTTCATGACTTCTAACAGATTTCTTTTGTACGATTATTCTCAAGAATTACAATTATTCAATCAAGTGTTCGACTCAAATGGATCTGGAATACATATTTTTGATTCATTCTTGAGAAACTTGTGAAAGAGAAAAATTGATTAAAACGAAAAAATGGTAGAGAACTTGAGAATCAAGAGTATAGTCAGAATATTTAGGGATCTCAATAAATTAGTCCTTCTTCTTGTCTCCCTTGGAGTTGCTGGATGCGAGAAGGTCGGAGACACGGTCGAATTCGCGTTGAAGTCCTTCGGATTGCTTTTTGAGTGTGTCACGGTCAGTGTTGACGGACTTGAGCTCACCCTTGAGCTTTTCGATTTGCTTGTTCAAATCGGAGACTTCCTCGCTGGTCTCGGTCTAGAATTATAGAATAAGATGGTGTTAGTTTTAATAACCCCGAATCCCCAACTCACTGCGTTCATCAAAGTTCTGGCGGTCTTGGAAGCGTTCTCAGCCTGACGCATGGCAGCCTCTCCGGCGGCTTCGAGTTGAGCGGCGCGGCTCAACAAGGTCATGATGCGTTGGATAACCATCCAGAGGAGAAGGGAGAATCCGGAGATGTAGAGGTTACGCTGAGCACGGAACAGACGCATGTGGTAGGTGGCGTCGGCTTCAGCTGTGCGGTGCATTTTGTCCTCAAGCTCGTTGTACTTCATTGTCTCACGAACACCATCGGCAAAAAGAATGAACAAAACGAATCCGAAAGTCATCGAATAGATATGCGCATGTTTTGAGAGCGCAGTGAAGAGACGAGACTTGAAGAGCTTGCTCCACCTAGATATTGGAATATTTCGCATTTATGGAAAATGAGAGTAAACAACTTACAAAGTTGGTCTGACCCATGGGAGAAGGAGAATGAAGGTGGCGGCGATTTCAGCATAAAGCACACCGGCCACTATAGTCCACTGAAGAGTCATGTTCTGGAAGAACGAGGAGTTTTGAAACTGATTTGTGTAGGTTGCGATCTACTGATAAATAAGAGAGGAAAGAAAAAAAGAAGAAAACGAGAGGTGCAATAAACAACTGCAACAATCGATCGACAGAGTGACAAGCCGAATTGAGGAGTGGGGAAAGAGGGAGAGAAAAACAAAAACTAAGAGAACAAGGCACCAGAAAGCAACCAACATGTGCCTAAATGAACGAACTTTTATTTAGGACATAATATCATTCTAGGTTGTTGTTGTTACCTTATAAACTATGTGAAGCCACGTCGACTTCAGTATACGTGTTCTTGCTAGTGTTGGCTGCCGCTGCGAGAAAAATTGCGAAATTTCGGAAAATAATAAACGGGCGAGTGGATCAGTTTCGAGACGGAGACTCAATTCCGTCGAACACTCTGTACGAGGAGAGTGCTCAGACGCAGGAATTTAGAGAAAAATATATGAATCATTGCAACAGTGTATTGTGATTCAGGGTTGTACAGGAAAGACCCACAGGGAGATTTTCAGAAACATCATTTTTCCGACTGAGAAAGTCGAGAAATTTCGGAAAAACGGGGATTTTCACGAACAACCCAGATTGTGATGACGCAGAAAAACAAACGCAAGAAATCGATGTAAACAGACGGAAGGCCTTGACCTATTCCACTGCCTAGAGAACATTTAGTTTAACGAATTCGGCGTCTTTCTTTCGTTCGGATCTCAAAAGCAATTGAGCTCAGAGTATTCAAAACATAATAGGGGACATTAGCCGCAAATAAAGCATATCAAACAAGAGACTGATCATCAGAAATTTCCAAAAAGAATAATTCATAAAAAGTATAGAAGCACAATACATTTCCATGGCGAGAGGGAATAAGCCACGCCTGGTCGTATCCGGAAATTTCGATTCAAATTCATAAATACAAACGGGGAGAAGGAATTTTGACTTTGAACAGAAATAATCCAGAAATGATAACTGGTAAATTTAAAAATAAACGGGAACAAAAGAGACCACAGGAGAAAAAAAACGACATAATCGAGAATAATGTGTATTTGGTATACCGGAGTGCTAAAAGTGGAAAAAGCATGTAGGTACAAATAATTGGGTCGTGGAAAAGAAAATAAATTGGAAGAGTGTTTTATGATATTTATTCGTGCAATGTTTCTGGGGCGAATGGAACGAAATAAGGCGGGCACAAAGAACTTGATGAGAATTGGAATTTGATGTGATTATTGTTTTCGACTATCGTTAGATTTCAGCCTGGTGGCTTAGGCTTCTGAAATGAAAGAAATAGTACTTAAAATCTGATATGAAAATCTTACGGGCATAAGACAGTGTCCACTGTTTCGCGGTCTTGATTGCTTCGGCCTCGTTCGTTTTCCACTGCTCGGCGACATCGGTAGCAAGAGGATCTTCTGGGTTAGGAGCAGAGAGAAGAGCTTGAATCGATAAAAGAACCGTGCGAATCTGGAGGGCTGGCGACCACTTATCTGAAAATGTATCTAGATAATTTCATCAATTGAGCTAAAAAATACCTTTGAGAATATCGAGACAAATTCTTCCAAGCTTATCAATGTTTGGATGGTAAATCTTCGTCATAAAGCGAACTTTTGGCGCTGCCATTGGATACTCCTCTGGCAAGAATAATTCAAGTTTGAAGACGCCGCCGGCGAATGGAGAATCATCTGGACCGGCTATCATGACGTGGAAATATCTAGCGTTACTCTCATCTGGATTGGCAGAAATTCCGGGCACCGGATCAGCGAGAAGACGCTGAGTCTCTTTGATGATTCTTCTCGGAAGCTGACTAGCCATCCTGCAAAAGTGAACATGGGAAAAACAGGCGGAAAGTGAGCGAAAAGAGTGAACACAATTTAAAATGTTTATAAGTGCGTTCTTCCCGATCTTAATATCGGGAATGGTCATGAAATAATTCCTGGGAGAAGGCCAATCTGAAAGAGGAAAACAAGATGCGAAAAGATATGGAAAGCGGGAAACCACCGACAGAACATGGACAGAAAGGAAGAAATTTGGCGGGGAGCAAAACTAAAAGCTTCATTTGACCAGACCAGTGAAAGGGGAAGCAAAAAAGACCAGTTCCTTGAAAAATGATGTAACAAGAAAAAAGGAGGAAAATAAAATAAAAATAAGTTATTAACAAGTAATTTGAAACACGCTAATCTCTTTATGTCGGTGATGACACAATCACAGCTCGTCTTTGACATATTTTGGCTTGAGCTCCTCAATCCGCTTGATGAACTCGCTCTTCTCAGTGCACCCTTTGCATGCCTCTCCCCACTCGCCGAGGATGTTTTTGAGCTCTTTGACGCGCATCTTCTTCAAATCAATAGTCTTCCAGTCCAGTGGTTTGTCTGCAATTTTGTTTTGGTTATTCAATGTATATTTACAAGAGGCAACGGAGAAGAAAACGTGCAAATCATTATTCAGAAGATAAGGATAACTAACCGTATTTAAGCTCGCAGATTTGGGCATCCTTGCTCTTTAGCTTATCTTTACAAACTTTATCGGTTGGCATGGACCAACTGAGTGGCTTGGTGACCTCATTCATGATGGAAGTAGCTGACTCTGGGAGAGCGCCGATGTAGAAGCACTGAACTTTGTAACTAGATTAATCAATACTTTATACACCAGGTGACATACGAATTTGTGTTCCTTATTACGAGTGGTTTCACAATGTTCACGAATCACTTTTCCTATGGCATCTGGCTTGGATTTATCGGCAGACGGAACTTTAGCCATCACATCATCCAGCACTTTTTTACATACTGAAAAATGAATAAATTAGAGGATTTATCGATTGCTTCGATCACCTTCGCACTGTTGTGCTGAAACAGCTGCGGCGATCACCAAGGAGACGAGAAGAACGAATCGAAGGCCGACCATCTGACTGGAAATCTCACACGGATTAGTGGGCAATAAATATTCTAGGGATTCGACTGGGAAGAGAGTGAAAATATTAAGCAAAAGGCAAGCAAAAAGTGGAGAGAAAAACCGTTGAGCACGATGCACATAAAAGAAGAGGACCGAGAGAAAGTGAACGGGATTCGAGAAAATAAGCTGACGTGTTTGCACCCCCATCGGGTGTGTCAATGACGCAGTTGACGCGCCAGGTGGTTTCGGCGCGGGATTCGAAAAAAATCAAGAAAAGATACGGGGTCAATGACACGGTATGGACGAAACTTTGAAAAGTGGATAAAAATTTAAGAAAAAACAAAATTTCTTGTATAGAGTTTGGCTTGATCAAGAAAACTCAAGCTTGGCGACAGTAAAAACTCATATTTTAACTCCTAAACTCATATTTTTCAACTCATTTTTTGTGCATATATTTTCACATATATTTCCAGATTGGTTTTCCCCACATTTCTGTATTAGCAATGTCCCACCGGTACTGTAGAGTTTTAGAGTCTAGTCTATAGTCTATATGATATGTAAATTTAATTATGCACTAGTCTATGACTAAAAATTAGTATTCAATAAACCAATGATTATTTTGTGGATGCGGTAAACAACTATTTGCTCTTGGGATTACTGTAGTTGAAACTGTAGTTGAAACTTAGTTTATAAAATCGAAAAGAGAAACTGGAATTTTGTTTTTGGATTACTGTAGTTATTAATATTCAAATTTTCAAAAATGTGCAACGACAGCAAAAAATAAAACAAGAAAAAGACATAAGAAAGTTGAATACTAATTAAAACTTTCTGTCTAAGTATGGCATAAAATCCCCCAAGAGAAAGTTCCATCGGAAAAAAAATAGAAAAAAAAAATAAACTAATTGGGAAACAGGTGCAAAGGAAGTGAGACGCTGAAATCATGACTAACGAAGACTATATAATTAGTGAATCAGGTAATTATAATATTCCGGAAATCATATGGGAGTTGTGTGAACTACACATTTTGCTCTTCAAGATATCAGGAAAAAATTCGGAAGAATAAACAAATGACATAGTTTTTTTTGGTGGCGTGAATAAAAAGTTGAATGATGAGCTGGAAATGAAAAACCTAAAAAATTAGATAGCTGCAGAAAATGGTAGTTGACCACAAAACGGATATTGGAGCTATTAGGTTAGTATTGTACATGTTCTTTTTTTATTGCTGAAACCAATAAATCCATTAGATTGGGTTTAAAAAATGCTGAAGCTAACAATATTTCAAGAAGCTATTCTTGTGTTTTCTCAAAGATACTGTAGTGATATTTGAATATTTTAGTATCACTTTAGGCTACTGTATATTTCAAAATTATCAAATTCGGACCATATACAAGTTTCAACCTATTTTTTCAGAGTTTCCTTTTCTCTTCAAATTTTCAAGTTTTGAACTTCCTTCATCTCTTATTCCCTCTTTTTCACTCCTGTGTTTCTACAAAGTTTACAACTTTTACACCGTCTTCTTCCCCCTTATTATTCTTTTTCTTCCTCTCTCCATTCTCCTCCAACAGTCTGTTCAAATATAGAATTCGAAACATATCAATTCAGTTTTGCCGCTCTTTTCCTTCTCTATTCCTCTTCTCTTTTTTTCAATTTGGCTTGCATGAAAACACCACGAATTGTCTCCCCAAACGTGGCTTTTCGCTGTGTCTCCATCTCTCACTCTCTCGCTCATGCCTATTAGCCACGCCCCCAAAATCCCTCTCATTATCTAGAACCATCTTTATATGCAACGATCGGGTAGGAAGAAGAAGAAGACTGTCCAGAAACAGCATCCAGAAGAAAAATCCATGTTTGTCGGTGTATTCTACGGCCTTGCATCCGTTTGTGGGCTCCTTTATTTCTATACAAGATCTGCCACCGAATCAAATGATGATCCACAATTCAAAAGTTTCCAAAGAACATATCTCATTGTGTATATGATGGCAGTTGGTAGGATTTTTAATACTCTTTCGTAAACCCGGGTGTGCTATATTCGAGTGATGGCTCGTCACTGACGAGTATTCTGTTATCGTAAAAATTGTGTTTGTTTAGGGCCAGGGAAACAAAATGACCTATAAAAATGTAGGAGAGTTAGACTGAACTTTTTGTAAATTGAAATGAAAATTCTACATTCAAACTAGAATTTAGACAGAATATGGTTATCCAAAACATTTTTATTTGCTTCAGCTTCACACTCCAACTTAGGCCACCTAGAAAAAATTCAAAAAAGACTTTTAGATTTGAAGAAAACTAGATCTTGTTCGTATTTGGTAACTTTCTGTTGAAACCATTCCAGAGGACATAGTTTCTTGTTTTCAATCAAAAAATTTTGTTTTCAATCAAAAAAATCCCATGAACTGCAGAAACATTTAGATAGAATTCCCAACTACAAAAATCCAAGAAGTTCTAGTTGGCTTTTCAGGATTCTCGAACTTTCGACTGAAAAGGCACTGAAAAGCTTAACTAGACAATTTCCAAACATGATTTTTTAAAATCAAACTGAACCAGGTGTACAAACGTTTGAGAAGTTCTAATCAGTAACAATCATCTCAGAATTTGAAAGTTTTTTTTCCAAATATATACTCAAACTAGATAAATTTCAGTAAACTTTTCTTAAACCACATCCAAATTTTCCGAGCTTCCAAGACTTCAACACTAATCTTGAAACTGGAAATCTGAAAATTTTCAGCGGGAGATTGGCTGCAAGGTCCTCATGTCTACGCCCTCTATGAATCCTATGGAATGTCCAAACATCAAATCGAAATCCTCTTCATTGCTGGATTGGATCAAGTCTTCTTTTTGGAACTTTCATCGGATCCATCGCCGATAAATTGTGGGTTTCGCTATAAACCTTGAATTTAAAGAGTTTCTAAATGTTCAGTGGTCGCCGTAACAATTGTCTAATGTATGCCATTCTTTATGGTGGAGCTTGTATCACCAAGCATTTTGGAAACATGCCAGTTTTGATGATTGGTCGATTTTTGGGTGGTGTTGCCACCTCGATTCTTTACTCGGCATTCGAGTCGTGGCTTATCTTTGAACACAATACAGTGAGTTCTCGGGATCATTCAACCAGTTTTTGAAAGAACCCAAAAAGGCTAAAAAGTGTTTCGGAAATAATTTCAAAAAAACGAACCGGATATTTCAGACGCAAGCCCGGATAAGAATCTAGAAAGGGGGAAAAAGAGATTTATCTAAAAATTGGATCGTTTTCTTCGGAACAGAATAGAACGAATCGATGGGGGGAAAAGACTGAACAGATTATAGGAAAAAAGAAGACACATCATGACTATCTGTATGTAGATCCAGGAAAAACATCCAGAGAAAACTCAAGAAAATATAGGCTCAGGAGTCAATAAAGGCGTTAGAGATGTTCTACTACAGTAATTTTCCAGCGTGGGTTTTCCGACTCTCTTCTCGGAACTGTCTTCTCCAATGCTGCTCTTGGAAACTCCCTCATCGCCATCATCTCTGGAGTTGCTGCTCAATTCGTTGCTGAACGTTTCGGATTCGTCGCCCCATTCGATTTAGCTCTCTCTGTATTGCTGATCATGGCTGTTATCATTATGAACACGTGGCCAGAAAACTACGGAAATGAAAAGGCACCAATCAAGGAGTCATTCGAGAAGGCCACTAGAGCTATCAAAGAGGATCCGAATGTCTTCTGTCTTGGACTTGTTCAATCTCTCTTCGAAGGATCTATGTACACCTTTGTTCTTGAATGGACTCCAGCTCTTTCTCGTGCAGCTGGAGACGTCGGAATTCCTCATGGATACATTTTCGCTGCTTTTATGGTTGCCACAATGATTGGTTCTTCGGTTTTCAAACTTCTCCAACAACACGAACGTCCCGAGAGCTTCATGCGTTACGTACTTTTGCTAGCCGCTGTTTGCCTTTCCATGCCAATTGTTGCTCCAGACAACCTAGGGCTCGTGTTCGGAGGATTTTTGGTTTTCGAGGTGAGAATTGTTTTGAAGGAACAGAAGATTTTTAAAAAAATTACAAAATAAATAAAAAATGTTCCAGATGTGCTGTGGAATCTTCTGGCCATCAATGGGATGTCTCCGTGGAACTTATGTCTCTGAGGAGACCCGCTCTACCACATTGAACTTATTCAGAATTCCACTGAACCTTATTGTCATCTTCATCCTTTGGCAGAATTTCTCCATGATCTCGATTTTCAAGTTCTGCGTATTCTTTCTCTTCGCAGCATCTATTGCTCAACACGCTCTTTTCATGTAAGTTCTAATTGTCCTTTTTTAAGAAGAAATCTGAAATTTCCAGAAGAACCGAACACACCCCACGCCATCAGAAGTTGCCAATCACCGTCGACGAAGACGAAAACCTGTGAATAATATGTACTGAAACATTTTCTTTCTAGAATTATGGGTGTAGCTTGTAAAACGTATTGCATTTTTTGGGTTATTTATTGTTCTCTCTTTTTTGGTGATGTTATTATTTATTGAGAATAAAGGAAAAAAAAATACAGAAAGAAGTATACACAGACTTCGCAGTCACAGACAGATTTAGTACTTGTACTTGGTGGAGTAGTCCTTTGGTGAGATGACGAGACCCCTTCCTTTGCGAGCGCCTCGGTAGACTGTCTCGATGATGTCGATTAGCTCCTGACCATCGGTAACTGCCCAGTTGATCTTGTTGTTGTTACCGGTTCCCAAATCCACCATGATGTGTTTGTTGCGGAAGAAGAACATGACCGTACATGGATCGTACAATTCGTACATCTTGTTGAAGTCTGGCACCTTCGTGATATCTACCAAGTAAACGACGGCGAAATTCTTGACTTTCGGTGCGATTTTGAAGAGTGTCTCGTCCATTTGCATACATGTTGGGTCCCAATCGTGTCCAAATCGCACCACCACAACACGATCCTCTTCGGCTAAGATGGCTTGGTCGACCTGGAACATGGATAATTTTCAAAATTAAAATTCAGCTTTCGTTTCGATCATGAGATGGTTTTTTTTTCAAATTCTTGCTGATGTTTCCATTCAAAAACTAACCTGCCATCCATTCTCCAAGTGAGGGAGCATATACGACATGGTTGTTTAGTTGAAGATGATTCTTTTCGGCTGGGTGCCTGTAAAATAGAATAGAATTTCCGTTTTAATACTAAATTGAACGAAAAGAACAAAAATTCCGGAAAGAAAATGCGAAAAACGACCTCAAAAAGAAAATTATTGACTTTCGAAAACTGGAAAATCGAATATTGTGTGGGCTAAACAACGCGCGGGTGTTATACCGGAGTGTCGTTGTCAAATTTTTTGTTTGCTTTTTTCTTCTTTTCTCTTCTTTTATATGTCTCGAATAGTATAAATTAAACATGCAGCGGGAAAGATGAAAAGTTTTGTGAATTGAAATTCTTAGAAGGTGTAGATGATAAAAATTGAAGAGTGTGTCTGGAAAATTTCTTTGCATCATTGTCAAATTTGGGTTTTCTTCCGTTCCGTACTTGCCAAAAAAGCTCAAAGGGTCATGTTTCCAGGCGACTCCGTCAGTCTTCATTCGAGCGAAGAATTTGTCAAACACCCACGGAAAGAAATTATTTCCAGGTATTTTCACACATTTTCCATTGACTTCTACCCTCTTCTCTTCTCATCCGAACTTCCCGATTTCCTCCTGACCTTTCGTCTTGCCCAACTTTCCACCCAACTCGGTTTCCCTCTTTAAACCCCACTTTGTTCACCTTCACTGGCTTTTAGGTTTTCTTCCAAATATTCAGGTTTTCCCCTTTTAAAATTGGTGGTGTGACCATGCTCTCTCTCTGATTCCATAATCCGCAAGGCATTATATAAACCGAGCTGCTGCCACACGATTATAGTTCATTCTATCATCATCACCAGAGAACACTGTATTCCACAGGGTACAAGTGACCACAACATTTTGAATTTCAAACTCTTTATTTATACTTTTTTCTCCCATAATAATAATTTTGACACTATTTCCATCTGGAATAAGAAGAGTTAAACGATGTATCAAACGATTTCCGCGACTCCTCCAATTTTTGCCGTCTAAGTCGGCTGGCTCGATTCTCGAATGGGGTCATGTCTCCGTCCATCGGCTTCTCAACGACGACTCCAGAAGATCTACGTGGTGTTTTGGAGATTGGTGTGGAGGTGAACATAGGCTTGATATCCGATTTCCGTGGAAGATTCTTCGGGATCAGGAACATCTTTTTTGGTTCCTCCTCAAAATCAATTTTGGGGACTCCAGCACCAACTGGAAAAAATTCAGCCATCAGGGCAGCCTTCGTTCTTGGTGTACACGGAGATCCTTTGCCATTCTGCATTCTGTTCTGTAAAGATCACTGATCTCGTACTCTGATCTAGATGCAATCTATAGTATTGTTTTGCCCCCTCCACTATCTTATCAGTTACGCACCCGAAACTCTTCCATCGGATCATCGTCATCATCATCGTCTTCTTCTGTTTTTATGTTCGCCATGATTGTTTCTTTCATTTTCTCGCCTTTCACAAAATTCTCAATCGACCCCACACCCATTTGCTTCATAAGCAACACAGCTGCTCTGGTTAGAACCTGTTTTCCTAGGCCACGAGTGATAGCGGAAGCTTCTGGAATCCGGGAGAATCCTGGATCCGAAATCGCCCAGTTTTCAGCCTAGAAATTACTGTTAACAACAAAAAAAGTTTCCAGGGTTCGAACCTGATGCACCAAGTCTCTCATTTCTTCGCTAACGTTGAAAGATTCCCCAAAAGAAGCACGCATCTCTCTTCTTTCTGATGCTTTACTTGCGTCTAGTTGTTCCTGTGCTTAAAATTTATAAAATAAAGTTTTTTTTACTGTATGCATGAATCTTTTCTTCTATTTTTTTCCTCCTCCTCCTGACACGTTAAAACTTTTCTAGTGTAAAGTGTGGTCATCTCAAGGCTCTCTTTCTCTCTTCATCTGTCACGATCAACAAGACATTCGACCACTTGTACTCTGTGCTCCAGGGCCCTCTGTGCACTTCTGCCCCCGCCTCTTTCTTATCCCCTTTATTTTCTCTTCCTTTCGCTTCTCCACTAACATTTTTCAGACAGAATAGAAATAAATCTATCATCTCTCTCTGTTCTTCCCCCTTTCAAAAATGGCTTTTATTTTGCCATCAGGTTCGTTGGTATACTGTGTCTTTGTGTTCTCATGCACCCCCATATAATGCCTAATGTTGTGTTGTTTTGCACAGACTAATAGAGAAAAATTACGAAAATTGTTGATTTTTCAGTTTGAAAACGAAAAAAAACCCGGCAATGTTTCAAAAAATCTAATTGTCATTCTAGAATCTAGCTTGCCTTACATTTTTCAATTTTTGTGTCAGTCTGAAATACATCTCGGCAAATGAGAAAAAATCTTTCGTGCAACACACTGCACACGACATTGCATATTCTTGTCTACTACAGTAACCCGTAAACAATTCTTAAAAACTGGCTCGCCAAACTCAATTTGTTATATCTCTACGAAATCCAGAGATTTATGGAGCTTGTCTGAAGCCCAGCCACTCAAAAAAAAACTAGAGATTCTTAAATGTTTGAGACTAAGATTTTTGTAAAGTTTTGCAAAAATCCAATATAAAAACTATGCTCCTGTCCAGTCCAATGTCCTGCTCCCTGTAAAAATACAGTATTCCACTTCCTCCTGACACTCCCTTCATTCTTCAATTTTCAGAATCAATCGACGGCTCACCGCCAGCTAACGGACTCCACATGAACGGACAGGACTCCCTGGTGCAGCCATTGCTCACCGATTTCTATCAGATTACCATGTGTTATGCATACTGGAAGACTGGAACTCACAATGAGCCAGCGGTTTTTGATGTTTTCTTTCGCAAGAATCCATTCAATGGAGAGTTTACGGTGTTTGCTGGATTAGAGGATTGTTTGCGGTTCGTGGAGAACTTTAAATTCAGTCAGAGTGATATAGAATATGTCAAAAAGATTCTCCCTGAGAATGCTGACGACTCTTTCTTCGAGTACCTCGAAACACTTGATGGCAGTCGTTTGACAATTGAAGCTGTCAGCGAGGGATCAGTTGTTTTCCCAAAAGTTCCTCTTCTCACAATCTACGGCCCACTGGCGATGTGTCAGCTTCTGGAGACATCGATTTTGAACTTGGTCAACTATGCGAGTCTCGTGGCTACCAATGCGGCAAGATTCAGACAAGCCGCTGGAAATAAAATCAACTTGTTGGAGTTCGGACTTCGTAGAGCACAAGGACCAAATGGTGGATTGACAGCTAGTAAATATTGCTACATTGGAGGATTCGATGGAACTAGCAACGTGTTGGCTGGAAAATTATATGGAATTCCAGTCAAAGGAACACAAGCACACAGCTTCATTTGCTCGTTTTCTTCTCCAGATGAGCTGAAAATCCGTACACTTAACCATAAAGACTCAAAAGAAACTTCCGATCTTTTCAAGTTGTCGACTGAAAAGCGTAAATGGCTTTTGGAAGAAATCAGTTGGGGAGTTGTCCAATCAGAAGTGTCCGATGGAGAACTCACTGCGTTTGTTGCCTACGCCATCGCCTTCCCAGACTCATTCCTAGCTCTCATTGACACTTATGACGTTCTTCGAAGTGGAGTCATCAATTTTGTAGCCGTCTCGTTGGCTCTTCACGATCTCGGATACAGGTCAATGGGATGTAGAATTGATTCTGGAGATTTGTCATACCTTTCGAGAGAGTTAAGAGTAAGATTCGTCAAAGTTGCTGCACTGTAAGCTTGATTTTCCTATTGTCATTTCTCATAATTCACTTTTCCAGAAACGAAGACTACAAGTTCTTCGAAAAAATGTGCATCGTTGCATCCAATGATATTAATGAGGAAACCATTATGTCTTTGAATGAGCAGAAGCACGAAATCAACTCATTTGGAGTTGGCACTCACCTGGTGACATGTCAAAAGCAACCGGCTCTTGGATGTGTATACAAGGTGAGTTTTTCTGATTATATACTTCACAGCATTGCTCAGTTTCAATCGTTCAATTTTACCGTTGTGCTTCGTAACTCGTAATTGGTTTTGTAGCTGGTCGCACAATCGTCACAGCCAAAGATAAAGCTGAGTCAGGATGTGACGAAAATCACGATTCCTGGCAAGAAGAAGTGCTACCGGATCTTCGGAAAAAACGGCTACGCTATTCTGGACTTGATGATGCTCGAAGAGGAAGAAGAGCCAAAACCAAATGAGCAAATTTTGTGTCGGCATCCGTTCGAGGTACCTCATTTTTGTTTCTCGTGATTCCGAACCAATAAATTCAGGAATCCAAGCGAGCGCTTGTCAATGCCAGCAAGATTATCAAGCTTCACAACGTCTACTGGAAGGATGGAGTGCTGGCCACGCCTCTTCCAACGCTCAATGAGATCAAGCAGCATGTCAACGAATCGATCAATGAAAATCTTCGGCAGGATCATCGTCGATATTTGAATCCGACTCCGTACAAGGTAAGCAACTTGAACCCCAAAAATGAATACCCTGTTTTAGATTTGTTTATGTAAAATTACATTTTCCAGGTGTCTGTCTCTGAACGCCTCTACCAATTCCTGCATCATCTCTGGCTCCAGAATGCACCTATCGGACAGCTCGAATAGAAATGACGACGTCTTCCATTCAATTTGTTTCACTTCGCTTCCAAAAAATCCATCCATTCCTTCTCTCCACCCGGACATCTACTTGTTATTTGTCTTGCCTTCCATCTCCTTCCATTTTTTTTTCTTCTCCTTTTATTTCTTCTTCTTCTTCTTCTTCTTCTTCTTCTTTACTCTGTGTTTATCTATTTTGTTTTGTCTTCCAATTATGTAGTTTCAGTTCGCCCACCCACCTGCTTTAAATATGCCATTTCCCCAATTCCAATAATTTCAATACCGTTTGTAAGATATCGATGAAGCTTCCTTTCTCTAAAAAGTTGAATGCAAATATTGCAAAAAAAAAGAAAAAACGACCCATAATTAAGTCAGTGAACGAGGAATTTTGAGATTACGTCAGTGAAGGGGGAAAACTCTCTTTGGTGCTCCGTGCCCTTTTTCTTCTCCAATTAACGGTGGTCAGTGAGATCTCTTGTTTTTTCTGCTCACTTACTCACCGGAAGGGTTTCATGTTTCATATATTCTGTGTAGAGAATTTTTATATGGGCACAAGAAACATCTCCGAAAACTTCTTGATTTACAAAAAAGAGCTCCAAGTATTTTTTTTTCGATTTCGCTTTCGTTAAAATGTGTGTCATTAGACATTGTCTAGAAGAAGACGTCACTGTGAAGGGAATTCTGAAAAATACAAATAACAGAACCAATAAATATTCGTCAGGTTTACTTCCTTCTCCCGCTGAAAGTTTTTTATGCCTAGATTTTTTGGAAAATCATAAGATTTGGTTCACTTTCATGTTTCTTAAACTATGATTCAGCTCTAAAAGCAAATTCCAAAAAAAGAAACGCTTTTGAATGAATCATTTTTGACAATAACAAAATTACAACATTTTGGTTTGAAACATAAGGCTGCTAACTGTTATTCTGGTACAAAAAAAGCAGGCTACCGTTACCTAAAAGTATTTATATTTTCAGGATTTGTTTCTTCAATGGTCAAGAAGCATGAAAAAACTAGAACAAAAATGTTTTTAGGTTACGGTAGTTATCGCTGTGGGACATGCGGCCACGGCTATCAGAGCTTTTCTTCCACAGCTCCGATTCTTGCATAGAAGCATAATATTGATAGTTTACTTGTTGTTCATCTTTAAAAGCCCAAGTCAACGATCCCATTTTCTTTGCTCTTGTCCCTTTCGGTTTCAAACCCTACTACATAACGTTGATTATAAACCAAACTTAATTCATCAAAAACGAAATAAATGATTGATTAAAAACTTTTTGTATTTTCCGAGTCAAGGATAGCTGTTGAGCCAATCAGGCTAGGATTGATAACTTTATTTCATTGAGAAGATTAAAAAATTAAACGGAAACCTCGGAATGTTTCAATCCGCTTTGTATCTTGATTGAGAATAGACTTGATGATTGTTCCAAGAAATCCTCCTTGCTTATTTCTTCTTGTTACTCCCATTTCCATCCTCTTCTTCTAAATTCGTTAATTACTTCCGTTGCAGGGATCACCCTAACATTTCTATTCACACCAGCATCATCATCACTTCCTGTTCTGTCTGTTCTTCTTCTCTGAATAATTTGAATTCCCTCCTAATTCCTCCTAGTTTGTTCTCATCATCATGTCTATTTATCACATGGAATGAGATATGTTTTTTTCCTACCATTAAAACCCAAACTCTAGACAGACAATTTCAAAAAAAAAAGGCTGTAATTTTCTGATATTTTGCTATTCCGTTTTATGTGCAACCCGGAATTAAAAATTCTCATATTTTCTCTCAACAGAATTTGCCCTCTACTAATAGCTAATTTTTAAACTCTTTTTCTATTTTGCCTAGTTTTCATCATCCTAAGGAGGTCCTGAAAATCCGCATGACTAGGTAAATGGCACACTTTGTAGAATTGGATTTTCTTGTTGTTTCTTTTTTTCTAATCTGATGATTCTTTCAAAAAGAAATGGGGAATCGTAGCACTTTCAAAAATTAGATTATATTTATAAATTTCTAGAATTCCTGTATTTTAGTCTCAAAGAGCTGAAAAATTAGATTAAATTCATCCTCGTTATCTGCTTTTTAAGAGCAAAAGATTAGGTTTATCCTAAACAACGTCATTTTGGTATCTTGGTGATTAGAAGATGTATCGTTACTGACATTTGAAATCTTTATATTCTTTTATGCAAAAAAACATCCGGGAAGTTGTTGTTATTCTCCCATAGAAGTGTTTGTCGTCCTCTATACAATTTAAATCCACTATTCCTACAAATGCTCACATTTTTGTATTTATTATCCCATGAGCAATACTCAGAATTTTCGCTTGCCGCCAATTCTGTGGAAAGACAACATCTACTCTTTTCCCTTTATAACAATTGCCATTCTTTTTTGCTTTTTTTGCTTTTTGGAACTTTTTGAATAGCCAAAAATGTCAAACCACACCTTGTCTTCTTTTTTCTTTTCTTGCCTCCGACTTTCTAAAAAAAGTGTGGTGTGCTCATTGAGCTTTAGGTTCTTATTTTCAGACACAACTTCAACTCCAAAAAATGAGAAAAATCAAATCATCATGTGGCAACACTTTGCAGATTCCCAGAATTGAGGTGAGTATTTATTTCAATAAATCCCTTTTCTGTATTTGATCTGTTGATTTTTTCTAGTTTCTAGTTATTGTGCTTTTTTTCTTTCCAACTATTTTTATTTTCCCACAATATTATTGAACATTGAACTCAGATTCAGAAACTCTTGATGACTGAAAGTTCTAAAAAGCTCCCACGATAGTTTACAAAACTGATAGTTTACATTAAATCTTGGGTCTTTCGATTTATTACCTTCTAACTAAAGATTTACTATCCTTGCTCATTTTGGCTCTGAAAATATTATAGACATTTATTTTTGTCCAAAAACGTCATGTGTCGCTTCAATCTGACTCTTCTCAATCAAAATCATGTATTCCTTTTGATTCTTCGGGTATAAAAAGAGGACTCTTCTTATGGGAAATGTTATACTACCAGATGGTAGAAATCGAACTAGCGGAGGTCGCATTAAAGCAGGTCAGTTTACAGAATCCGCATTCGAAATCCCAATACATTTCAGATTATTCATTAATCAAAAAAATCTTGAAAATCTAAATACTTTTTGTTTTGCAGTCTTTTCGAAACCTATGGCAACCTAATCTCTAGGTCCCAAAAGACATTCCGTCGTTACCACATGTGTCATCTCCTTCTTCTTCATCAAAACAAAAATTTTCTAACTCACTCATGACATTTTGAGAAACCCGCTAATTACGAAGATTACAATTATTTCGAACGACTGATCATTCTCTTCTTGTTCTGTCTCACTTCTTCTTATTCTTTTCATTTTGAGCAGTTGTGATTCTATTCGTGAGCATCATGCATCAATGCGACATCGCTTTTATTATCTATCAAATGCAGGTAATTTTGGGTTTCAGACAAGAGATTTGCTTGTAGTTTTTGGAAAATTTAAGAATATTTAATTTCGAGTGTCTCGGGCAAATCGGATTTTTGTTATCAGTTAACAATGTTCCAGACTGAAACCGAAATAAGAGAGGCTATCAAAGAGGAGCTGCCCAATTAGCGTACCCCTTAGTCTCATGTGAGGAACAATCCTTAGCCTTTCTCTGAAAATACGCTCTGAAATAATTCTACGAAGTAAGAAAACGTGGTGTCTGAGAAGTAAACACTTTTCAAATTCAGAAAAGTGTGGGCGCACACATGAAAAACAGGAAACCTATCTGCACTATAGTATATTTTCTTCTTGCTCAATATTCAAAACTTTTTGCTCTTCCACAAATCCATGCGAAACTTCCTCATTACTCATGTTCTATCTTCAATTCAGTTGTTGAAAAAATTCCTTGTTTCCCTCGACTCTTGTTAGTCATGTCTTCTTCGTCGTGTTTTTTTATTTTGCATTTCAGAAGATTCTAAAATTGCATTACCGTTGTGTTTGCAATTTTTGTCTGGAAAATAATAAAACGAGAGGAAAGCCTGAAAGACGTTTTTTGTGGCTCCAGCAGCTGCGGTGACGAAACGAACACCTGCTCGAACGGGGGAGAAAACTTTTGTGCCTCTTTGTTTTTTCGAATTTTTATACGAATTTTTATAAACATCATGAAGTTGATGTTGCCAGCTTTTGTCTCTTGAAGAATATAAATTTTGGAGAACCTCATAAATAGTTCGAAACTTGTAAAAATGGTATGAATGTTCAAGAGACTTGTAGTAAGAAAACTTTGAGAGCTATTTTTAGCAAAAAAAAACCGAAAAAGTGAAGTTTCCCAAAATCTAAGTTTCTCACATCCAAAAGCTTTTCGCAGAAAAGTTTTCTCATTTCAAACTCTGACACAGACACCTAAACTGTTGACGCATTCCTGAAATATTCATGTTCCTGCACTTTCCACTTTTGTTTTTGACAGAAATCTGAGATCCTGGGATGCTGGATATCACCGAAAATCAAGCTTTCCATCTTTAGAATAGTTAAATGTCTGGAAAATTCGATGTTCTGTTATTTTCAAGAAAAGCATTTCTCCTATAAGAGGGATCAAATTTCAAAATTTTCACGTTTGGAGTTTCAAAACGAATTTTTTGAAAAATACTGTGCTCACGCAGAAAAAAATGAAATTATTTTTTAATGAAATTATTTTTTTCTATTCAAAACTGTGTTCTTCACGTAATCGTTCTGCAGAACGATTCTGTGGTTTAAATTTCGCGTCATGTTTTTCTCTCACAGAATCGTTCTGCAGAACGATTTTGTGTTTTTGTTCTAATTTTTAATAAAAACGTTAAAAAATTAATCAAAAAATGTGGATTTTTCATGAAAACCCAGATTTAACGAAAATAAATGTTCACGCTACATTTTCTGGGTAAATTAAGAAAAATCCCATATAAAAATAACTTTTTTTTGTAATCTTAGTTTTTAATGTGTAAATTGTCACAATATTTCTCTTTTTTGATTATTTTCTCTCAAACGTGAAAATTTTGAAATTTGATCTCTCTTATATCAAAAGTTACCGTTAACACTCCAATAAAACGCCACCCGAATCGTCAAATTTGAGCCCATGTATCTCATTTTCTGTGAGAGATATCAAAAAGTGGTTAACTAATAAAATGTTCCAGATATCATCATAAACAGTGTATTAGTTGACAACTTTGTGATATCTTTCATTTTTTGGGTTCAAAAGTTTTCGAAAATGTGTTACATTAAAAATACTTCTCCTTAAAGCGTTCCTTATCAGGGACACCTGGTTCTTCTCATTCATTGAGTATAATCTTTTTAAACTCTTTATCAACGAATATTCAGAAAATAAAGCTTCCCTGACAAAATAAGATTAGATGAGATTAGAGTTCGAAAATTTCCAAGAACATAGAAGAATTTCGAATAAAGCTCCGGATACGTTACCCCTCACACAGAAGGACAATTAAATTGGAAATCTACCCCCACCCACTTATCCACCTCCTCCTGCAGAAAAAAAAAACTTATTTCGTTTCCTGTATTTTTGCCATTGACTCATACCACTTTTAAGCATGTATTCGTATGCCGTCAGAAAAGTGGTATTTTCCGTTCGGTGTTTTTTTTCTGCTTCCGTCATCTGGTGATTATCTTTTAAAGTTTTGATTAAAAGTTGATTAGATGTTTGTCGGTTTTTGTTCAAAGTGGAAAATCGTAATCTTTTGGTATCATACAAACAGTCTCGTATATTGGTCTTCGTAATTTTCCTGTTTTCTTGAATAGAATTGTATTGGTTTGTGGTTACATTCGTCATTAGAATCTCAAATCTTGCTTTAAAATTCTGAAAGATCTGTTATTTCAAGATTTTCCCTCTTTTTCACGCATCTATAATTAGAGCCGTCTATTCGAGATGATTGGTCTTCGATCCATTCCTCCTGGATTCCGAATTCTGAAATTCCATTTCTGAATTCTACCACATCACTTTCAGCCATTCCATTCCAACCGGAACTGCCACAAACTTCCGGAGCCGCTTCTGTGTACACCGTTTCTCTATATTCACGATCAGACATCGTATTTATGTGCGCACATTCATCGTTCTTAATGATTCAAGCTAAAGAATAGGGAAATTCAATTAGTATGGATGAATAGGGTGAGAAGAGAGGAAGAGACGGGAGATAGCCATGTGTCATTCCTCCATTTTCTATTCAAATCACTGCTCGAGAAAGAAAATAATGTGGATGGAGAATAGGCACAGCAGCAGACTCACTTATTTCGAACCTTTCTTTTTTTTCGTTTTTCCTTACTTGAAGAAGTTCCACGTGGTTTTCCGTCTTGAGTGTTTTGATTTTAGGTTTCCGTAGACTAGATATTTTGAGTTCTTTGGTTCTCGGCTGTCGACATATAAAAACACCATGTTTTATTAATTTTGTCGAAACATTCAATTTCTCTCAGTCTGAATATTCTTACACGCCTTGAAAAGAACAATTGAGATGTTTCAAATTGAAACCAAAACCGAGAAATTTGGCTCAAATTTGTTCTATGTTTTATGGAAACCGTTAAAAGATAAGCCGAATATGATATCTTGGGGGTTCTCCACGGTTCAGTCTTTCAAACCTAATATGTTATTATGCTTTTCTCCCAGTTTCCTATGTTTTCTGCTTCCTGTTTTTCATCCATAAATGTGCTGCTCAGCTGAACCCCCGTTCCCTCTCCATAGAATATTCTTCTCTCTCTCTCTCTCTCTCTCTCTCTCTCTCTCTCTCTCTCTCTCTCTCTCTCTCTCTCTCTCTCTCTCTCTCTGACGCAAAAAGTGGGCGGAGTCAAGAGGGAGAAAGAAGAAGTCAGCTGGAATTGATGGGCGGTCTAGACACGTTCCATATGTTTATGTAATTCCTTTCTCTTTTTTCGCGTTCTCTTGCTATCATTGTTTTGTGCAGTTTAGTATTTGAACTAGGTTACTCGGATATCTATTAGTACTTATCAAGAAAGGACTTTTTAAGAATTCACTTAACCTATAATAGAATGTGTTCAACTAAAATACGACTAGCTGAAATTATGATCCTTGATGCATCGATTCAAATTTCAGATTCTTCTTGTTTTTGTTTGAGAACTTGTTTTGTAAATTTGAGCTTGTACTCATCATTGATCTATTCTCATTAAAGAAAATATTTACAGGTCCGCCGCTCATCATCTCTCCATAACCCAGAGTCCAATTTCTATCCGATCGACGATTCAAGACTATCCGAAGTCTCCGCCCTCACCCCATCAAGCAGTTTTTTCTCCGTTTTCTCAAGTCCAGTTTCTCCAAAACCCCCAAGTTTCGCGACAAGTGCAATGGCTCGTCAACGATGCTGCTTCGGAGCGTGCCAACTCCGTGTTGGCGCATGTGCCATTGGTGTAGCTTGCATCCTGATCTCTATTCTCTGTAAGAATTTCGAAGATAGTCATCTTTTAATATTATATACTTTCAGCACTCTGCTCATTGCTCTCCGTATCCACCACAATGACATCCGATGCCCAATCTTTCCTTACTACTCCAATAGTTTTGTCTCTTGCTCAATTCGCTACTTCAATGATCATGATCGTAGCAGTGCTCACCAGTTTTCATTGGCTCCTCTTCCCCTTCTTGCTGTCCATGGTATTCTATAAAATATAAAATTTTTCCTGAAATTTCTGACTTCCAGATGTCCAACTTACTAGCTCTCGTTGTTCTCTGCTCATGGAGTGTTCTTCGTCGCCATGAACTATCCCAACCAGTCGTCGCCTTGATTTTGATCGTTTCTGTGGGCGTCTCACTTCTCTATGCTTGGTTCCTGGCGATCGTCTCACAAACATTCTTTGTTATTCGAGACCGGAAGATTATGGGGTATTCCATTTGTCAAACTTCAACATTTTATTAGAAATTAGAATTTAGAATGGTTTTTTTTTCAGATACGACGATGAATTCGACATCGAGAACCGACAATTCGATCGAGCAAGCAGTTCAATTGTCTGAAAATTATATATATATATATATATATATATATATATATATATATATATATATATATATATTTGTATATCATTTGAGTAGATTGAAACGAGTTGTAATTTTGTCACAAAATGAATGGGTCAAATTTTTAAAATAAAAAAAAATGCTGTTATTTCTGACTATCGAGGTCTCTAGAAACTTCAGACCCAGTATTGTGTAATAGAATAACCGCATGTGTCTGCAAATTCCCGAAGCTCCAGTTATTTTTAACAACAAGCTCCACCTATATCGATTCGTCTTGGTTAATCAAACATTATGGCTATCTTTTTGACATTTCCGATGCAAGAACAACCACATCATTATAAAAGTGCTAGCCGTAAAGTGGTCGATAAAACATTCTCTATCATTTGAAAATTTGTCATTGAACGAATCGTTCAGCTTAGTACAGTTCTTTTTTTAGTTTTCCAACCTAATTGAAACAGTGCTGAAAATCTTTTGAATTCATATCTCTAGTTACAGTATAATTCCTCCAAATCGGTAAAATTTCAAATTCAACATTTTTGCACTTTTTTAATACCCGTCAAAATTGAAAATTCTAGACTACGTCTCCTTTCAAAGTACGATTCTCTGTTTGGATTTGACCACTAGTTACATTCTAAAAGTTACCAGTACTTCAGAAAACATTGTTGTGTAACTTCCCCGGAGATCCGACGTCATTACAATCTCCTAAAATAACAATTGTCTTATTAACTCTTCTAATACGATAATCTTTATGTTCTTTATTTAACTAACACTCTTGCAGATGATAACCAAAGTTTTCTCCCTCCTTTTCTGTTTATTTCTGATACAATCTGTAAAATGCCAATGCCATCGACAAGGAGACAATTATATCGGCGATTTGTGTTATTCGATTCAGAATCAGAAACTCAACAATCAGGATGCTACAAATTACTGTCGAGGACGATCCATGAATCTTGCAGTGCTTCATACAACCCTTCAGGCTAACTTCTTGGCTTGTTAGAAAATATTTCCTAGAAACATCAACGTAGTCTCGTTTTTTCAGCCCAAGTTAGAGCACAGTCTGGCTCCAACGAAGCAACATTTTGGATTGGTTTGAGTCACGCTTCAGTGAGCTCTAGATTTGTGTGGGATGACGGAACTTCCATGAGTTGGAGCAACTTTGATGGAAGTATGATATTCATTGATCTCTGTCATAATCTCTACAAATTGTTACAGACTTTCCCAAGGATAATTTGTACGTTGCTGAAAGTGTGATTAATGGCAAATGGAGAACATTGAGTGGAGATAATGTTTTGATTTTTGTGTGCAGTTATGATCCTAGAAATGGAACGCGTATGTTACTTTATCATGATGTTGTCTAAAACAGTAACAGACGGAATTTCCCCATTTAACCAGTTTTACTTGGGTTCTCGTATAGCATTATTCAAAATATTTTCTTTCAGCTGGTACGGATCAGCGATCTACAACTGCATCATTTGATTCAACTACAACTGGATGGTTTGAAACTACTACTAGCGGGGGTTCTACAATAAGCTAATCAGCCGCTTGCATTCTCGCTTTTCAGAAGGATCCACAGCTACGTCCATGGAAACTACTGAAGGCAGTTCATCTACTTTCTTCACCACCACATGGTCAATACCAACATCGTCCATACCAATGTCTACATTGACAAGTTCTCCAGCATCGTCGAGCAGTGGTTCATACACGAAAAGTTCTCCTGCGAGTTCATCATGGGGCACTTCCACTATGTATCCCACTAATTGGTGATCTTCGGGATCATAAACACTTACAATTCCTAATGAATTTTTTTTGAGTTTCTACAAATGTTGCTCTCTACTTTTCAGTTATTTACGTAAGAGTTTCGGAGAGTATGAGCACTATGTGACTATACAAAACGGAGAACAGGTATGCAATATTCCGGACGACATATATCTTCTAGAAGTGATAATAGAGAAAAGTTGTCAATTACAAAGATAAACGAATTGCTTTCGTAGTTCAGGGGACTTGACATTATTTTTATTAAAGATATGAAGCTCATGAATTTTGAATACGAACAGCGATAAAACAGAAAAATGTCATCCATATTCTTGAAGATTTAAAAAAGATTTTAACACAAAAATATGATTGTTCCGACTTTTTCCTGATCCACCCATACCGTTGGAAGTCGCGATTCCTAGATCGTTCATAACTTTGCTCATTGTACACCCTAGAAGCTGAAATTAGTCTCAAACATAATCATTTTCAGCCTTTTATCCATTTCCGTTGAAAAAACCAAGAAAATATCTAAACTCTCCAAAATCGTATTTTTCTTGAAAACGCATTGCCTCTGTTGGCCTTCCCCCCGGTTTCAAGAGAGAAAAGTGGGCGGAGTCTGCTGCCACACAAAGTATAGTGGCCGGCGCGAACCCGGGAAATGTCGGCTGCTTCGAGGCAGCGCGCGCTTGACGCTATCTGTTGCGTTTATGAACTGTTCTGCAACGGAAAATCGAGGGAAATTGCTGAAAATTGATGGACGGGCACTTTGAAATACGGAGAATCCGAAAATCCACTTTTCAAGATGCAAAAAATCCCAAAAAAAAAACACTAAATGATTCAGACTAAATCCTCGAAGAATTCGTTTGCTGAGAAACTTCCATCCTGTCCCTAGTAACTTCAATTTAATGACAGCGGCACATTTATTACATTCCAGAACGAGTAATTACACTTACACGTGGCTTATGTACTACTTTTAAAGAAGGATAAAAATCTGAAAATCCGAGTTGTGAGACAAAAAAGTTTTTAAAAAATCACAATTTTTGCTGTACTTATGGGTTTCGGAGGGTATGGCCAACTATGTGACTATAGAGAAAAACTGAGACTTTTAGTGAGAGAAAAAGAAAACTGAAAATTTCAGAGAAACAAAAAAAAAGTAAAAATAAATGTTATCCATTAAATATATCATGATCACTCTGATAGCGTTGCACTTCTTGGAAAATTAGACCCTTCCATTCTTGAAGTGTCTTATCAGCAAAATCAATTTCCTGATCGTAACGATTCTCAGAAGCTGGAGCATTCACTTCTTCGTCCTGAAAATAGCTTTAAATGTATCAAATTTATCTGCGTTTGACCTACTTTGAACCATAATCTAACATATGGGTGGTTAAGAGCGTCTTCTACTGAAAATCGTTCATCTGGATTGATTTTCAGCATGTTTGCTAGAAGGTCGCGGGCGGCGCCGGCTGAAATAAAAAATCAGTTAGTAATGCTCGAACTTCAATTGCCTTCACCTGTTAAATTGACTCTAGGATTTTCAGTTTCAGGGAGGAAATTTGAGTCAGGAACAATTTCAGATAGTGGTTTCGGATTAGCACGACGCAATGATCTGACGTACATGGCTGCAGATTGGCCCAGTTGGTTAATGAAATCGTCACTGGGAGTTCCCATCACATTGTAAATTTTAGTCCATTGATCGATTCGATCTTTGCCAGGGAACAATACAGTGTGATTGATCATCTCAGCGAAGATGCATCCCACTGACCAAATGTCTACTTTTTCGGAATACGGAAGTCCGAGGATAACTTCTGGAGCTCTGTAGTATCTTGTTACTACATAATCCGACATTCTCATTGATGTATCCACATTCTTCTTTCTTGCCAATCCAAAATCCAGTACTTTGAGAACACATCGATCATTCACAACGATGTTGGATGGTTTCAAATCCTGGAACCAAAACTTTATAAGGGGTTCTATGACACAAATCTCACTCTATGAATGACTCCAGAAGTGTGAAGATGTTTGATGGCACATAGACTCTGATAGACAAAGAAGGAAAGCGTCTTGTGGTCGAGGCTTGAAATTTCATTTATAACACAAATTTTGAGATTTTTCGAGTTACCGTAATCTATGAATAACCTCGTGCAAATTATGTGTCATAAGTTCCATTACAAGATAGACTTCTCCAAAAGTCTGTAGGGAGGTGTCTGGTGTGAAAGCGTTGAGGAGACGGATGATCTGGAAGTAATAGGCTCAGCTGTGCATCAAATTAGAATGCAGAGAAGATTTAAAAGTTGTCCACTATAAAAATAAATGTTTGTTGTTTCTCAAAATTTTTTTAAACAACTTTGAACTTTCACTAAAAAAGATAACAAACTCACATTTGGATGCTTAATTGTTGTTAGAAGAATAAACTCTCGATATGCTCTTTTTGCACTCATTGTCATCACAAAAGGCTGCTGCATTTTCTTGATAGCCACACGCTCTCCAGTCACCGAATCATCTGCCATCCTGAAAGAAAAAAAAAGTTGGAACTCCGCAATAAAACACTTTCCACTTACACAACAGTTCCTTGGGCTCCTGCATTTAAAAAGTTGAGATTACTATACCTCCTAGGGATAGTGAACGTACTGTCTGCACCGGCGATCGGATCCTGAAATTTTATAATGAGCAGTGAGACCTTTTTTTAAAGACGAACCCTTATAGTAACTTGATGGAATCTGTTCACATCGAAATTTGGTGCATTTGGTTGATCTACTTCCATTATGCGTGGGCGTCTGAAAATCAATGATTTTAAAATTCTTCAGATGCTCGTCGATGGTATAATGACGTCAAAGTTCTTATCGCAAAGCAAACTAACGGTTTCCGATTGCAAAATATCACAAAGTGAATCATTTTATGTCCGAAAATCGATATTCTTTTTCAATTTGTATTGTGTTTGTATGTCTTTTGATCAAATATCAAAATAGAAAAAAAGGCAAAGTTTTCAATATGTTTACTTTCCATTTCTGGGCGTTAAGGGGGAGGAAGGAACAAGAAAATTGAAGAAGAAATGAGAAAAAAAGTGAGAAGCGAGTGTGGGAAAATTGGATATTATTGAAAACTTCAATCTTATAATAACTATCCTGTATCGAAAAGAAAATTACATCATATCAACTAAATTAGTGAAGTTCTATTTTGATTGGTTTTCTAAAAAAGTTTTTAGAGCAATCTGGAAATAGTATCTGTCTTGAAATAACTTGAAAAAACAATCAAAAATCAAGGATTGAATGTTTTTATAACATTTTCTAATAAATACAACTTTTCGCATACTTTGATCTTATGATTTTCAATTTTTCCTTGTTTAAAATATAACTTTGAGCCGGTTTTGAAAAATAATAATTAGGGAGGGTAGGGAGAGCGTATAATGTGGTTGATGTCATTTTTAGGATTTAAAAATATCTGGAGCCGCAATCCTTGGAATATTGAGATGCGATAGTAGGAAGGACTATCAGAAAAAGAGACACGCAATATTTGGTTTTAAAAGATTTTAGAACTGATCTGAAGTCCCTCTTCCATCTAGGATCCTTGCATCAAAATCTAAGAGGCTTGGGAATCCGTACTTTGAAAATATTAAAGTTCCTATAGCAATCCCTAGTAGCATTCTCCTTCATCACAATTAAATTATGTTGCCAGGTCAAAGACGGACAATATGTCCAGGCGAACAAAATGACATTTATGAAAATGATACAAAAATAGTTGATGTAAAAAGGGAGAGAAAGGATGGATGGAAAAAAGAAATAGAATGGTTGGTAAAGGTATTAAAAGTGTACGTCAGTCCGTTTTCTCTTCCTTTCTGTTTGTGTGTATGTGCGGAAAAAATAGAATAGATGGGAAGAGAGGAAGAGAGACTTAGAGAAAGAACTTGTCCTCCACATTTTTCTCTCCACCATCCCGCCAGTTTTGTGGACACTTCTCGGGAGGAGACGCAGGAACAAATCGAAGCCTCGGCTGAGAGATTCTGCATGTGCTAGAGAGACTGAGACGGGGAACACGTCTTCAGGATACTTTGGCATGGGAGAGGCGTGAAAAATTGAAAAAATGTTGCTAGGTCTCTATCACTGTGTGATTTGTGCACTATTTCTCGCTGATTAGTCATCGCATCCTCCTTTATTTTATCACTAGTTATTGTAATTTTTTCGTTAGTTATTCGTTGACCTCGTAATACCTACATGTACAAGTTCAAACAGCAAATGAGTTCATTTTAATGAAATCGCGTCGAGACTAATGCTAACTTATCGCAGTATTACAGTATGTTCGCGTTCCAGCGCACTTCCCTAAAAGAAACACCGTTTAAACAAGAAGAGTCCGCGAATCGACAACGAGATTTTCAGGTGGAGATTTATTTTTGTTTATAAAATTTGAAAATTTTGTTTTTTTATTGAAATTCAGCTCAAAATTCAATTTTTATTTTACAACAAAAAGTGAACGGATTACAGTGAACGAACACTGCTTCTAAATTTTATAATTTACAAGAAGCTTTTGTTTTTTTTTTATTTCCCAGGTGCTGAGTTTAATCAAGTTATAAGAATTCTTGGTTACTCGAAAATGCTCATGAGTTCTCAGAAGCAGAAAAATGAAAAGGAGTGTGAGCACTTTTTGTGTTAAACAACCCTATCCTAGCTGAAAATAGAGGCGAGTACTGAAAAACGGAAGTAGGGAGTACCAGTTTGAGAAAAAAAGTCCGTGGGTTCAAAGCACATGGACTTGACTCCTGAAGGATAATGATGAGTGGTGAGCTGAGCAATTATTTTTAATGTTTCTTTCCTTTTTCTTTTCCATATACTTTCTTTCTTCCTACTCTTATTTCTATTTGCTCTCAACTATGGCTTGAAGTGATCCCTCAAGGGTGTCCGCAAGCACTGTCACGTCAGAATGCACTTTTTTATGAATTTAAATGTGTGGGCTTCCAAATAAAATCACTATTTCCAGAATGGTCTACATATCCCTTCGAGAATTCACCACGTGGCTTGATGTCACCGTCTTCGAACTGTGGATCCACTTCGCATCGATTTTGGTCTCTTCGGTTTTATTGGTAAGCTGTTTCTTTCTCTCCAAACATAAATATCAATTTTTCAATTTCCAGTTCCTAAAACTACACAACATTATGACAATATCTTATCAATTGGTGGCAGCTCCAATTTTCATTGGGATCGGTTTCGTCGCCTATTTCATTTTTATCATCTATATGAGATCCTGTGTAGAATATAAGGATTACAGAGGACCGAGTTAAAGTAGGCTAAAAAACACTTTTATATAAATTTAAAGTAATTTTTCTCAATTTTCAGAGTGGTATTCAACATGATCCGTCTGACACTCCTCACCTCCTTTCTCTATCTTCTCATCAATAAAATCAGTGGAGAGCTGGAAAACTCGGAAGTCGCCAATCAGAATACCTACTCCTTCATCTTCACACCAATCTGGATTCTTCTGTTCCTGTGGTGTGCTCAGATTTGTCGCGCGACGAGTAGTTGAACTATTCACTTTTTTTTCATTTTCTCACTTCTTGCCAACTTTTTTCGGGTTTCACATGCTTGTTTCTCAAAATGAATTCAGAGATTTATAATGCACATGACCCGGAATTAAAAAAAGAAAAGATCAAAAACATAATAGGTTTGACAAAAATGAATGAAAATACTCAAATACGAGAAATACACAGGAGAAAAATATATGAAAAAAATAAAACTAGTAATTTCGGCTATTATTCCGATTTGTCGATGCCAACGAATTCTTGGGTGGTGGAGCCATCAACTCCATACTTTCTATCGAGTCCGAATTCATCATTACATCTGTTTCCGGTGTCGGCGGATGTGTTGAATTTTGTGATGTGGGATATTGGAACTGTTCAAGGGAAAGCGATTCTGATGAGGAATACGCCAAGTTGTCGAGTGACACAGATTCTGCAGCCATCTCCGATCCGGCACACTCCCACACCTCCTCCAGCTCAATCCCATTCGAATTAGAGATAGCGTCTAGGGATTCCTGAACTCAAGAAATTTGAAAATCAGTTTAAAAGAGGACTCTGACCAAAGTTGCATTAAAATGTGTAGATTTAGAAACAAAGAAAACATTCAAAAAAATTTGCAAAACCTCGGAAAAATTTTCCGGATTTTTTTGTTTGATGTTCATTTCTAGGAGCTTCGGAGAAGGTTCTGGAATCTTTTTTGAATTCCTCGAAAAACTGGAAACTCCGAAAAATTTGCAGTTTTTCGAGATTTTTCGAAAACAAAATTTATTTTTTCAACAATTTCTCGCTAAGTTTTTAGACCTTTTTAGGGGTTTCAGCTTTTTTTGAAGATTCTTTTCCGATTTGTCCGAATTTTTTTTGTCTGAAAATCGACGGGATGATGTTCGCAAAGATGTAGTTTACTGTAGGACTCAATTTTCTTGCAAAAAAACAAAAACGTTTTTATCTGCATTTTGGCGTGATGGTGTTTGCAAAAAAACGAGCTAAAAGAGCTTTCTACAGTAACCTACAGTAATCTTCGCGAGTACCCTCCCGACAAATTTCAGACAAAAAATTCCGAATAATCAAAAAAGAATCTTCAAAAATAGCTGAAAACCCTGAAAAGGTCTAAAAATTTTGCAAAAAATCGAAGAAAATAATAGATTGTTCTTTCGAAAAAAAAAACCCCGAAGGTTTTTGGGAGTTTTCAGTTTCGGCAGGAATTCAACAAATGACGTGAAAGCCTTCCAGAAGTTTCCAGAAATGGCTGTTTAGGCAAATTTTACAGGTAATGCAATTTTTTTTGAATTTTTTTTAGTTTCTATGTGAAGCTCCATACTTTTCAACACATTTTCTGCAATAAATAATGCAAATGAATTTTGGTCGAAGTCCCCTTTTAATAAATTTTCGAATTACCTCCATATCTAACAACTCCACCTGCCGCTGATAATCTCTAAGGAACTCTTCGTCATTCTCCGAATCATCATTTTCTTGTGTAGTTGTGGCAGGCGGTGGAGGAACAGGTTTGGGCGGTCTGGAAATTTCAGCTGAAATGCCAAGTGGCAAGACTTCTTTTTCTAGCAAAAATGGCAGTGTTTATTGTATTACTTCACAAATGTTTACAATTTGATGTCAATTTGACATGCAAAAAAACGTTATATGTACAGGTTTGAGGATACAGAAAAAATTAAAAAACTTTGGATTCAGAAGAAGAAGTTCCTTCTTCTTCTTCTGAAGACTCCCCAACAAACCCATTGCGGACGATCGGTGGCTCATTCTTCATTTTCTCCCGTTCCTCCTCATCCAGTGCTTCGATTTGCTGACGAATCGTCATCTTCTCGGCGAACGATTGGCGATCGTGCTGAAATTTTCAACAATTGAACGAGTTTGAAAAAATCATTTATTCTAAAAGTGAGCTCACAAAAAAACAACAAAAAATCCTAGGAAATGAGACATTTTGAGTCATTAGAGTCAATTGGGGGATGAACATCAACAATTTTGTAGATATCACATCTATGCAACTGTCTAGCATCAGCTACCTTATCATCTGTCATATCATCACAAGATTCACAATCCAGATACTCCTCGCTCAGGAATTCTCGACGCGTTACACTCGACAGCTTTAGGGGTAGACGACGCAGCCAGAGTTGAAAATCACGTCTAGAGACATCGATTGTATCCACGTTGTCGTCAAGATCATCGTCATCTTTTATGATCTGATTCTTTGGCTCCACCCACGAGCACTTTTGATTGATTCTCAACTCAATTTTCAGCTTCATCATTTGAATTGCGATTTGAGCAATGTTCCGAGCATCATCCAGTCCGCTGTGTTTGTTTCCGATGAATGTGAGATCAAGACGCTCCAACATATTTTCGATTCCAGACTTTCCGTTTCCTTTCATCAATCCGTTGAATTTCTCCTTGAACGTCTTCTTGATATTAATAAAGTTTCGGAACATGTGTGGCATTCGGATATTGGATAGAATGCATTGAAATTGCATGAATTTCCACATATCGTGAGGTCTGAAAATTGAAATTTTTTGGTGTGATAGATTGTAAATTCTCATATTCTTACCCATCCGTCACAAAAGCAAATCTTGTATTCTTCTCTCCTAGTCCAAACTTTCTCATCCATTGCATCAATTTTTCAAGCGCCTCGCGGAAGTATGGTGCTTCGTCGACAGTTTCTTGAGCGATTTCTAGAAAAAATCGGCGGATTTCAGGGATCGAAAACAAGGAAACCTTACTGGTGAACTGGATACAGAAATCGCTCAGTTTTGGATTTTTTACTGGCCGGACGTATGATCGAAACTCGCTGATCTGGAAATTTCGAATTTTCAAATACATCACAATGTTGAAAACTATCGTAAAACCTGTAATAGAAGGGCTCTCTAACTTCCAACTTTGAGCCCATATATCTCGATTCCTGTGAAAGATATCAAAAAGCGGTCGATTGAAAATGTTTTTCATAATATCACCAATGTTTATCAGTTGACACATTTTTGATATCTTTCACAGGAATCGAGATAAATTGTATTAAAGTTGACAGTGCCCTTCTATTACAGGCATTACGGTATATGTAGATACATATGGCAACAAAAAAAATTGAAGAATTCTTTTTACTTCGAACAAAGGCTTAAAATTTGGAAAATAGGGTTTTCAGCCTTTTTCAAAGATTCCCTTCCGATTTTTCCCGATTTTTGTCTGAAATTAGACGACACGGTGTTCGTGAAGACTATTCTAGGTTACTGTATAAAACTCAGTCACGTCAAAATGCAGATGAAAATTTTTAGCAAAAAAAACTGCAAAAAATAGTTTTCTACAGTAGACTACAGTAATCTTCGCGAACGTCATCCCGTCGATTTTCAGACAAAAAAATTCGGACAAATCGGAAAAGAATCTTCAAAAAAAGCTGAAAACCCTAAAAAGGTCTAAAAACTTTGCGAGAAATCGTTGAAAAAATAAATTTTGTTTTCGAAAAATCTCGAAAAACTGCAAAATTTTCGGAGTTTCCAGTTTTTCGAGGAATTCGAAAAAGATTCCAGAACCTTCTCCGAAGCTCCTAGAAATGGCTTTTCGATGCGATCCACACATTTGTCTACACAAACTTACAATTTTCATCTCTCGAACATCAATCAGGACAGCTGGCAGTTCAATGATTTCATGAGGGTAATCGTAGATGATTTCGACACATGTACATTCGAAATCAATGGCCTGAAAATTATCGAAATTACAAAAAAAAATAGATAATTGAAAAATTACAATTAAGTAATCGAAATAACGCAGAGTTTTATCAGAATTCGGCTCCAATTTCCGATTCAACAGTGCATTTTCCTTTCGATAGTATTGTGCCACTCGCTTGCGAAGCGTCTTTTTGTTTCCTCTGAAAAGAAACTGCTAGATTTCGAATTTTGAAATAGAATTGTTACCCCGTTGAAACTTTGATTCTCTGTAGCGCCTGTCTCAACTGATCCGTACTCATTGTGTCCATCGTTCGAATCACTTTTCGAACATAATCCGGATCGACCATCGATTGAAGTGGCTCAATCCTTTCAGCCGGTTCTATCTGATGCTCTGGTGGAATCGTTGGTTGAATATCTGATTCTTCGGTTTCCACGTCATCTTCGTCGACTTCTTCATTCGTCTGTTGATTTGTCTCGTGCTCCTCGCTGACTTTGAGAAGGTTTTTCAGACTTTCTAGATATTTCTCGTCTTCTGGATTCTGTTCTGCTGTCATGACAACTGAAAATTTCCGTTTTTTTTTCTATACTCAGCTGCGTAATGAGTGAAAGTATACAATTGTCCAACCGATAAAGCGAAGCAATAAAGAGAGCAAAAAAAGAACAACTGATTATGTCGAAAATAATTTATTCTTGTTGAAACCGATATTGAGCACTCGTATTGTTTCGTTTTAATGATTGAAAATAGGGGGGACCGGTTTGAGTGTTTCCTGGTGTTGGGGTGAGCAAATATGTAATATACAAAATAATCTAAAAATATGGTAATGTGAGTGTTTGGGACCGTTTTCCCAAAAAAAAAGTGTACAATAAATAACACATGAAGTGAGTGAAAGTAGTATAGGAAGAATCATTTACATAACCGCGACATCCATTTCATCGGAGAGTCTGTACCATTTGCCAATCGTCAGGGAGGTTAATGGTTCGTACCGTTCAGCAATCATTTTAGACATATCGAATTTTGCATGCTCACCGTGTTGCTGCCGGTTTGTTTTAAACCAAGCGGCCAGCCACAGCATCTGAAATCAGGAAAGTTTAAGATTCGTTGTTACGGTACAATTCTTTACCTTGCTTCCCTCGTGCATGTGAATTTCTCTCAGACGCTGTTCTTCTCTCTCGTGATACGCGATGATAGCGTTGTCCAATTGGACACATTCTTCGTATCCTCGTTGACATCTATCAGCCGATGCGTACTCGAGCTCGAAGCGTCTCGCCTTCATTTTGAAGATTCGTTCCTTGTCGAATCTCTGGAACTCATTACGATCGATGTCGTATGAGGCACTGAAGAGAGCGGCAAGATGATCCAGCAGATCGTTGAACGCCGATGACGAATTGGCATCAGCAAACGTGTACCCACCGCCTTCACATCTTACTCCACGGTGCATGAATTCAGAGTCTTCCATCTGAAAAAAGACAATTCAAATGAGAATGGACACATTATTATGCTTGTCTGAGAAAAAAAAAGTTGAGACGCAGAGAAAAAGTGTCTGCGTCTCCACCGTTTGTGTGCTATTTAGGCTCTCCGCTTCGATATCGCTACCGTACTCAGACTGCAAAAAATACTCTCTAACCTTTTTTTCTCAGACAAGCATAATACATTTGGGACCCGAACCGCTTTGTGGTATTGTTTTCGGATCGCATGCATAAAGAATCTTACTTTTGAATTTTTGAAAGCAAATGTGTAGAGAGCACCGCAAATACTAGTTATTTCAATTATAGCGAATACTGGATAACAGCAGCAAAAATCTAAAGTACCGATTCGACGAATTCAGAGTAGTCTGGAACTGCGACACCCTCGAGTTCTTCATCCTTGACACCATGCTTGCGGTACACATCGTAGAATTTGCGGTGAGCTTCTTCAGATACAGCAATACTCTCTTTAAGACTTTTAACGAGAGCATCGTCCTTTCCTGTCTTGTAGGATTTCAAGTCGTCCATGATGATCTGTTGAGCCGGGTACCATTTCAGATCTTCTTCTGGAGTTCCCTCAGCTTTTCCTTCCGGTTTCTCTTTTTCTTCTGGCTTTTCTTCATGTTTCGCCTCAGGTGATTTCTTTGGAGTCGTCTCATCACGTTCCGACCGTTGAGCACCCTCGCCTGACGAAGTAGTTTCACCAGTAGAAGATGTAGGTTTGTCATTTGCTGGGCTTGGTGGGATTGAACCATCATCTTGATCTTCTTCTCCATCTGTATCGAAGTTGAACATCTTGTTAGTAAGTGGACAGCTAAAAAATAATAGAGTATTCGTTATATTTTTTCAAGAGCTTACATTGGCTTGAGCTTTGGCCATCTGCTCGGCGACTCCTTTCGTTGTCTGTAGTAGAAGCGACACCATCTTGGATCACTAGCGAATTTCTTATTCTTGTAATATTCATCCGTTAGCTTCTCAGAAGGTGTTCCCTCGTAACCACCATCTTTGGAGTACCGAACAGCTGGAGGCATTTTCTTCTCTGCTCCAAGTGCATCTGCACTACGAGCGACTGGGCGGTATTGTTCGTGCAACTGGTTGGCTACACTTGCACCGAGACGCTCTGTATTAGCATGAGTCTTGTCACAGAAAGCTTTAGCCAGTTCGCGTTGAGCTTCGTCCTTTGAATCGATGCACCGTAGAACTACGTGCAACTTCATACCGTTGTTCAGTTTCTTGTTCTTTAGTGCTCGATCCATTTCGTAAACTGGGAACGTGAGAACGTGTTGGTTCCGTTGATGAGGGATCTGGAATGGACCTCCGACTTCAGCAGGTGGATCAAAAACACCCAATGGGTAGTAGGCGTCACCGCCAGCTGGAAGAGTACGGTCGTTGTGGTCATCAGTGACGATTTTTTTCTCATGTGCATTGTACAAATGCTGGATGATCATGTCGCGTGGTCTAAATAAGAGAACATGTTTATATTATAAAACAATTTACTGTAACACCACTCACATCTCCATCTGCTTGCTCGTGTACATCTTTTCCACCGACTCTGCAGGACAGTGTTCGTCCCACTTGTCAGGCTTCAGAATCTGCCAATTCCCTTTGTACGTTTTGTTTTCTAATATGTCCCTTTCCGGCAAGTTTTTCTTGTACCGTCCAATAGATGTATCCTCATTTTCGTATGGCCAGACTTTGTCTCCATAGACAAAGTCACCTTCACACATTCCTTTGCAGACGAACATTGTATTGAACCAGACATGGCCGATCTTTCTGTCCGCCATTGGCAAGTGGATGTCATCATCGAGAAGATCCACACGCACATCTCCTTCGACGAACACTCTATTACTCTCCGGTACCATGAATGTGTAAGCACGTTTGGAAACGTATGGAGGACCTCCAGCGTAGAAAGTGTTGCATTCAGTAGAGTCTCGCCATGATGCCAATTCCTTGCGGTAGTTTCGTTTATTGATGAAAAGAGGTTTCGAAGTGAACACAACTGTTGCTCCATTCGACACCTTGACTTTCACCTTCGATTGACTGGGTCGAGTTTTTGGCGGACGCTCAAGATACACTCCAACGAGCTCCTGACGCAGTGGGAAATAGTTCAACTGCTTTCTGCGCATGAAGTCATAGTAGTAGATATAACGCCGTTGTGATGGAATCGTGACACCTTTGTTATTGCTGGTTCTGACAATAGAGTAGTAGTCGAGAATTTGACGAGGGTTCTTGTAGAACTGGATGTATATAAGGAATGCGCATATCATCACACCGGTTCGGCCTTTACCAGCTTTGCAGTGGACAGCTATCACGTTCTCCTTGTCAGCTTCGAGCCATTCGTAAGCTTCTCTACAGAATGGAGCCATCAACTCAAGACTTGGAGGGTGGTGGTCCTTCATGTCAAAGTAGATGACATTATCGTCAAACTTCTTCGGATCATATAAGAAGCCTCCACGCAGATTGAACACCTTCACTTTTCCTGATCCATGGCGCCGTTTCAAGAACTCGACGGTATGTCCCATGGTATTACGGATGCACTTTTCCCATCCACTGGATGGATATCCAACAGCGATTATGCGATCAGTGATGTCTAAAAAAAAGACTTCGAGTGAAGACTAAACCGAAAAAAAACTTACAGGCAAGATCCAAATCGAGTCCTTGGAATTGAAAACGATGTCTTTTTTGCGAGATGATCCTCCGGAATCTTTGGCAAAATTTGTTCCACGTAGATGGCACAAAATCTGCAGCCACCCGGTTTTCACTCTCCTCCATATCGTCTTGATTGTCACTCAGCACAAGATGGTCTTCCGGTCGTGGCCTTGCTTCTTCCTGCTGTGGCTCTACGTCCACCATTATGTAAGATTAGGGTGTTAGTGAAGGTACCTGGAAGCTTTGAGAGAATATTAATCGATACGATGTACGAGGAGCAGACTAGTCGCCAGATTAGTCGAGCGAAAGCTCTCCAGTAAAATGTATAGCTTATTGAGAGCAAGAATGCAATTTGTAGGGAGAAAGTCGACGAGAATGAGAAGATGGAGGAAGAGGAAATGTGTAATGTAATAGACGCAGCAAAACTACAATATTACTGGAGTCAAACGAACAACCAACAAGAGCAAAAAAGAAAAACTGCAGCAGTGTTGAAAGTATTGTTGAATCGAAAAAAAAATCGTCTAAAATTGCTTCGCGCGGGTGTAGATACAAACATGTAGATCTACAAGGATAAAATATGGAATTCAACTATTTCGTTAATATCTTATTATTCGATGTCATCAAAATAATCAACTAGAATATATAAAATTTTTTGTCACTACAATTATAGAACCTAATTATAAAAATCAGGTATTTATTAAATTCCTGAAAATTAAAAAAAAATCTTTGCTTTCGCGGCGAAACCGGTGAATCCAAAAAGTTTGTTTAAAGGCGCAAGGCTATTCGCGCGGCTCGGGTCTCACAGCGATCGCATTTTCTCAACGCTTTTTCTTTTTTTCTCATTGGTTTTCTCGATATTTTTTCGGTTTCAAATCGTTTGCATGCGTTTTTTATGTTAAAACAGAAATAAAAGTAAATGTGCATTATATTCTAAATATTGGCTGCGAAAAGTTCGTTGTAGATTTTCTAATCTTGAGGAGATAGGTCTCTAATTGATTTGTATCTGTGTCAAAACATTTTTCTAAGTTTTTGTTCTTATTCGAATATTAAGATCGTATCTTCGTATTTTTTATGCATTCAGTTCACTACTCAAAAAGCTCGAGTGACCGTATACAATTTAATTTTTCAGCATGAGTTTCCGTGGCGGACGTGGTGGAGGCGGCGGTGGTGGATTCCGAGGTGGCCGTGGAGGCGGCGGCGGCGGTGGATTCCGCGGAGGACGTGGTGGTGATCGTGGCGGCGGCGGCTTCCGTGGTGGACGTGGAGGCGGTGGACGAGGAGGATTCGGCGGTGGAGGCCGTGGAGGCTATGATCAAGGACCACCAGAGGAAGTTGTGCTCGTCGGAGTCTTCTCCCATAAATGCCAAGACGACATTGTCTGCAACAATACCAGCGGAAAAATTCCATATTTCAACGCACCAATCTACTTCGAAAATAAGGAACAAGTAGGAAAGATCGATGAAATTTTCGGATCTCCAGGAGAGAACGTGAGTATCTTCCATTGTCTACCTATTTTTAGAAACATTTGTTAATTTTCAGGGATTCTCAGTCACACTGTCCCAAGGTGTCAAAGCCTCCTCGTTCAAATCAGGATCAGAATTGTATATTGACCCAGGAAAGCTTCTACCTGTCGAACGATTCCTTCCACAAGTTGGAGGTGGCCGAGGCAGAGGAGGCCGTGGTCGCGGTGGAGATAGAGGACGCGGCGGAGACCGTGGTCGAGGAGGATTCGGTGGCCGTGGAGGTGGTGGCGGCGGATTCAGAGGAGGAAGCCGTGGAGGATTTGGCGGCGGAGATCGAGGAGGTTTCCGTGGTGGACGCGGTGGAGATTTCGGAGGACGTGGCCGAGGAGGAGATTTCAAGCGATCATACGACGGTGGTGGTTATGGAGGAAATAGTAATAAGCGAACCAAGTTCGATTAGTTTTCTCTACATTCATTCTGTATGCTCCCCAATGTTCTCAATCTTCCCTATCCTTTTTTTTATCAAGTTGTTGATTTGTTCTTGTTTCCTGCTGCCTACCCCCTATTCAATTATTGACAAATTTGTTGTTGAACTTGTTGGTATTTTATACATTTGTTTTTGATTTACGCTTTATTCACTCTTCATTCACACAAAAATCAATACAATCAATGACCTGGACACTCTCCAAACAACTGGGTGTATGGCACACATCCAAAACCCTGCACCGCGATTAAGTCGTAAAATCCACCGAGAGAATCTTGAAGTCCTCTAATAATCGCTCCGAATGTGTCAGGTTCGAAGAGAGCTTGGCACATTTCTTCGTTCAAGAAAGCGCATGCTTCAGCAATCGCAGCCTTAACTGTTCCAAGCATAGGATTTTCGAGGATATCTGGAATAAGGAAATGAGTTTGATATTGTGGCTGAAGATTACTGTAGTTGATATATTTGAGAACATCATAGACAAGGAAGCACAACATGCATTGAACATTGCTAGCACTTTCACTAATGACAAGAGCTGATGGCTCAGCAGAACATCTCTGGGCAGCACTAGAAACTGATTGGAGGGAGTTTTGGAATTTTTCAGGGGTTCTTTGAATTTCAGCATGGACTGTGGAGATTATCTAAAAGTAAAAACATTTATAGGCTTCTTTGGATTCTCTGAATAACCTCGCAATCTGTCAACTGCTTCTCACATCCCTCAAACTTCAGACAGTGTGCCACAGATGCTTCACGCGTGGCTCCAGTTTTAGCAGCCATCGATGCTCCGAGAAATTGGCAAACTGAACATTGCACTTTCTGTGCGTCCTCTGGCCTAATAGCTGGACCGGATTGGCAAGAATAAATGCCGATTATGGCAAAAATTAGAACAGTTCGGAGCATTTTCTATTGATTAGAATGTGAAAAATAAGAAAGAAAGTATTTGTTTGGGTCGCTTTGGTTTCCAGTCTTCTTATCAATTGAAGTGTCTTATTATCATACGAAAAAAAATCAGGAGACTACTCTAGCTACGTGGATTCGGAATTCTTAAGAATAATAAGAAAACTTTATATGTACATAATCTAAATAAAGTTCTTTAAAATGAATTAATTCCCTCCAGCCATTTTCCACTGATTCTCAAACTCTTCTTCTGTAATTTCAGCTCCCGGCTTGTGTTCGAGACCAGTCTCTCGAAGTGTCAGCTCACACATTTGTAGGTCATCGCGGCCTGAAATGTTATCTTGGTACAAAAAAATTGGGGCTGAAGGACCCACAACGAAAACTATCGTAACCTAAAAACTAACGTAACCTATTTTAACTTTCCGGATTTATTTTGCTATTTTTGTGCGTTTTCGGTTAATTGCTCACTGCCTTTTTTGGAGGAAAATAACAGAAAAATCGACGAAAAAAAAACATTTTTAGGTTACTGTAGTTGTCGTTGCGGGACTTTCCGCCACGGCCGCCGGCCAAAATAAAGTCAAAGAACAAAAATAACCTGCTATCATCAATTGAGGCATTTGGGATGGGCGGATTGTGATCTGACGATGAATATGTTCACCAGAAAAGTGGGCATACCACATTCCAGTTTTTCCAGAGAAGGAAAAGTCTAGTTGAGCTCCCGCATCGAATATATATTTGAAATATCTCTGCTGATATTGTCTAGTTGAGCCGGACGAATCTAAATTTTGCAGAACTAGACAAATTGATTCCCAAGTCGTTACCAATACCATATACACTCAACGGCGCTCTCGCAGGTGCTGGCTCATCGCGTTTTGACGCATTTCTTGACTTCCACTCGTTATAAATACGAAGACGTCGTCTGAATTCTTCTTCACAAGCCACGAGAAGATTAATATCCATGCTATGGTTAATCGCATCTCTCAGTTCTGCATACTTCCAATGAGCCAAATCGTATTTCCCCTTCAATGTGGAGTTTCCAGAACTTGACCCGGATTCTGGAGACATCACTAAAGCAATACCATCAGAATCTGCTAAACTATTAGGAACTATTGCATCCAGTTTCTCCTGTTGAGCACTCTTCTCGTTCTCTTCTTTTTTTTTGGCAGCTTTTTTGATTTGTTCCACCAGTTGAGTTTCATGCTCTTTTTGAATTCTTGCCTTTTGTTCTTCCATGCGTTTTAATCTGGAATGTTAAATTATACAAAACCAGCTTGAAAAAAATTAAAGCCATCTTTCGAATTGACTACTTTTATACCAAAATTTCCATACTTTTCAAACACATTCTGTTTTGAAAAGAAGACTCCGCCCACTTTTCTCTCTTGAAACCGGGGAGAGGCAAACAGAGGAAACGCGTTTTCAGAGAAAAATACGATTTTGGAGAGTTTATATACTTTCTTGGTTTTTTTTTTTCCGCGATTTTCAATGATATGGGTGGATCAGCCAAAAAGCATGATGCTTGTTTTTTTGTTTTAATATACTTTGAATGAATCCAGTAAATGTTTTAAATGCTAAGAGTGTAATTTTATTGTGTGGTTTTCTCGAAATTTCCATTCAAATTGAGTCCATCATTTTTCTAATTCTAGTAGAAGCAAACTTCGCGCAGCTACAAATGAGCTTGGAAATTTCCAAGGTATTTTGAGCAAAAATAGAGCTTCATATTCGTAGTGAACAACATTTTTCCATCACTACTTCTGAAGAAGTTATGTCACGAAAACATCTACAGTGCGTTGCAGGTTCTTACGTCTACCCATGTTTAGGGTCATAACTTGAGAGCTGTTAGAGGTATTGGCCTAATTTTTTGAAAATCGGATACGAGACAATAAATTAAATCTAGTGGACAATTTTGTAATGAAACTTTGAAAACAACTCGAGTTATCCGGAAAAGTCTGAAAACACGCCTTTTGCAACCGCTGCAAGTTTATACGCCCACCCCAAAGATCAGTAGATCACGACCTCCAGAAAAGACGGAGGAGCCCAATTTTGATTCTGTTTAACTAAAATCACTGTAAAAAGCTGTTTTCATTACGTGTTTTTCTTTCTTTGAGTTTGTATCATGTCATGGGATCTTTTGCCGACTGATGCTGGAAAAGCTTCAATCGGGGCAGTTGGAGCACCGGGATGGACCAAAAAGCTATCAGAAAGCAACTAAATAATTTACACTGTCATATCGACTGTTTTCTCATCCGAATACTTAACGAAAAAAAAACAGGATCAGCTCAAATCCTGCCCTCATGATCCCAATGCTCTACCAGTACTGTCGTATTAAACTCTTTGAAATCGTGTAACGGTATCAACCAGGAGCTTAAACTTGGAGTCATCAAATGGACGTGTTAGAGATGTCTCAAAGATGATCCAGGCATCAAAAGAGCGATCATGGTCCTAGCTCCGACACCTACCGACGATCACAAAGTACGTTGTCTCAACTTCTTTCAAAAGTTCATCGGATCCAACTGAGTGGATGTGTTAAAGTTTAACATGATCTACTAAATAATAAATCCCAATAAACAAATCAACAGATGGTGCGCCTTCGGCGCGATTCAACCTAGTTTTTACTAGTTCGTCCTAGTTTATTTTTCCATTTTTTTTAATGGTTTACGTAAATCTATTTCCAATTTTCGAGTTTTTTTTTAAACTTTTCACACGTTACGCAATAAATCTTTAAATGAATCAATACTGTCCACGTTGAAAAAATTCCACGTATTGAAAAAAAATAGTCCTGTCGGTAATCTCACTTTTTGAATTAGTTTGATAATTTTCACTAGCACTTTTTGACTGCCCTGAAGCTCCCTGCGTAAGCTGTTTATTGTTTCATTTGCTTTTTTCTTTCGATTGGTTCGGATGCGAAAAAAGTTATAAAAGGCCCTGAGGGTCGCCATGTTTGGTGGTTCATGGTTAGGTGAATTCACTTTCACTGAACGTCCCCCTTTTGCAAAAGACCCAATCACAGAAAAAAAAGAAACAAATGAACAAAACAATAAATAGCGATCGTATAGCTTTTTAGCAGTGAAAAAAAAACTATTGAAAATTTGAAAACTGGCTCCTCGGAGACAGGGGTTTTGTGTTGGTGTTTTCCCCCAGTGAAAACCCATTTTCCCTTTCATGTACTGAGCCTCTACGTGGCGAAAGGGATCAACAGACGAAAGTCTGGCTAATCAGTACACTTTTGAAACTTGTCATTTTTCATGTTTTTTTTGTTGATATGTTCAGGAATATGTATATTTGATTTTTTTTTCAATAAATCCTTTTTTTACATCTTCCATTTCATTTTTCTCTTTTCCAAGCCCGTTTCCAAGAAGGAAGAATCAAAATTGGGCACCTCCGTCTTCGCTGGAGGTTGTATCCTACTGATCTTTGGAGTGGACGTATAAACTTGCAACTGTTGCAAAAGGCGTGTTTTCAGACTTTTCCGGATAACTCGGGTTGTTTTCAAAGTTTCATCACAAAAATTGTCCACTCGATTTAATTTATTGTCTCGAATCCGATTTTCAAAAATTAGGCCGATACCTCTAACAGTTCTCAAGTTATGACCCTAAACATGGGTGGACGTAAGAACCTACAACGCACTGTACATCAATTTTCAGGTGGCCTATCTAGTGTAGGGGAGGTTTCAGGAAAGTTTTTCAATTACAAAACCACTATGGTCTTATTTAATTAAAGTATAAATTACCTTTCTTTCTCCTCTATCATAACTCTTTCGTTTTCTTCTTCTTGTCTCCTTTTCCTTTCCAGTTCTTCAACCTCATCACTTTTCTGTTGCCTTCTTAAATCCAATATCATCGAATCCACTCTTTTCACATAATGTTCGTATGCAATCTCCGCTTTCTCTATCTGATCTACACTTGCTAGCCTCACATGGCTCACTAGTTTCTCTAGATCCTTGATTGTGAGGTGTGCGGAGCTAGTCCACTTGGCCCGTGAGTTTTCATTCAAATGAGAGAGAATCTGAAGAAAAAGGGAAATGAGACTTGTCTTTGTTCAAAGTACCTTTTCAATTTCCTTAGAGTTTCTCAATAGGTTACATGATTTCCGGTAGATTGCAATTTGTCTAGAGTACCTCTGACGGGCCAGATATCCACGGGTCATGGATTGAAGCTTGGTCACCTGCGCATTCCGATAGGCGATCTTGTTCTTCACTGAAATTCATTGTGTTGGATCTGCTAATATTAAAAGTACAACACACATTTGATCACACTCCAGACTGCATACTGTGCCTGTCGCCAGCGAGACTTCACTAGCCAGTCATTCACTTTGTTGATCAGTGACATCATATGTTCTGGATCTTGTCTCATCATCTGAAAATTCAAAAGTTTGAGTAGTTGCCAGCTAATCTTTATTACCTGATCAAACTCTGCAAATTTTCCAGCTCTGAAGAATACCTTGGTTAGACCAAACTGAAAATCGTGTTGATCCAAACCAAGTGCTCTAAACAGACACTTCGCAAACAGCCTAGAATCCAATCTAGCTAATTTTGGAGGCAAGTTTCTCTGATAGCTGGGATATAGGTCGCCGAACGATGTTCTACTCGGGAAACCGTCTTGCATTAGTTTCAACACTGATGTCATTCCTGCACACTGGAGTTGAGAAAGGATTGCTGATCCATCGAATTGCCAAGGGGTCATTTGGTTATTCGGTTTGATACATCTAACAAAATGAGTTCCCGTGGAGTCTAGTTTCTTTAAAAGAACTGATAACTGTGATTTGAACTTGGATCCAACGCTTTGAGATTTTAACTTGTTTCCCGATTTGATCGAATCTGAAGAGGTTGATGATGGGAAGAGAGAAACTAGAAGAGAAGATGTTGATTGCTCAATCAGAATCTGGAGTGAGTTATGCAATTGATCGTCATTCTTCTCTACAAAATGTTTAGTCTCATAACACACTGATCCAGCATAGTGACGAATGAGTAGCCCCTCGTCATCCCTCATTTCTCTATGAGATTTGACTTTAGACTTGCGGGGAGTCTGAAAATCAGAGTTCTTCTACAATAATTTTATGACGACTTACATCTAGTCTGAAATGTTGCCGATTCTTCTCATGAGCTCTTTTTGTGAAATTCTTGAAACTAGGTGTCGGCAGACGTGCTTCTTCATCGAGTAGATCAAAAAGTCCCGTACTCTTCATTTCAAACAGCTCAATGCAATCCTGGTTATCCACAAATTCAATCCTCCTCACATTCAACCCCTCTTTCTCATACAATGCTTGTTCTTCTTTTAGTATACGCTCATTAAAAAAGTTTTGCAACTTCTCATTACAAAAGTTGATGCAGAATTGTTCAAATGAGTTTACAGCGTAGTATTCGAAACCAGCAACATCGAGAACTCCAATAAAGTGAGTGCTCTTCTCAAATGGAATGCTTTGATTGATTCTGGAGACGAGCCAATCAAACAGTTTTGTGTAGATGGCTTTCGAGAGGGCATCACGGCCGGCATAGGCTTCCTGGGACTTCAGAGGGACACGAATTAATGTTCCACGGGCGCCTCCTTTGGTCTATAGACAATAAAGTGTACGCATCTCATCTAGAAATCTGCTTACCTGCATAATCCTTGCACACAATCCCATTTTCAACTCCATTGTCTCAAGACCCAAAAGTCTTGCTGCCTGCTCTACGGCTCCTTCACTTCCTCCAGAAACTCTACATCCACCTTTGGAGTCTCCAATATTCTCCTCAAACTCGATATTTCCCAAGTGTAGCACTCCAGCGATAGTAGTCCAAATGAACATAATCTCCTTTTCTTTCAAGCCAGACAACATTAGAGCATTTTCCAATCTTTGGAAATCCAAAAAGTCATCAACCATGGAATCTTGTGAGAATCGAGAGTCAGACCATCTGGATTTGGGAATTTTAGTAGCAGAAGTCGAATTTGGGTGGGTGAAAAAGCCAACGAAACAATTTTTGAGGTACTGGAAAATATTTAAAATCAGAGGATGGATGGAATCTTCAAAGCTTACATTAAAACAATGAGGTTGTCCCAATGCCAGGTAGGTGTATAGCTCAGGAGGGGTCCCCGCTATAAGCTGATAAAAAATATGATAGTTTCTTTCTCCAGAAGCCTGGCGACAGATTCTAGAAGTTTCCAGAAGATAATGAGACACGTATCCACCTGCGACGTTTCCCTTCTCACCAAAATGAATTTGCACGAATTTTCCGAATCTACTGGAATTGTTGTTTCTCAAAGTTTTTGCATTTCCGAATGCTTCCAGAACTGGATTAGCTGAAATCAAAAAAGTTCAGAAACAAATTTTTATTTATCAAAATTGTAACTCACTTTCCAGGAGTCTCTGTTGAATTGGACCAGCCTCCGCGCCCCAATTCTCACACAAATATCGTAAAACCGATTTTTGTGATTCTGTTTTTCCAGCACCCGACTCTCCAGACACTATGATCGATTGTGGTTTTCTATGTCTCCTCATTTCTCGATACGATTTGTCTGCAATCGCATAAATGTGTGGTTCCTTCTGTCCAAGTGACTTTCCACGATACTCTTTGATTTTTTGTGTTGAATAGAAGCCATCAATTGTTTGATATGGGTTTATAGAGATGAGAATGTTAGCGACATAAGACTGAATATTATATGAGCTTAGAATTTTTATTGGGGTTGAAAAAACTCACATAAATTTTTCCGTTTTTGTAGCGCAGCCTACAATTATTCAACAGTGTTGCTGCATTCAAATGCATCAGTGCACAATTATCCTCTACCGATTTAAAAGGGTCATCCTCACTTGAGAAAACTTCTTCATATTTTCTAGTGACAGTTTCCTTGGAATTCAGAAGAGTCAGTGTGAATCCAGATTTGGAAAGATCTATTATTTGAGCAGCACGAAATCCATCTTCCGGGTCAGTGATCCATACGATTCTTCCAAAGTCTGGAGGGAGGGAATCGTTCGGCGTTTGTCTTGCGACTTCAGAACTTCTAGTAGGTTCTGCTGGTCGGATTGTTTTTGCCTTCCGGAAGGCGCTGGGTGGGTCTGGAGCACGCCTCACAGGTTCTGATGGTTGTGTTATTACAGAAGAACGTGTATTCTGATAGGATCTAGGTGGCTCTGGAGCACGCCTCACTGGCTCTATTTGTCTTGGAAAATCAGGTGGTTTATCAACATTTCTAGATGGGTCTGGTGGTGGTTTAGAAGATAATGGAGGTGCACTTGGCTCTGTTCCTCCACCTTTTTGTCGTTTGCTCAGGGTCCGAAGCATTATGAAATAGAGAAGCGAAATATGGAATTGGGTAAATCGAAAATTTGAAAATTTCTTATCGGAGCAAAAATGTGTTCCGCCTGTTTTTCAGGTGAATGTTGACAAATACGTCAAATTCGAAAGGGAGTGAAAAGGAGCGAGAAGGAGAAGAGAAATTGGGTAGGGTAGACTGATAAGGAAATGAGTCAAAATTGAAATGACACGCCATATGCTGAATAGTACTGCTGAAAAGGTCTATGGAATTGAAGTGAGGTTGCGGAACTGTACTATTTTTTTTACTATGAACAATGGTGTTTGTGAAACCGACTTCTTTAAAAACTTTAAAGTCTGATGGTTGAGTTGGTCCGCCAACTAGCCGCAAATAGTCCGTTCCAACTGAAGCTCCCCTTTCTGATCAACACTCGAAAAACTATAAGTTCTACTGACTTTCAAATTTTCTTTGTTTCAAGATATCTCCGGTCTTGGAACAGATAGGAAAAAAGGTCAACTAAAAATATTTTCCATATTTAGATAAACATTTTGTCAGTTGGTCACTTTTTGATATCTTTCACAAAAACTGAGATGAAATGGCTCAAAGTGTAGGTACAGGGTTATTTTCTATTATAGTGTTTACGGTATTTAGAGAAAAAACAAGTTTCAGATTTGCTTGTGAGAAAAAGTTTTGGAACTGGAACTCAGTGAAAATTTACTTAGGTTGTGTTTCTTCTTACTCCAACTATGTGGATACTCATTTAAAGCTACTTCGGTGGTGACGAAACTAGAAAATTCTAAAAATTTATAATTGCTGGAAAAATGACAATTGCCATGCACGCTTCCGATTGAAAAATCCAACCGAGAATGTCTGAAAATGTACCTATTCGCTTGTATTTTTGTAGTTGAGAGTCACATTTCATCACTACAGTACCCCTTTCTTTTTGAAATTGCATTTTTTGTTAAGTTGGACCTTCTGTGCTTTTTTTGAGAACCAAACTACTTTATTCGATACTAATTAAATTCATGTCATTGTCTTTTGTTCTCCATCCGCAACGATTTCTATATCTTCTCTTTTCCGCGGAAACTTCCGCTTCTCTTCAAGTTGAAGCAGGCTGTTGTGGTGCCATTCGCTCTGCCTTCTCTGTTTCTTGGAGCGAGCTATTTACTTGTGCTTCTCGTGCATAATGTTGTGATCGTTTTTCTTTTCTAAATATTCCATGAGTAATTTCCCATTTTTCGTGCTCAATCTCAGCTCATTTTCTCGCTCAATCGCATAAAATGAGCTCAAAAATATCGAATGCGCACAACCCGACGCGAAATTGCGGACCGTTTCCTGGCGCTGCGCCAGAGTGCGCAAATAGAAAATGAGACGAGAAAAATTCGATATATTGGAGAAACACAAGACAACGCAGTCTGGCATCTGCTAGCAAGATGCTGTACGCAGCCGTTAAACAACGTAAGTTCATACGGCTTCTACAGAGTTCCATTATAGTTTTAATTGCAGACTTCCTCGACAATGTTTTCATGAAACATCATCATGATCCGCAGCTCGGAACCAAGAAGCATAGCGTGCTGGTTCTCGATAAGAGTGGAATGGATGTTGTCAACTCTTGTTTCAAAATAGGCGATGTGGCCAGCTGTGAGTTTTTTTGTAATTTTTCTTTCTGAAAAAAACCTTTTTGCAGCGGGAATTCTTCTTGTCGAAGACCTAGCTAAGAGGCGAGAACCGATGGCATCAGTTGACGCAATTTATGTCGTCGCTCCAGTTGCTCAATCCATTGAGTCGATCATAAGAGATTTCCCTCGAGCTGTCAGACCAGAGGCTCAACAATACAGAAGTGCTAATATCTACTTCTTGGAACCTTGCAACGACGAACTGTTCAGAAAAATTGCGGATAGCCCACTGGCGAAGCATATCAAAACAATAGTCGAGATCAATGTGAATTTTTTACCCATTGAAAGTCAAGTGTTCACAGTGAGCAAGCAGTGTAATGGAGACATGATGAAAATTGCTGATGGAATCGCCAGTTTGTGTGCGACACTCTGCTTGAAACCAACGCTTCGTTTCCACTCCGATTTCGCTCAAAGCGCTGAAATATGCTACAGAATCGACCAAAAACTGAAAGAGATGGGATCCGACAAACCAGTGAGCACTGATGCCGAGCTGGTTGTAATGGGTATGTGGATCTTTGAAGAAAAAGAAATTATAAGAATTGTATTTTTAGACAGAAGCATCGATCTTGTAACTCCACTGCTTCACGAGCTCACTCTACAAGCAATGGCTGCAGATTTAACCGATTACAGCGAAGGAATATATCGGTACAGAGGAGATAATAGAGAAGAGAAGATCCTTCCTCTCGACGAAACCGATGATCTTTGGGAAGAACTACGACATCAGCATCTAGCCGATATTCTGAAGAGAGTTCATTCGCTTACAAAAGATTTGAAACAGATTCACGCGGCTACCTCGTCTGGAACTTCAGCAAAAGAAGTGAAATCGGCTATCCATCAACTGCCGGCTTTTCTGAAGAAGAAGGCGAGAGTTGAGGCGTACTTGAATCTTGCCGAAGAATGTCGTGGACAGTACTTCAACTGCCTTGAGAAGATTATTCTTCTTGAGCAAGATATGGCTGTAGAGCATACACCGGAAGGAGCGAAGATTTCTGATTCGCAAGCTGTGAATCGACTTTCCACGTTTATCATGCAGCCGACATTAACAACTGATATCCGCCTTCGTCTGATTCTCATTTTTATGTTGACAATTGGAAAGGACAAAGACGAGCAGTTCTTCAATCGCCTTCTTCACCACACAGATATTCCGGAGGAAGAGTTCCAAGTGGTCAAGAAAATGCTCAATTGGAGAGATGTAAGTGATGTTGCTATAATTATTTTATTTATTGTCTATATTTCAGAAGGCCAAAGCTTCAGCATTCCAACGTCGTCGTCCACCTCCAGAAGACGAGAGATTCCCAACGAGTCGCTGGGATCCAAAGATTCGAAACATCATTCAGGAAATTCATGCAAAACGTCTAGATGAGCGGGAGTTCAAACTTGTAGGTCAAAAGTCGGGTGCTCCAGAGCTGCGATCAGCGATGAGTGCTAGATACGGCGGCGGGTTGACTGGACGACCAAGAGAGAAGAGAAAGATAATTCTCTTCGTCGTGGGTAAGGTTTTTAAAGTGTGTGTCCCATCTAAACTGAGCTTTCCAGGTGGTGTAACGTATTCAGAGATGAGGACTGTCTATGAGATGTCCAAGGTGAGCAACACCACCATCTTGCTCGGATCCGACTCCATACTCACTCCATCCAACTTCATAGAGTCTCTACGTGGACCAAAAGAACAATGATCAATTGGCCTTTTTCACAAATATATCGCGATCTCTAATATTTCATCTAGTTGAATACACACCGATACTTGTACATGATGCTACTTAACCCCCAATAAATGCCATTTTCACATATTTTGTTCATTTTTATGTTTGTAGAAGGCCTATTGTCTTGTTCTGTATAATGTATCTGATTTCATGAACGAACTGGGATGAAATAGAATAGAATTGCAGATCATGAAGGCGTTGGAAAAAGTGCGAGTCCGATTTGCACCATCTCCAACTGGCCACCTACACATTGGTGGATTGAGAACGGCTCTTTTCAACTATTTATTCGCCAAAAAACACGGTGGAGACTTTGTTCTTCGAATAGAAGATACAGATAGAGCACGATTTGTAGATGATGCTCAGGATAAGGTGTCTTTAAGTCTTGCCGCTGTAAAAAAAACTGTAAAATTCTAGATCTACGAAGCCCTTCACTATTATAAGTTGACACCAGACGAAGACCAAGAGAAGGAGGAAACTACGGGCCTTACGAACAGTCAAAAAGGCTAGATCACTACCAACAGGCCGCCCATCACTTAATCGATTCTGGTCACGCTTACCGATGTTTCTGTCCTGAGCATCGACTGGAATTATTGAGGAAAACTGCTGAAAAGCGCGGAGAAATTCCGAAATACGACAGAAAATGTGCGCATTTGACTTTGGAAAACGCCAAGGCGATGGCTGATAACGGAGAGAGTTTTGTGGTTAGATTCAAATTGGACAAGCAAAATGTGCAGTTTCAAGATGAGGTTTTCGGTACAGTTAATCAGTGTATCGACGAGAGTGATCCTGTTCTTTTAAAATCCGATGGATTCCCCACGTATCATCTGGCGAATGTCATTGACGATCGGAAGATGGATATTTCACATGTGATTCGTGGAATGGAATGGCTGAGTAGTACAGGAAAACATCAAATTTTGTATAGGTGAGAGTTTTTGTTTCGTTGTCTCTATTCATATATTTTTGCAGAGCTTTCAACTGGACCCCACCGAAATTCGTCCATCTCTCTCTGATCATGCGCACAGCCACCAAAAAACTCTCAAAACGAGACAAGGATGCATTTGTAGCATATTACTCAGATCAACTCGGAGCTCTACCTGAAGCAGTTCTAAATTTAATGATCCGCAACGGATCAGGAATTCGAGACTTCGATGCAGATCATTTCTATTCGCTTCAAGAAATGAAGGATCAGTTTGATTTGAGTCTATTGGGTAGACGCAACTTGCTACTGGACCATGATTCTCTGCAGAAATATTCTAGAATGGCATTCAAGTCAGCAGACTTCGAGTTTCTATATCCACGAATTGTCGATTTGTTAAAGAAGGATAGGAAATTTGAGATTCCAGAAAAAGAACACATTAGAAGAATCGTGTCTTTCTTGAATTCCAAAGAAGAGAACTTTGGTTTCCTGAGCTCATTGACTGGTGGCGAGTTCAATTGGTTCTTCTCCCGTCCTCGATCTGCACAGCTTCTTCTGGACTCTCATCCGAATGTCGACCTCAAACAGATTATCAAGGAGTTATTAAAATTAGGTCAGTCCCCTTGGTAACCACTAAATATCATTCTTTATATGATCATTTTCAGAAACATTCAACTCTGAAACCCTTGGTGAAGTTGCCAAGAGACATCAATTGACCCTTGCCAAAGCGATGGGAATCGTTCGAATTTCATTGATTGGCTCGAAAAAAGGACCGCCCATCTCGGAACTTGTCGAGTTTTTTGGAATTGAAGAATGCCGGGAAAGACTTGAAATCATGTTAAGATTGCTTTGAATTTATTGTATTTCCTTGTTAGATTTTTTAGGTTAGAAATTATGTAGTTGATTTTTTGTTATTCTTGTTTCTAGTAAATACGGGTTCAATAAAAAATGTTTATATGATGAGCAGTCACACCCGTTATGGGCAATTTGAATATGCATAGAAATAGAAAACAGCGAAAAGAAAAAAAACAACTAGTCAGTACTCAGTACCACACTAAAGACATAATAGGAACTACAAACTACATTGGAGTAATTGTATGGGTTGGGATGATTCCAAAGTCGCGGAGACGCTTCAAAGCTGGACGGTAGACTTCCTTCAAAATTGGACGTTGGATTCCGGCTCGTTGAATTTCGTTATTCAGGACCATATGGGACACAATGGCGGTGGTGTAACCAACAGTGCGGGCCATAGCAGAAAACCCATTTGGATTTCCATATTGTACCAAACTGATGCGATGACGTTCCGAGTTTCCACCTGGCAATTGTGCTCCAATGTCATGATTCAAAACAACCAAATCCGATTCGTGATCCTTGAAAGCCAAGATCTTAGCCAAGTACTGAGCCAAGGTATCGATTGGAGTTCCGTGACGATCCACAACTTTATCGGAGAACAATCCAAGGTTCTCAAGGGCAGATAGTCCCTTCTCTCCGACTTTTTCCTCAATGATATGTCTCAGTGAATCAGGGAAGATGTCAAGTTTCTGGTTGCTCAAAGAGGCAACCAACTCCTTCCATGTCAAATCTGGACCAATATTGGAGGTGAAAGAGTCAGTGTTTTCTCCCGAGAGAAGTCCAACAGAATGGAGTGCCTGAAACAGAAATTTTTATGGGTGTTATTCATCCACAGTATACCTTAACAGTCTCCACAAATCCATGGTATCTCAAAGTTCCGCGGATAAGAGTTTTACAATCATTTCCGAGCCCATAGATATCCGAATATTTCGTAGAATCTCTGTTCGGGAATCCAATCAAATTGAGTCCTGGCATGAAGTCAATATCGATCAAATTGTCAACAACAGATCCCGATGGAACTTCAACAATCTTTCCATTCTTCAAATACTTTGCTGGATTCATCAAAGCCGTCAAAACACCCTTTGGTGACCATGAGAACTTGTATCGGAGTGCGTTATCGGACCATTCTGGAGCCGGAAGACCTCCACAAAATGATTCAAAAGAGGTGATACGTCCTCCATGCTCTCTGATATCATCGAAGCATTCCATGGCAAGCATATGATCTATTCCTGGGTCGAGACCAGCCTCGTTCATAATGGTGACGTCAGCATCCTTGGCACTAGAAATGGAAAAATTAACTATTCATTGTTATACAGCCCACTGGATCTTCAACTTACGCCTTATCAAGAGTCTCAAGTTCGGGTGAAACATAGCTGGAAGTGACCATATCTCTTTGATTCGAGATGCACATCTTGGCAATCAACGGGTGGAAATTGAATGGGAGAAGAGAGACAACAAGGTCATGTTCGCTAAAAATATCAAGCCATCAATATGAAATCTAAATTCATCGAGCTTACCGAATGAGGCGTTCCATGGTGTGACTCTCTCTAGCAACATCCACAACAACTGATTGGATGTTTGGTGACTGGCACAGACGTTGTCCATCTCTTTGGGATTCAGTGGCAACTGTGAGGTTGACATCTTTTTGCTTTGAGTAGAAATCGGCAAATGGTCCGGAAACCATTCCAGCTCCAAGGAGAAGAACACGCTTATCAGTGGTCCCACCCATCACACGAGAGTTGGCAGAAGCGGCGCTGGAAATTAATGAATGAATAAAAAAGACAGGTATTGACAGATATTGACACGCCCATCAAACTAGTTGGCCCAGTTATCATCTCATGAAGACCTCCTCCCTAATAAACCACTCACGATGCTTTATCCTTTCTGAGTTGAGCAATGTATTCAAAGTTCGGGGTCAGCTTTCCTTGGTCCGTAATGATGGCGTTCTTGATTTCAGTTCTGCACTGCAGACGGTCAAAGTGTTGATCATTCGAAGTGTTCAACAGATCCCATAGCCATGGGTACAACAAGTTTCCAAACTGTTCAGTAGCCTCAATTGGCATTTGAGCTGGCATGTTGTCAATAGAGCATACAAGACAACCAGAAGCAGCATCGAAACTATCAGAAGATGTGTTGAAGTCGGCGTCATAGATAGCGAATGGCTTGTCAATGGTGGTACATTCTCTCATGAACTCCACAGAGCCTCCTGGATCGGCAGAGATGTCACAAAGAGCGACGAGACGATGTGGAAGTGTAGGGCATCCTGGAGTGTCGTACTGGAAATTATCAAAATTAGAGTATTTACTTGTTATTGAAAAGAAAAGCTTCAACCAAAGCTTACAAGTCCGTGTGTAGTTTGTGTTAGTAGGTTAGTTTGGGATTTCTGAAACTGAAATGCATGCAATTCCAAAATCTAGGCAACTCACCCTCTGAACTGGTGTCAGCAAGTTCTTAGCATCCGGAATTGTGATGAGTCGTGGAGATTGAGCATCCCAGTAGACTCCATTGATGATCACCGATGCGTAGGGAGCGATCTGAAAAGAATCCAAAGATCAATATGTCATAGGTGTGGGTGAAAGTGTCCACGTGACATAGATAACAAATTCTTTACTTTTCAATTTTGAATCTTCTATCTTTTTCTCTTCATGACGATGATCGTATCATTCTTGCAACAGAATGATACAATCATCATCCGATCAACAAAAAGAGACAATAGAGAAGCTAGACAAATCGCCACGAGGCATAAAAGAGGAAGACAACGGTCTTGGTTGATTTATTGCATCAACGCTAATTTGGGACAATCTGTTGTTGATACAGATAAGAAGTGATGATCAGAAGATTGCCGTTTTCAAAGTTTCGCTTTACCTCAGTCGCAAACTTAGAAGTGTATCGATCTGGGAACTGTTCGAACTCCTGCTTGTTGAATGGTCCTCCATGCTTAGGCACAAAGTGATCTTTTCGGGTTACAACGCATCCATAGACCTTGTTGAGTTCTGGAAAATGGATGTTTTGATGGATATTGTTGAGGCCCACTTACGTCCTTTCTGTGCAACCTTCGGAAGTGTGGCCACATCCACATACTCATGTGGCAAATGCTCAAATAGCTCTCGAGCTCCTTGACTGACATTTCCAGATCCAGTGAACACAAATATCAGAGGTCCTAGGGATCTTGGCATTCTATCCAGTGCAATCTCGTAACCGATGTCTCTCAAAGCATTGATAGCCATATGAGAATCATTGTAGTTATGAGCAAGTCCCATATGGAGGAATGGGGTGTTGTGACCAAGAGCAAGAAGGCGAAGTCCGATTCCGTGGAGGATATCGATGAATCCAGCGTTTCCTGCCCATTTTCCAAACATCACAAGACGCTTCCCCTTGTCATCCACAATCTTCTCGTAGTCCAAAAGTCGAATGTTCTGGAATAGGTTTCATTGTTTCCAACAAAATTTAAGGCTAACTCACTCTTTGCAAAATCGTATCCAACATTTCCATATTATCCTGTTGAGCTTTGATAGTGTGTGAGAAGAATGCGTACGTCTTATTTGGAATCAACTGATCGATTGGGACACTTTTGACTGACATGATAATGTGAGCCTCGCTGAGATCCTCTCGGACGATTGCACCGGCTGAGATGTAGTCCTGGATTGGATAGGCACGTCGGTTACTCGGTTGGATGAGTACATTGACTCCTGATTTGGTGAGTCGTTTGACATGAGTTGGTGCAAGAGGTGCACGTCGTTCCCAGGCATTCACAGTTTCTCGTCTGGAAGGTTGAATTTAGGCAGGTTAAAATTTCCAGAATCCTGATTTCTAGAAAACATAGCTAAAATGAATACGATCTCTAATAGAAGTGTCCCACACATTCATGTTTGAGCTCAATTATCTTAATTCCTATGTGAGGTATTATAAATATGTTAGCTAACAAAACAGTTCTGATATTATGATAAACAATTTATCTGTCGACAACTTTTTGATATCTTTCATAGGAAAAGAGAAAAATTGTTTCAAAGTAAAAAGAGAGCATCATTGGGGTGAAATTGATAATACCCCACTATTAACCTTGTATTATGTTCCTGTAATAGTTATTAAAGAAAAGACAACTAGAAAAATATTTGTGACATTTTAGCAAAAGATATGTTAGTTGAGTTTTTTGATGGATTTGTCAGGAACTGAGATTCGCCACTTTCCCTATTTCATTAGTTTCACATCAACAACAACCTAGTTTTTACCCTATCAACTTTGAGCTCAATTATCTCGTTTCTTTTCAACAGTTGATAACTTTTTTATATCTTTTACGGAAACCAAAAAAATTGGGTCAAAGCCAAAAGTGACCTTCTATTACAGGGTTTACGGTAAATATTTGAGATTTAAATGTTAGCCGAATTTATGACTACTGTAAATAGCTAAAAAACTTTCGAAACGTTGTTTATAAAATTCTCTTTCTAATTATATGAGCTGTATTCAATTGTTAGAATCACGTGTATCATTTGGTAGAATGGTTAAAAAGATTGGATTTAGTTCTGATACTTCTTGATTCGATCCCTAGTCCTCGATTCGCACATAATAAAAAAACAAAAAAAAATCAGCTAATAACACTTTAATCATATCTAGGTCACTCTTGGAGGTTCAAGGAGAAAATAAGGGGAATTGGATTCTTACCTAATTCCAATTGTTGGGGTTCCTTTTCCATGAAACACTTTAGTTCCTTGGAATCTCTGCGAGATTTTCCGCATAGCGCCGGCGCTGGTGTGCAAAAGACGCATGTTGGAGAACAATTTCAGACAAAAGTTAATAGAAAAAGAGGATAACAGAGGGAACAGATAAAAGGGAAACAATGATAGAGGGAGGAATGGATGGGAAGATAGGTAGATGGGAGGAGAAGTGGGCGGTACCGACCTTGAGGTCTTCACGTTTGATATATTGATAATCGACCTGTATTTTTGATTACATCTCGGGAGGAACAGTAAAAGAGTAGAGTGGATTAGAAGAGAGATTTAGACATGTGCCATTTTAGGGCCCTTCAAATTTACAACTTTTTTGCAGTCACAGTAGTAAATCAGGTGAAATCAGGATAACATCTCTTAAAGCCCATGGGAAACCGATGCGTTGATCCTTTGAACAAAAAAGAAAAGGCACTCTCCGAAAATTTGGAAATTTTCAGAAAATCTCAACTTCCAGTGGTCACTTCCTTTGATGTTACTCTTGTCTCTGCTTTTCTTCTCGTCTCTCCAGCGCAGCCGACCACTTGTTGCCCTCCTCATGCTTATGTACGGAAAGAACTGCGTCCATATTCATGGCCTTGTGGCCTAATGGATAAGGCGTCTGACTTCTAATCAGAAGATTGCAGGTTCGAGCCCTGCCTGGGTCAAATCTTTTTGTTTTTTCTTTATTTGCTGAAACTTAATAAACCGTGGGAGACATCATAATTTCGCTAATATTCCAGAAGAATATGGAAGTTTCTCAGAGAACGTAGTTTCTGAGTTAATTTCCATGAATTGTATCTGAAAAAGCTTCAGTTTTTTTGTAAATGCTTATTGAATCTATTTCAAAGTGTTTTGTAAATTTCTTCTAGGCAAATAGTCATTGATTCTTAATTTATGTATTCTTACAACTAGGTCTCTTCAATTGATCCTTTTTTTTACTTTATTCATGAAGAAAAAAGTTTTTTAAAAGTTGAATTTTTAAATCCGAATTCCCATTATTTCATTTTGTCCCCTCAATCTAAACTTATCCGAATTCCTTCGAAACCCAACGATAGCCGCCCTAAAACTGATTTCTTTATCACTTCCGGAGAGAAGTGTTGCTGTTTGTCCGAGAGGACTACACGCTTCTCGTAAATCGACACAATTTCTAAAGGGACAGGCCTTTATTTCGCTGCGTATGTCAGGTTCGTTGCGAGACCCGTTCACTGAGTGTCAAACGCTTAACCACACTAGTACTGAATTTTTCTTGCAATTTTTTGGCTTTTTTGACGATTTTTTGAGATTTTCGATAAAATTCCGTGATTTTTTCGAAATTTTAGTGGAAAAAACAATATTTAAAAACTGAATTGCGATTTTTTAACGAAGAAACTAGGTTGATCTCGAATTTATTCATGAAATATCACTCGAAACAAATTTAGGCCAATTTTCGATTAAATTCTCAAATTTCCTTTTTTCACCGATATCGTCCCTTATTAATCGCCTGTTTTTCAAACCGTGTTTACATTTCAGGGTATATTCTGCACGATGGGTGACGTCGTTACTATCAGAACGAGAAAGGTTCTCACCAACAAGCTTCTCTACAGAAAGCAAATGGTGAGTTGGACAATATTTGATTTTTGAATTAATCACATTTTTATAGGTCGTTGAGGTGATCCATCCAGGACGCCCAACTGTGCCAAAGGCTGACATCCGAGAGAAGATTGCCAAGCTCTACAAGACCACCGCCGACACCGTCATCCCATTCGGATTCGAGTCCAAGATCGGAGGAGGAAAGTCCAAGGGATTCGCTCTCATCTACGACACCGTCGACTACGCCAAGAAGTTCGAGCCAAAATTCAGACTCGTCCGTGTAAGTAGTTCGTTGTTTAAAATAATTATGAAAATTTTCGAAAAAAAAAATAGAAACCGCCCATTTGAAAATATGTTTTTTTTTACTTTGAAAAAATTAAAAACCAAATGGCCGACTGGGGTTTCCATCCTCATCGCCGAAAGCTAATAAAAAACAGATCATTAAATGACACTTATAAAAATCATTTTAATTCCAGATGGGACTTGCCACCAAGGTTGAGAAGCCAGGACGCAAGCAGCGTAAGGAGAGAAAGAACAGACAAAAGAAGGTCCGAGGAACCGCCAAGGCCAAGGTCTCCGCTGGAAAGAAGTAAATCGGCAGTTCTCATTGTTGATTTCTATTGTTATTGTCAAGTCAATAAATGCGTTGACACAAAACTTTCTCAATTTTTTGTTAATTAGTCAATATGAATGGTCTACTAATCCTGCTAACAGTTCCGTGACAATTCAAGTAATTTTTTTTGAAAATCGAACAGTTTTTTATTAGATGTCTAACCGTTCTGCTGGAGGTTACGATGAGATATCACAATGTAAGTGGATGATGGAGCTGAAATTCCAACTATCAAGTCGAGAGTAGTTATTTCAAATTGGTCCGAGTGAAAGCCATTTTCGAGAACCTCAAAATGCGCCAGTTTGCCTAGAGGGAAATCAGTATCAGAAGAGAGACACTTTAATACTGAAACCGTATTAAAGAAACAAAGAAGCCGTTTTCCGATGTCTGGCCAACGGCATACTTGTAACGGGCCGGGCTTTTTCCCGAATTTCCGAGGCCCGGCGGGCCTGTCATTCCACAAGTTTTGAAAATTTCAAAAAACCAAAAAAAATCACATAAGGGGGGACCCTTATGTGATTTTTTTCGAGTTTTTTTTGATATTTTTTGATCAAACAGACAAACAATCCAAGCCCGGCCCGGGCTTTGGCGGGCCAGCCCGGAATTTTACAAGTATGGCCAACGGTTTTTCTGACAATCTGAAAATTATTTTTTAAATTCGAACTGATGATATCTGGGCTGAAAATGGCTGTGAGCTATCTGAAATGTATTTTCAGCAAAAGACAACGCAAAATGAGTTTCTGTTTTTTTTAAATATGGCGCTTGAACCATTGTCTTGATGATAAAGGGCGGCATGAAAGTTGTTTGGTAGCCTTTCTGATTCACATTTTTCTCAGATATCCAGAGGCTTCGAGAGGAACGACGGCTCACAGAAGTATCACTTCGAAAAATGGAAAAAAGAAGAGTGATCTGACTGAAAAAATCGATGAGCTGACCGAAAGAAGAAACTCAACTGAGGCTCGGCTACAAGCGGAACTTGAAAGAGCCGCTAGACAAGATAGAGGGCTCAAAGAAGTCAGTTTATGCGACTAATAATCGACAAAAAAGGCATCGTTCAGTTTTCGGAAAATTGATGTTCCTATCAAAGTTCGAACACACGATGTTCGAACAGCTGTGGTATGATGTTGTGCTTCAATGAGAAGGTGACGTGGCGAGTTTCAGGCTCGTGAAAAAATTAAGGTGGCAAACCAACAAAATAATGCGAGAAATCTGAAATCTTAACAGCCACACCACTTAATCAACAAAGCGCAACAGCATACCACATCAGTTCGAACCATGTGGCTGAACTATGAAACCAAGAAACCTCAGTTTTCTTTCAAACAATTTTGTGTGTTTCAGGCCGAAAGCACCTATGCGAAGCTTCTCGAATCACAGAAGAGCCTCGTGGATTTCGTGCGCAAAGAATATCAGGACACCAAACATCAAAAGTACTGAAAAAATAACCACATCTTTATCCTTTTTCGTGTATAATCATTTCACTTGTATCCACTGGTCTCTCTTACTTTTGTATCTCACTTATTCCATGAAATGCTTCATATCTCTTTTAAAATTCAATTTTATAACTCGAGGGAAGTCCCTTTTGATTTCGAAAAACGAAATGTTTAATATTTATGTTCTCTTTCGGGTGTGAAAAGTGATGAAGAGATACATAGTGTTAAGAAGTAGAGGAGAGGAAAGGTACATGAGAACAAACAATCGGAACATTCATACATACACACTCAACCTCATTCAATCTTAACACTTGTACTACTGTAGATGAGATCGGGGCGAGAATAGGAGTGAGTTGACATAGCCTAGTTTGCACAAAACATTGATGGACTCCCACCACGCGCGGGCGCACTGTGGGTCTTGTCATTCTGTATGTACAAAAGTGAATACAATAGAGACAAGAAAATTCGGGAGGAGACGGTACAGTAAGAGAGATGAGAGGCAAGCTCATGTTTGATTTGGTGTTAACTCCTCTTTTCTCACAAAATGCGAGAAACAACAGAAGACAGGTATCATCATCATCACTTTCCACCGATAGCTTCTTCCGCCACGTGGCATACAGTACCGCTTAAGCGGCGAGCTTCTAGGCAATACCCGGAAAGAACCGAAATAGCAAAACAAAACATAAATAGAAATGAACAATATTTCCAGATTTTCAGCTTTTTATCAGGAATACTCAGTGATGTTCGGAACGGAGTTCCGAAACTGTTTTTCGGAATGAGAGCTTTTTGAACTACGGTATTTCAAAGGCGCAAGCGAAAAGCTAAAATTCGGGTATCGAGCGGTGTCAATTTTTTGCAATTTTGTGTTTTGAAAGTGGAAATTCTAATTTAAAACACGAATATTGAAAAAAAATCCGAAATTTTGAAAATTTCAAAGTCGGAAAATTCCGAAATTCGAAGATCCCAGCATATACCCAAACGGTCTACTTTGATCTACTAGAAGTCTCATTTCCTGTTAAAGATATAAAAAAGTGATCAACAGATGAAACCTTTGTCGTGGCATCAATAACATTTTATCAGTTGACCACTTTCTGATATCTTTTATAGGAAATGAGATACATGCTTAAAGTTGGGTGGCACTGTATGAAGTTGTTTATGGTAAACTGCAAGGATTCAAAAGAAGGCGCTGTCCAGAATAAGAACTGCATAAGCCGGAATAATCAGATCTGATTCAATTATTGACGTCGAAAGCTAGGTTGGGATCAAACCAAAAATTCCAGTCCCTTTTTTTCAGACTACATCCCCTCTCTTCTTTCCAAATAAAATCCTCTATATGCCACTTCGAATCAAACCCTTTCAACCCATTTTTCGCGCTCGTTTTCACACCATTAATTTTTCCTCCATCAAGAAAAAGTAATCTGTCGGTGTGAATGAGTGGTAGTAGTAGTTGA